TCATTTTAGTTTTTCTGCCATCATCTATAAAGGGTACGTACTGTATATATCATTGTTCCTCTAAAGCTTAGTCCATCAAAAACTACTGATTCAAATTACTGATTCATCTGATTAATATCATATTATTATAATTTGTAGATTAAATGTGTCAACTTTTAAGCACAGTTTGTGCCCAGGTGGTCATAATGTTAAGCTAGACTATGTGTTTTCCTCTACTGTGTTTGCATGAAGTATGAAGCAACATAGCCATTAGGTTTCTTGTGGTCACTTTTGTTAAATTTGAACAACTGTGCCAGTGGACAGATCTGCTGTGTCAGCGGCTTTAGAGGATATAAGACTGGGCTGTGTTCACGTACCTCCGGTGGATAAACATGTAAGCACACAGCTCCGTTAGGGCTCATTGAGCATGCAGGATATATCAGAAAAGATTGTACTCTTGTGGCCTGTAACCGCAGCTGAATTTTTACGCCATTACTCTTACTTGATTGTTCATATTGGATATTTGAGATATAAGCTAATGTAACTGTTTTCTGTGTTTCCATTGCACTGATATTATTCTAATAAAATAAATTTGCTTTCATGGACCTGAAACAAAAAAAAGAACTGTGCCACATAATAAAAACAAGTAACACTCTCAATGGCAAAACCAGTATGCACTTTGACAGTCAAGGTAAATGAACACATGCAAAGGTGCTGTAAATGTAGGCCACGTAATAGCTAACAAGTTAGCTAGCTGCTTCTTTCTATGGGCGCATGTACTGGAGGTCAGATCGGTTACATCATGCTGTACCATAATAAAGCGTGCACTTGTGCGCACTGTATCCATTGCACATTCCACAACAAAGGAAGCTTACCTGGAGCACCAGAGGGTCTATATAAACAAAGGTTATTTCATTATACTTTATCATACCTGACACAGTATACAACCACAGCCAGTTCAACTTTTCACCATATGTGTTTTAATATATTGTATGTAAAACATGGAGAAACTTTAGTTTTTAGTGTATATGCAGTATGTTTTTGTAAAGAGAGTAAAAAAAAAAAAACACCCCTACTTGTTACCTTAGTATATTATTGTCAGTTTAATTTTGACAGACAAGGAGGCAACTACAGCATATATTGAATATTTTGGATTACACAAGGTTGTTCCAGGCCTTTTATTTGGTTTGCATTTTGTCAATGTCTAATTAATTTTTTTGTAGACTTATAGACTAATAAAGTTTGCAATTTCCATCTAAATAGGGAAGTGGAGGGAGGAGGTTGTTATACATCTGTACCACAGCTGACATTGCCAATGAAATCCTTCATAGTTATGATAACAATCAGAGACACAAAAACGAAGAATGAGAAACGTTCTTTACAATATGAATAGGTATAAATTTTTTGAAATGAAAGAATAACTTTGATTGCAGAACAAAAATATTTGACACAATGTGCAACAACATAAAACATAACAGAAGACAAAATAATAAGTTGAGGAGATATACAGCCCCACCACAAGCCCCACCAACAACCTTATACATTGTTTGTGAGAAAAGACTAAATGATTTGTTAAAACAAATTAAATTAACCTTGAGTAGACAAAAAAATTGATTACCAACTGGAACATAGTGTGAAATTCAAGTCCTAAAGTTCTAAGTAATTGATTAAGGACAATGAAGGAAGAACCAGCTGTAGGGTTTTGTGAGACAGCGGCTGCTATTGTACATTATGGTGCCGGTGTCCATTCTGTTTACCACTTTGGGGAAGAGCGGATGTTTTGATGAGGAGCACTGGAGGATGAATCAAGGGGAAGAAGCTGTTCTTCAGCCTGGCTGTTTTGGCTCCAATTATCCAGAGATGCGTCCTGGAAGGAGGAGTTTGTACAATGTGCATGGAAGAGGTTTTATTTTGGGGAATGGGGATGTTGTTGGAAATGATCTCTGGTTACTTTATTATTTGTTTGGTCTGGTGCTATGCTGTGTGGCCCGAACCAGAGAGAAATGGTTTGTGTAATGGTGGACTGGATGTTGGCTATAGGCCACACTGCTGTCTCTGACCAGCTGTATGTTCTCAGCTGTTGCATGAGGTGTATCCCCTGATGAGCCCTCTGATTTAGTGTTAGTGACCCCAAAGGAAGATTGTCTAGCAGGCCTACCATTTCCTGACTGTTATAAATTCAGTGATGACAGTACTGAGCAGAGCGTGTTAGCGAAGTGAAACGATGAGAATTTCCACTCCTTGCTCAGAGAGCTGTTTGTTCCCTCAAAGGTTACCTTGTATTTTAATTTTAGGTTAAACCTCTTCAAGTTGTATGATAAAGCTGTGTGCCAGGGAAACACAGAGCACACACACACAGGCAGACCTGCTTAAACAATGAAATAATTCATGAAGTCATCTATATGTGTGATAAGAAAAGGATAGAGGAGCAGAATCCAGGCTTGCTCACACACAAATTGACAATGAATGGGAAGGGTGGAAATGACCTGGGGACACGTATAGTGGTACCACCGGTAGGCACAACAGATAAAAACTGGAGCGGGATGGAGGGTGCTGTGCTGTGCTGTGAGACCAAGAGACAGTTGCATCAGTTCTTTGTAAATTGTAATTAGTGTTTATTGAGATTGACGCCACTAAATCAAATCGTGTTGCACCATACAAATTCTTAGGTACAGCTTAGTTGTTACTAAATGTTTACACTCTGTAACTGCCAGGGGTAACTGTTGCGTAACTAACAGAAGCAACTGTCAAACATTAGCTTGCTACTATATAACCCATTTAAATTAAATATAAAAAGAGATATTGGCAGAAATGGAATGGAATATAGTATGTATAACTGTTTTCATTAGTGTATAATCACCTGAATACAGGAACGCACTCGCCAGAGTCAGCCACGTTGAAGTGCCATGTTTCTACAGTAGCCCAAAATGGACAAACCAAACACTGGGTCCAGATAGGGCCTTCCATGTTTTATTGTGAGTTTCACAGCCACCATAGTTTCTCCTACATGCTTGTAAGGTGGGTGGCATTCAGTTGGTTGTAATTTGCAACTTCACCACTAGATGCCACTTAGTCCTACAAACTGGTCCTTATATGGTGTAACCCCATTTAGTAAAGCACTTGTTTGTAACTAGCTTAGGTACTATGAATAGAGTAAGATATTTGTGAATAACCGGTGCAATCCAGGAGACCAGGAGCTCTCGAATGAAAGTGTCAATTGCAAATAAAAAGTCCATAAACAATATCTCAAAGGTACTCCAGACTCATGTTGTCTGCATCCTCAATAAACATGTTGGCCCTGTAGGCAAACTTCACGGCTTCTGCGAAGGAGTGTGTGATGTTTTTGAGGTAGCCAGACATAAGTCTTTCAAAGGTCTTCTAACATTAAAGCAACTCTGTCCTGTGATCCTAGTTTTTGAGGACTGGAGGAATGGGGCACAGGAAGAGTTTAGAGTTCTAGTGAATGAAGCTCTTAATTCCCATCTCAGCATCATGCAATAAAAGTGTTTAAGGTGATAAAAAAGCAACTTAATGGCTGACTGGATTCTGTATTCAGTACTCTGTAGAGGTACACAAAAGTCTTGTCTGTGTCTCTATCTCCCTCAGCCTTCTTAAATGAATCTGGTTCATCCACCCAATTCTCTCCGCTCCTACTTTGTCCACAGGCATTACATTTATTCTGTCATCCTCACATGGACCGTAAATATGATGACATGGTACATATTCTGTTCTGAGCCCCTGTTCTGTCTCTCCATATCCTTTCTTTTGTGCACCTTTCCTCTGTGCGCCATGTGCTCCTGTAGATTAGAGTTGGAATTTGCCTTCGGAATAACCCAGTTGGATATTGTAAGCATGAGTGCATGTCCCAAGCCGGGGCCAACCGTAGGTAAACTGAATGCAGACTTGAGCCCGGCCACCAAGGAACTCTAAGCTAGCTTGGCTCGACACGCTAGCTCTCCAGATTTTTGCTTATCTAAATCTCCAAGCCCCAGGTTTTGTCTTGCTTCGTAGAGTCTGACAAAGAGTTTGGGCTTTTTATTTTCTTTTTTTTAGCTGAACATCAAGTGAAAGGTGCTTTAATAGCCTGTAGGCTCTTAAGGTATCTTTCTGCACTCAGGTTTTGATTGCCAGCCCAGGGACTCAGGCAGTATTACCATAGTTATCTCACTGCACCACGTGCCTAACAGCACTCAAAGCCTCCTGAGCTGTCTGTCATGCCTCTTAATTTGCACCATAAGCAGATGAGTTGAAAAAGGATAAAACACCTGAACTGGGGTTTGACAGGGTCAATTTAGGAGGCAAACTTGTAGCAGAAAGGTCACTGGTGATGTCACCAGTGGGTCTTTCCAAAGCAACTCTTTTATCCCCAGTTCATACACAAACTTACAGTATACTGAACAAAGAATTTAACATGCTTGACCATTTGAACTATGCTATTGGTCATGGTTGAAAAGCTGTTTAATCAGAACCCACTCACACATTAACCAAGTCTGAAGCTGACTAGTTCCATTCACATAGCTGTAATGTTGTTTTTACACTGGAGATTCAACCTGACAGGCTACCTCCTAGACCTCATTTCATTATTCTGTTACCTAATTGTAAATGCAACCACTTTACTCTGTACTATTGGGTCCTATTATCTTTGTGATCAAGAATAGCAGAAAATATTTAAATGGGATGCAAATTGCCTTACAAGCTACCTTCTTATATCTAAATTAGTGGCAGGACCAACTCTGTAGTAACCCCACTGTAGCCATAGTGACTGTAGTCACAATAGAAACTCATGTTAAACAAGTTAACAATGCTGAGCAGTGTCCACATTAATCCCCATGTATTTCTCAGGTTGTTGCTTCATTATGAAAGGCATATAATCTATATTGTTCAATTGAGAATTATATGTCAGATTGAGCATTTAGCACCCATTTTCACCCAGTAAGTATTCTATTGTGACCAAAAAAATGCCTATTCCCTTCCCTGCATTTTCTTATTATGTTTTTCCACCATTGTGTAAACTCCGTCAGACTCTCATGGGATGGATCTGTTTGCGGTCGCTGTCCATGAGTTTGGTCATGCCATCGGCCTGGTCCACACATCAGCCATCGAGTCCATCATGAGACCGTACTACCAGGGTCCTGTAGGAGACCCTTTGAAATACGACCTACCCTATGAAGACAAGGTCCGCGTCTGGCAGCTCTACGGTACGGGGGAACATGTAGTCAACTTGCTGTGTGTGTATGTATGAAAGAGATATATGGGTGGAAAATTGACTTAGTTGCATTTCCATCAGAATTTCAATTAATAAATCTGCCTCGAGTGTTACAAAAAACACACAAATGTGAAAAATGTATTTCAGTAATTGATTAGTGCAGGGATGATGGATAAAAACAAAGTGGCCATGTAACTATGAAGGGCGCCTCATAAATGGAAGTATTTTGTACAATCACTGCTGTCTGCTTGTATACTACTCTCCACTTTTCTGCAAACAGAATTCTTTCCTCATTGTTGACAGCATTATATCATTATGAACATGAAATGTATGCTACACTACTTGCTAAATTACCTGTTCATCTGAATCTTGAAGATGTTTCTGCCTCTTCTCAATGTGCGATCAGTGCTGTGAAGTCTCAGGGTGTGTGTCTGTGTGTGTAAACATTGTGGAGACATACTTTACTCTTATCTGCATTCACAGAATTTTCCTCTACTCCACTGACCATGACTCATGAGCCTCTGCTGTAATTATGTGTTTTCCCGGTGCAGCGGTGGAAACACCCGTTTTCTGGTGACAGCTCAGCAGAGTGAAGATACAGAGGCCTCCTCATGCAGGAAGCAGCAACTGATGAGTTCTATAGAGCAAGGTTATTGATTTAATCAAAACACAGATGGAGTTAATTGAACCCCGTTGTGGCACGTGACCTCATTAACACATTCGTAGATATAGGTGATGGCAGTGTGAGGAAAGAGAATTCTGAACTTGAAGAGGAGTGAAGGATGTCAGTGAACAAATAAATAAAACACAGTATGTGCCAAAAAAATGTGTTCTATATTCATTTGAGTTTGACCTTTTAGGAGTCAGAGACTCAGTGTCCCACACAAACCGACCAGGCAACCCCTCCCAGACGGCTGAACCTCCTGTCCTGCTGGACCTTCCTGAAAACAGATCCACTGTTATGTAAGTAGATGTGAAGATACTTTAATTATTAATTATTAACATGCAACAAAAATGATCTACTGTAATAGTGCTTTTCTACACAGAAAAAAAGTCAACCTGGGCCTCTTCAACAATCTCTCAGTCTCTATCTCTAGGACCCTACCCCTTTTTTTCAAGCTTTCATTCTGTAAATCCCATTCAACATGACACTGCCTGTGCTGTAATGGCCAGAAAAGTGGAGCACAGAGGAGTGCTTGATGCTTGCTACACAGTCGACTCAGAGCACATCTTATTAGGACAAGTGCTGTTCTTTGATTTGTTTGATGGTTTCAGTTGGCAAAGGTGGATGTGCATATAAACGTCTACAAGAATCTCATAAATATTTTTAATGTAAGCTATGTTTTCCTCTTTCAAGATGGTATAATTTCTTTAACTGTGCATGTTTACACAGCCATAGAAATGAGGCCATTTTCAAGCTGGGGCCAGCAGCCACATCCATAATAATACTGTATTCTTAATAGGCCTCACGTAGGTGGTATTTATTGCAGGATAACTGTATTGGTTCTCATTGTAGAAAGATCTCTATTTTCTGATGGTTCCCTGCACTTTAGCATAATTATATTGCAAAAAAACATTTCTTACTTTTCCCTCACTTGCACTGAGAAACAATGTAATGAATCCATGCAGGAATACTCAACATGGATTGTAAAAACAGTTTTTTTGGAGCTTGATAAGAAGTCATGAGGTGCCAACAAAGCAAATTAGCTAAGAGGCCGAGAGTGAGCTTGGGAGTCTGCCCGTCTAATTAAGTAATTCCCTAAAGCAAGTTGGGCGGCTATGAGCCTGTAGTTTTTCAGATTATCAAGGATAATTAGACTTAATTTTGTCCATTTATGTATTTTGAGTGTACATACGCACACTCACACGCAGACCCAAACCACAAAGCACTAACCTTAAAGTAGCCCCCAAGGGGTCCAACAAAAGACTTCACGAAAAAGTCTTAATTCTGAAGGTCTGTAATTCCAGTTTGTTTCAGAAAACACATGTGAATGCACACACACAACAGTAAACAATGAGGCAGCACTGAGAAGGATGTTGAAGCTAAACGGCAGGTAAAGTGGTGGGATAATTAACCATCTTTTGCTCCCAAGTTTCGGACTTCCACTCCCATCAGGTCATGATGTGTTAAAAAGCTGGATTAGACCTGACAAGGGCACCTGTACTGACCACTAGGCAGTGGTGTAGTGTTAATAGAGCTCTGAAAAGAGACCTTTGTTGGTAATATAAGGCCTGGCGGGCTCCCACTCTCAGCCCCGCGGTGCTAATGGCTTCATCATTGGCAGGCCAGCCACGTCAGTGCTTTAAATCACTTAGAAACCCCAGAGATAAATGCACCGAGGGACCTCACCGTGTCAGCCTGATAGCATCTCCTCTTTTGTTTAGCCTGGTTTTACTGATTCATGCACACCCAGTCAGAGAAGCGTGAACAAAATTTTGATGCATAGAAAGGATTAACACATATCTCATTTAAAGGAAGTATTAATGGGTTTTGCAACTAATAAACTTGACTTTTATAGATATGAAATTATATGATATGATATGTCATTTCAGATAATAATTAACTCGTCAGAGTGCAGAAAATGTGGTGTTCAAAAAGTGTTAATGTCCAGTTTTACATAAGAGGTTCTTTTTTTCTCCTCTTTTCCCTATCTTCTCTCCTCCTACTTTCTTCACATCTCTCTCAGGCTGGCGCGAGATGCCCCCGACAGATGCACCAGTCACTTTGATGCAGTGGCCCAGATACGAGGGGAGGCCTTCTTTTTCAAAGGTACGGAGTCACAAAGGGAGACAGACAGACAGACGCAAAGCTGCATAGCTGCGTGGGAAAAATAAAAAGAAATTAGCTAAATGAGCGGAAGTCAGGGGAGGCAGAGCAAATTAAAGAAGTGGAGAGAAAAGGAAAAAGGATGAGGATGAGAGCGTGTGGTAGTTGTAGACACCCAACGGAGCCCGTTGAGCCCCGCTGAGAGACTGCAGTCCAAAAATTACATCAGGCTTTCATGCTTGCCCTCTGGAGGAATGACCCCTAGCCTCCCACTGACAACAGAAACAAGAAACAGACCCACATACCCTCAGCAGCAGAAGTGTTAGCAAAATGTCCCGAACTTTAACTGACATTTTTAAAACCTTTTTTAACCTTTTATGTAACAAATAAAGTTTATAGACCATTGTTACCTGACACAAATGCTTAACCTCTTGAACCAGGACCACTCCTTGAGACACATGACTCAGTCTGTTATATTTGGCTTGTTGTCTGACTGACAGCATTATGTTATTCTGAAAGAATGTGAACCCTCATTTTCAGTCAGCTAAAGATGACAATAAACACACTGCAGGAAAGGAAACAGCTAATACCTCTTGATTAAGACCAATAATAAATGAATTCATAACATGTAATTAATTTATTCATTCACTCTATTGCAAGATTTCCCTTGGGGATTGCATAAGAAATAACTGATAATATTCGCCAATATTATTTGCTATCAGCATCCTGAATACTGCTGATCCTGCTAACCGTCCCCTACCTCTTAGGAAAGTACTTCTGGCGACTAACAAGAGAGAAGCACCTGGTGTCTCTGCGTCCCGCTCAGATCCATCGCTTCTGGAGGGGCCTTCCAATAAATCTGGACAGTGTGGATGCTGTGTATGAGAGGCCTGGGGACCACAAAATAGTCTTTTTCAAAGGTACAGTACCAAACAAAATCTACATTCCAATATGTTATCAGCCCTTGGAATGAGTCCTACAATGTACAAAAAGTTTGTCTGGTTCAGTAATGCCAGTAGGCATCTGCACAAATAAACTGTATATTTGAAACAGATTTGATAGTTCAAATACACTGTTTAATACACATGATTTAGTACATACTGCATTTTAAGTGACAGTGCATCCAGAAGGTCGATGACCACCAGACTTTTTAAAGTGTGACTCATTCAAACTATAAGGAGGAAAGATGAAAAGAGGCAGTTCACACCTTACTTTCAACGTGGCTGGCACTTTGAAGGGAATTATGACATTTTGTTTCTCTATGTGATAGGGCAGATGAATTATACATTTCATTTAAGAAAAACAACAGGGGTGCAGAAACAAGGGCAGCTTTCCCTGCAGAGAATGTTCTTTATTGGCTGTGTAACAAAAATATCAAGAAGATCCTGTACATATATTTCAGGTCTCTCATCTTTTCAAATGTATAATCTTAAGTGCACACACTGTCTTCTGTGTGTGATGAATAAAACTATATATTTAAAGGTCAATTTTCTATGTCCACCCTTCAGGTCTAAAGTACTGGGTATTTAAGGACAATATTGTGGAGGAGGGTTACCCTCGTTCTATCAGTGACTTCGGCCTACCCTCGGAGGGCGTTGATGCTGCCTTTGTTTGGCTACACAACGACAAAACCTACTTCTTCAAGGACAACCACTACTGGCGCTACGATGACCACCTCAGACGTATGGACCTGGGCTACCCTAAAGACAGCACGCTTTGGAAGGGGCTGCCGTCACAACTGGATGACGCCATGAGATGGTCTGATGGTGAGTAACCTTAAAAACATTTTCTTATTCCATCATGGTCCCTCAGTGATTTATCTCTGGGGTCTTTAAATGATGTAAAGCACTGACGTGGCTGGCCTCCCAATGATATTAGCTATTAGCACCATAGGGCTGAGAGTGCGAGCCTGCCAGGCCTTATATTACCAAGATCAAAAGATGATACTGACACATTAATCCATTTCCTAGCCGCCTATTGAGACCTTGGTTGTTTCTTTTTTCCCAGAACATTCCTCTAACTCGGTAGGAAACCTCGAGGTACTCCCAGAAATCTTGGGAAATGTTGTCCCTCTATTGTGTCCTGGTTTCTTCCCTCATGTCAATCATGTCCTCTTTACTCTGTGTTAGGACAACACATCACACAGCGTAGTCGAAGGCTAGTGTTGGTCAGTAAGTGTGGTCAACCTTTGAACCTCTTTTGCTTTTGAATTAGAACATAAAGAAAGTTCTTGTATATAACACCTTTCTTGAGCAGGTGTAACAAAGTGCTTTACAATAAAAGGCAGACATAAAATACGGATACATAAATAACAATGATATTGTATCATAAAATGAGAGAATACCACAAAAGCAGATGTCTCTCTTTGTCTTCCTCTGTTTCAATAACAGGTTGGCTTCTCTAAAGAACTTCAGATAAATGTATGTGGGATTGGAATAAGAAAACAGTATGCAGCTTTTTCAATATTCCACGAAATAAATGATCAAAACTATACCCCCAAAAGTAATTTATCACCCAGAGTTAAAAGGTGTGTAGAAACCAGTGACATATTTTGACCTCTTCTGTCTTTATTAAAAATGGATTATTAAGACTAATTGATTATAGTCAATGTATAAATGATGAATCACCAATGCCTGTTTCTTCCAGCGATAAATTATTGCATTTCTCAGAGAAAAATAAGGTTGTACCACTCAGACCACTGATAGCTCTGGTATTTGCTGGGGCCTAAGGCAAGATCATGCAATATCCTTCTCAGGGGAAATCCTCAAAGAGGAGAGGATTACGAGAGAAAAATGAGTCAAGGACGGAACCATTATGCAAGTTAGCACACGTGCAGCCTCAAGTTTTGGATGAAGTTTTTTACGATCAGATCACGACCCTGAGTCAACTTCCCAGGAGCAGTAAAACACTGAAATAGGTGTAATCACCTGAATACAGCTACAATGTGACTCTAAGGATTAATGTCTGTTTGTCCCTCGGTCCATCCACCACTCACATACAGACTGAAATATGAGTTCAAGGCTAACACTACTGAGCAAAATGCTAGCACGCTCATATAAGATGGTAATCAAAATAAACATCATACCTGCTAGGCATTAGCATGCTAGCATTACCACTGTGTCTTGCTTACTTTTTTCATACATTTTTTTGGGGGGGTGGGGGGGAGTAGCTTTAATTGACTTTAATTGATAATGACAGCTGAAGAGTGACAGGAAATGGGAGAGATAAAGGGGATGAAATGCAGCAAAGGCCCCTTGCTTACTTTAATGAGTGGTGCCAATGGCATTTAGTGACATAATTATGTTTGAGTTGGATTACAGGGTTTTTACTACTTTCATCTCTCTTTTTTATTTTCACATATTGCTACTCGTGTCTGTTCGTAAAGACATTTGACATGATATTTTCGTTTACCATCAGCAAATTTAAATTATTGTTATCAGGGTCCCCTGTTTGCTCAGTCGGTAGAGCTGGCTACCCTTATACGGAGCTGCTGCAGCGGCCTGTTGGCTTTCTATCAAGAAAGCCAACAAAAAGGCCCAAAAAAATAAATAAATCATTGTTATCAATTTTACGACATGTTAAAAGCAGTTTGTATTAAACTTTAATGTACTAGTTTAAATCAACTTCTATCTCTCATAGATAAGACATTTGAGAAACACCTGACCTGACACCTGAGAAAAATGTCAAATTTGTCATTGTTCGTACAGTGCATCTGCCGTAACATTTATTTTGATTTACTTTATGTTGGCAGTCTCCCCAGCGATATGCATGCACAATTTTTTTGTTGGCATACTGGCTGCAGTATGCAGATTAGAGGCATTTGATTGTTTTTTTTCTTTCGCGTGTCGAAATCATTTTTTTAACCTTTTTATCTGTTATTTTGACGTAGCACACATGGTCCTTTATTGCCAACACTCTGCTTCGCATTCACACAGTCAAACACATTCAAACCTTGGAGCTGGCCCAGTGTAATCATAGTGAGCAGCTCCACTGTAGCAGCTGAATGTCAAGGTCGCAACGCCTGCTTCCACCAAAGAATCATAGCTCATTTGATTACATGTGCATGTTAATGAGAGATGTAAAGTGGTCCAACACCATTTGTTTCAGAAAGTTTGTGCAATATATTTATCCTGTTGGGCTAGTGTGTGTTAAGCTCTGAATGATACTAGGGCATTTTGAGATTTTAAAAATACCCCCAAACAACCAGCCACTGAGTCCTGAAATTTGAGGCCCCTCACAGAGGAAGCCAGGATGTCCCTAATCCCCCCTGCAGCATGTGAATACAAGGAAGCGCTTTCCCTGTCAGGTGTTTAGTGGTCTGTGTTCTGTCTTCGGTCTCGCTCCAAGCTCTTTGATGTGTGTACGCACATGTGTGTGTGTGTGTGTGTGTGTGTGTGTGTGTGTGTGTGTGAGACGAGGCCAATCGCACAGGCCTGACTCTGCTTCACCCCCGGCCATTATCGCCGCAGAGCCTGGAAGGGTAGACTTGGAAACCTACACGCATAAACGCACATAGACAGACCATGGGGCCTGGGAACTGGAGCCACATCAAAGTCTGTTCACCGTTTGTTTCAGCTCAGGATGAATAGAGAGAGAAAAGACATGGGGTGAGAGAAAAGAGTGATATGACAGCAAGGAGGGGAGAAGAGATATGCTGACACCTCGTTATGAAAATAGACCAGAAAGACGGGGAGGGATATGTGAAGAGAGGACTGGAAGGAGGAATCCAGACAAGAGGAGATATGGGGACACCTGAGGATGAAGAAAGATAGTAAAGACAAGGGAAGAAAATGAAGAGATGTTAGAAAGATAGATGGCTTGACTCAGAGGACACATAGAGAAATTACACAGAGACAGAGAAAGGCAGTAAAACGACAGACAACGGTTGCTGTGGAGGGAGAAAAAAAGGCCATAAAGGGTATTAATGTAGCTGTAATGATGATAATAATCATAGCTGCTAACATCAGTATGGCACTCAGGAATAGTTTAGCCTTTTAGTCATGGACAGAAAAAGGTATCAGGAGAGGGAAATGAAATTTATCAGGCATGAATATTATCTTTAACCTGTAGAGGAAGTTCACATAAACTAGTCAGCATCCATAATTGTAGCAGTGTTACATTAATAGATTCAAACCTCTGTTACCATAAAGACAGCAGTTTTTTTTTCCTTTTCATAGTAGCTGTTCTGGAATCAAAGGTTGAAAACCTAAAATCTAAAGTCTCCCACTCTTTTTTTTAACAAAAGCAGTTTTCAGAGGAAACAGACTTTTTTTTTTTTGCTACAGTTCATAGTCTTAATAGTTTTCCCTGAAAGGATAATGCTGGTAATGTTCTATATTTTATATTTATTTCTTTTTGCCAACACATTTCATGAAAAGACCAAAATGAATCAGGCACCAAACCCTCACTTTTTGGCTTCTCATGAAGCTACAGTCAAGCTAGCGAAGTGGCCGATAACACGGTGAGCTCAACAAATCTCTCACCAGCAGTATCAAGAGTTTTACAGTTTTCTTACTGAATGCCATCTTTGACACACAACATGGAGAAATACACTTTTGCCAACAAAAACAAACATATTTTAACAGACCAACCACCACAGGGACAGCACCCCTCAGATCTGCAGGAGCCCAGCAGATGGCGCTCATCATACACACAACACACCCGTTCCAGTGGAGAACTAATAATAATATTAAACAATATTAACAAAAATAAATTAGCACATGACATAATGTTGAAATTTGATGGATGAGTAATAAATTAAATGTACATTAATAATGGCAAATAATGGCCTGCTAATAGTGATAAGTGGAATCTGCTACACAGCTAAAGCCTGCTGTAGTTTATTCCCCTGTGCTATACAGTTCCATTGTTGTCCAAAAACTAGTAAAAACACATCGATGACACCATTCCACTTTGGGACATGTTCCTTCATTACCAGGAACTAATTTTGAGTCAATCCCACACATTCTGTTTTGCTAGTATATTGTATATTGTAATCCACAGTTGAAAATAGTCCCCAATGAATACACTAGTTATTCCTGTTGAGTTGCTAAAAACTCTCTAAAAAAAAGTTTTAGGGATTTTACATCTTCAGTTTGAATGAATGGGCCTGTTGCTGAGTGCCACAGAAACATTGTTTGTTTTCGTCTTTTCATGTGATTTGTTGACAAGAAAAATATACAGTAACATCAGACTTATCCTTTAATTCTTTTGTGTCAACACGAGAAGTCCCTCAAGAGCAGAAATTGCCACAAATGTAATATAAAGAGAGTTTTGGCTGAAGAAAAGCCAGTAGTGGGTGAGATCTGACATTTCTTCACCACTTTTGACAGCTCCAAGACTTTTAGTCTCTCAGGAAAAGAAAGAAGAATTTGAAGAAGTGCCATTCAGCCCTGTGGCTTTGGACTTCCAATAATAGTGATAGATGGATAAAGAGAGTGACTTTGTGAGTGTGTGTTGTACCTCTACCTTTGTGAGTATCAAGGTCAGTTCTAGACTAAGAAAATGAGGACAAATAGGAAAGCGAGGATACGGTCAGTCCTCACTGAAAAGGGCTGCACAGAGCAGACTTGTTTTTATGATTCAGGTAGAGAAATGAATTGTGTTGAGTCTTCATACATTCTGAGGTACAGTGCGTTTATTTGCACTATAGAGCATACCTTATTTTATTTCTGCAGCCCAGCTTGAATATACTCTTATGATTATAAACAGGAGGTAGGTGCTGTGAGCCACTCCTGTTTTACATTACATTGTACATTTTAGGAGTTTTAATTGTTGCTCTTACCCATTATGAACATCAAAATAACAAAACCCTTTATTTTAAGAGCCACAGCCATCAGAAAGAGAAATAAGGGCTTTTAGTAAGAAGGGTTCAGCCCCTTGGTTTTGTTTAAAAATGAAAGACAGTCATTGTTTCCTCAAAGAAAGGGTAACCTACAGTAGAAGTAAAAACTTTTAGGCCTTATTTCTGTCTGCCATAAAGTTGGAATTTATTATCAAGACCAATGCATAAAGAAATAAAGAGTACAGAGCTGCCTCCGTGAAGCAGCCAGTTCTCATTCCTCTGTGTAGCTTAAAGAGCCATGCAGGCAATACATTGCTGCAAAAAGATTGCTGCATTATTCCTTTTGATTAAAAAGTGATGCTTGAACAGATTGCTCACAAATTTTCTTTGGTGGATTGTCCACTAAGGGCACAGGTTCTTGACTGCAAGAAAACATTCAGAAGTAATCTGAATGCTTTAATCATTCTGTGTCCTCCATCCTATTTTCTCTCATCTCATTGTCTTCCTTCACCTCTTTGAAGAATGTAGGCCCATATCTATATGATAATGTTCTATAGACTTTGTGAGACAAGCATTTAAACACCAAGAATATTTACTCCACAGTTAATGGCGAGCTTCAAGGCCATTAACAACGAGAGAACATTCTTCACTCGTTTATCTCTCGCCTCCTATTTATTTCAGTGACTAGTTGAGAAAATGAATGAGCCTGAAACATGTAATGTTCAGTGTTCTTAATACTTCTCTCGTCTTTTTTGTCTCAAGCTCCATTTAATGAAGAAACTGAATAGTACCCATCCAATAGCATCTATATTATGTTTGTTAAGCTCAGGCATAGGCAACCTAAGCCTGAGCTTCAGTCTACTTCGGTCAACTTTCACTGTATGTATATGTTAAAAAGGCAACCAAATTCTGAAGTTGGTTAAAAGATAAAAGTGACACACTTTATCTTGTCACATCTTAAGTTAGCTAATGGTAGCAAAACATTAGCTGACTAATGATTGATGGCCCCAAACCCCCCTGGCGGGGCTCAGAATCATGACCTTCCTATATCTAAAATTCTGGCTACAGCCCTGGCTGGTGCTGGTCTTGTGTCTCCCTAGCTAGGCTAGCTATAGATTCAAAATCGAAAAATTAAAAGAGGAAAATAAAGAATTTAATTGTGTGTGGACAGAAATGATATACATATGCATATAATAAAGCTCAAATATGTTTTTTTAACAGATCTTTCTTTTTATAATAATAATAAACTTATATAGAAGAAACTTATAGGTGGTCACCAGGAAACTGAATTTATGTTGGTAAACCAAATTCTTACTCTTCTTAAGTAAATTTCAATGCATTCATTATTTTGGTCCCATTTTCCATAACGGCACAGAGCGCATTGTGGAGGTTTTGTTCCTACAAAGTGGTATTTTCATTATTAGCACACTGCGTTTAGTGTTTTCTTTTCTTCTGCTGGTGCCCATTTGGCATTTTGGTGACTAATTAACTTAAGTACCCTGAAGTGAAAGGACAGCCACAGTAGGGGGGTGTGTCAGTAACGATCAAGTGGCACAGTGAAAATTGCCGTGTCAAGAATGCCCATAAGGCGTTGCTGTGTTCTGTGCTTTCCAGCACACCCACAGAGACCCTACAACATGGCATGAAGCCCTTTTATGTATGTAATCCTGTCCAGATTTACCATTTCCCTCCTCATATAGGATATAAATGCACATGAATGTATCACTTGTATGTAATGTAACAAAAGAAAACACTAGTAAGGCAAAATCTGTCTGGGTTCTTCCTCTAAAGAGCAACACTAAATGCAGCTTCTCTCCAAAGACTCTAATTTAAGGTTCGTTTTTTGCATGCTCCTACTGGTGCTCAATTATCTAGTCTCCTCCAGTGTGGGTGCTCAATCTTGCAGCTATCACTAGAACAAAGTTACCGGCTACAGCTATTCTGCACAACATCCATGTATATACAGGATACGTCTGCCACCTTAGATTTGGTTCATATCATCCATCAGCCCCAAGCTGAATCATCGCGTCCCACAGCAAATAACAGCCACCAAAAAAATAAAAGCTGTGCTGTAAAATACTGATGTGTGCCGGGGTAGCTGTTATATGGAAAGAACAGTGCCTACCATCTGAACAGCGAACAAACCAACTGCTTATCTAGTCTCGTGCCAATAGACTAGGGCTCGTTTTATGTGCAAAGCGCAGGTCTGTGAAATGGTTTTTTATGGACTTTTTTTTCAGTAAGGAGAGAAGTTACACAGGTGAAAGCATCAATGGGAAGCAATAACAAATGTATTATACTATTTTCCACAGAATGAACGTCTTGTCTTTTTTTTCTTTTTGCTAAAGTTACATCACCATTTTGTGGTAGTGTCATGGCTTAGATTTTAGAGCAGGTCTGATTTGAAAAAATAGATGGTACATTCAGATGGTTTTGGGAAGGAAAAAAATGATTCTCCAATGTAGATGCAAGGCCATACACACCCTTTATGTGTTTTTTGTAATCCCAGCATGTTATATATTATTCATGAACTGAAGAACCCTTTTTGTTTTATGTGTTCTGTGCTTGTTGGTTATTCCAGATGAAAGCAAAGACAACTCCGTACCTGGTGTGAATTACAAAGTTCGTATAGGCATGTATTATAATCTTGTGCTATGTCGTACACACACACACACACACTAATACCAACTCTGTGCCTTCTCTCTCCAAAGGCTCGTCCTATTTCTTCAAGGGGAAGGAGTACTGGCGAGTGCCTAGCAGCGACATGGAGGTGGAGGCGGGTTACCCCCGCCTCATCGCTAAAGACTGGCTGCTTTGCACCGAGATGCAGTCGGACTCTCCGGACACAGAGCCCAAAAGCACAGAGACGAGAGGCAACGTGCACCATCACCCGGACCACGCAGAGAATGGATACGAGGTGTGCTCCTGCACCTCTGACACTGCCTCGCCTTTAGGCGCCCGCCCCTCCCCATCACCCCTGTGGCTTCTGCCACCTCTCTGGACGCTCTCGCTGGCCCTCTGCTCTGAACTGCTATGATGCCAAAGCAGGGGACAGAGTTCCTGAGCTGATTGTTGGAGGGCCAGTGGACAGTTATTGGAAGAACTGGAAAATGTTGTTTTTATTATATCATTTGGTATTCTTTTTTTCCTGCTAATTTTGCTGTTATTTATTTTACATGTCATTTGGTGGGCATTGCCAGCTAAAATAATCATCCTTATAGGCAACAATCCACTCACAATGCTTTACAACATTTTTCACTGAATGGTCAAACTGCCTCATCTCTACAAGGAAAAGGTTATTGAACAGAAAATGTATTCCAAGAGCACCGACAGTGATTATTTGTCTGTGTGTGCAGCAGGTTTACAGCAACAAAGCCTTGCATACAAACCAGTTTAAGGCATTCTGGGATGTAGGCAGGTGCAAAGGCGAACACCACGTCATCACATACTGTTGCATATTTTATGAATTTACAGCAGATGCTTTATTACAGGGTAGGTCACCAAAATTAGTTAAAAATGACCAAAAAGCATATTTTCAACTCTCTCACTCGCTCTCTCTCTCTCTCTCTCTCTCTCTCTCTCTCTCTCTCTCTCTCTCTCTCTCTTTCTCTCTCTCTCTCTTACCTCTAGCTGTATCCAGCCACTAGATGGTTCAGTTTTTGTTTCTGTACAGTTCCTGCCTCCACCCTAGTACAATGGAGATGAAAGGAGTTTTGTTTGTGCTGCTCAACACACTGGAAAATGACATTTGAAAGACTCAACAGTAGCGTGTCTTTGCAAAAAAACATTGTCAGTGTTACTCTGGATAATCCTCAGACCTCATAGGGATTATTTCCTTTGTTAAAAAGTAGTTCCAGAGAAAACTGTTTACAACAATGTCCATAGATTATCCAGAGTAACACGGGACACTGTTTCTGAAAAGACATACTGCTATTGAATTTGAAAAGATTTAAAGTTTTAAAAGTATTTTTTCATTGCTGTGTGCACGACTAGCACTTTCCATTCACCTCCATTGTATTGGGTGTCTCAGAAATTATCTGCATGGCTGGATAGCACCAGAGGTAATTGAGGATATATATATATATATATATATATATATATATATATATATATAAGTTTAGGTCGGAACTAGCTTGACTCGTGATCAGCATGAATGTTTTGGCTCCTGCTCTTGCAGGCAGTGTGCAAACTTCTTGCTGTGAGAGTGTAAAGGTGGATGGATGAGTAGGTGGGTGGACCAGTTTTCCTGCTTAAATCCCTCAACTGTACTCTGAAGTTAGGAACTGCTGCTCCTGTACGTATTTCAATGGGTTCATCATTTAAACCTCCAGTCCGGAAGCATTCCCTGCTCTTGGTTTAGTTGTATCTTTTGTATCCAATTCAGATGAAATGATATACCCGTTTATTTTACATTGTTTTGATCAGGTCATAGAATTTATAGAGCCTTTTTGTGACTGTTGGATAGATTTCCTTCATCACCCCGAAATCCTTCTGAAGACAAGAGTCACAACTCGGCCCCTGGATTTATTCTTGCTGTAAAGATATATTTACCTATAGACTGATATATTTGAGTTGAAAGGTTCTGCAGTTATTGCATAACTGAGTGGACTGTGTATATTTTAAGCTGTGTTTTCTAATGTAAAATATTTTTCTAGAAAAATAAAGGAATCTGAACGACTTTATTGGCTATAACTGTGGTCACGTGAATTTGACAGATTTTTTTGAGTACTATGTGTTGCGGCCGACTGTGTAATTATTTTGTGTCATTGAAAAGAAGTCTGGGCTTGAAGACAGATGAAGGTAACATGACAGCTTGCAGACACCAACTGGGAGCTGCTCTCCATCTCTCTGGTGTTTTTAAGCATGTTTCTCTCTTGTAATGGTCACTGCTGCTGATCAGGAAAGCAAACCACATCATACCAGTCACACCACACTCACTCTGAGTCGGCCTTATGAACAGATTTGCTGGCAGAGGATTAAACAGTATACCCATGTTTTTTTAAGGAAGGAGAATCAGAAAAGTAATGTCACCTAATCCAAAAATATTCACCAGCTCAGATACTGCTAATTCAGAGATCAAAGTTAACAGGATGTCAGGCCTGTCAAGTCTTGGTATACTCACACACACACACACACACACACACACACACACACACACACACACACACGAGTAAACACACACTAGCACGCAAGGGCTTGGTTTCAGAAGTGTGGCTGGGGGGAGGGGGGCACAATAAGTCAGAAGTTCTTCAAAGAAAAAGAAGTGAATTGTGAATGCTATTTCTGACATTTTACTTATTTATGTATCTATAGAACTTTCATTGTTATGACATTTGTTATATCATGCTTTCTGAATTAATGAAAATCAGAAATACTGTGCAAATGTCTGTATTATTAATACATTAACCTATAACTTTTGTTGATAGAGACCTAAGACTTTATGATATTGTGATAAATACTGTATATGCATCTCCACTGACAAGACAGCACTGTCCTTTACTGCAATTTGTTTTGCAAGGGCGTAATTTCACACACACAACAAACACCAAATTGACACCTTAGTTTCAGTTACAATCCACACGGAAGTATTGCTCTAATCATGCACAAGCACAGATACAGTATCTGCGTGTCTATGCAGGTGTTTTTGTGGATGTTTGTTCATTTATTCCACCCAAAGGCTGCGGATGAAACTCCGGCAAAATAATGAAGACCCAAAACTTCATTCTGTTTTGAGGTAAAATGAAGTTTAAAAGTTTAAAAAGTCACTCAATCGCCATTTCTGCCAACAGCAGCAGTTTTCCTTCCCTCCTCCTGACACACTCGAGTGGTATTAATTAACTGGTGTGGCTCAGCAGCCACCAGGAGAGCACCTACACCCACAGGCAAATCCAGCAGAAATGGGTGGCTTTCTAGCTGTGTGTCCTGTTTTGGGGAAAGAAACCACTGACGAACCAATTAGAGTGTTTAATTTACCAATATTGCAATGTTATTGAAAATAGAAAGTTATCATTTAAAAAATAAAGTTTCAGTGAATATGCTAAAAAAAAAAAAAAAAAAAAGTGTCATCATCCATGGAGCTTCTTTAATAGTTGACACATGGCACTCTCTCTGCCTGAGTCTCCAGATGGGGCAGGCAGAACCAATCAATCACTCTGTAACTGAAATATTCAAGAGTGGATGAGCTGCTTGCAAATCGGAGAACTCAGGGATGGTTTACAGGCAGGGAGCGTACGGCGAGAGAGAAGAGACAAATGGACAAGAAGTATCAAATTTATAGACAGATACACAGGGTTAGAAACAGGCAAACTGAAAACTGGCAGCCAGAGAACAAAACCACCAACAAACATAGAAAAATAGGAACAGATGTAGAGATAGAAAAAGAAATGAAATGTCATCTCCACAGAGACAGTGGCAAAGATAAAGAGGCAATTTAGCAGTAAGTACATAATCCACATAGGAGATAGGAAACAGTTTCCACACAGTATAGATACAGTCTGTTAAAGGACTATTCTGAGAGCCTTGTTTTTATGGCTTTGATCATTTCCATCAGTTTAGTCAGACAACTCACATCTTAAAAGTTTAATACAGCATTATAACTGAGTTAGATTGTGGCGTCTAGGCTCCGACCTCATCATTCCCTGTAGATATTGGGGAGTGATGTGCAAATACCTTAAACCCCCTAGCCGGGGGCCTACAGGTGGATGCTGGGGTTCCGGTGGGGCTTACAGAACAGCAGGCAGCAACACTGGTGCAGGGCAGTGGCAGCATTGACAGAGCAGAGGGAGAGATGGGAAATTGTGCAGTTTAAATATAATGCCAGATTGGAAGGGTGTGCTTGGTTGGTGTTAATGGAGTGTTATGCATGTCGTGCGTGTATAGCAGCGCAGCTCGAGTTGCCTGCCTCAACTAGCTCGTAGGCTTTGCTCCATTTATGATAACAATACATAAACTCATCAAAGTAACAGCTCAGATCCAGGTACAGGGTGACAGCACTAGGTTAAGGTCAGAGGAGATGACAAGCCTTTTCGCCAGATTATCTAAACCAGTGGTTCTCAACCTGGGGGTCCAGGGATGGAAAATGGGGAATATTTTAATTTAACAATTTCACTGACTACAAGTTAGCCAAATGAGAGAAGGTTTCACACTTTTCCCTGAGACTACATCTTATTAAATATGGGTCTAAGACCTCATGTGGGTCAATTTGGGGTCCTTGACATTAAAAAGGTCGAGGACTGATCTAAACCATTTTATCTGGAGGTGAACCTGTGATTGCACAGGAGAACTGTGTACATGGACAACTATGGCAAGTCAGAAAGTCAAAGTTAAAGCAAGAAAATTGTCTGTAAACTGTTAATATGTTTACCATTCACCTTTGTTTTCTCTTCCAAATTCAAATTTGATCATCTGACAGCTCATGTCGCTGACTTTACTGACGTCGCCACGTTCCCAGATCTCAGCAAACCAGATGAGTATCACAGATATAAATAATTTTCAAATCAATGGTAAAAAGACCTAAGTTGTCATAAACATAGCAATTTCTAAATAAAAGTCTGGGAGAGAGTACTGTCAACAAAAAACAATGGTTCTCCCATTCAGACAGGTGGCAGATGTCAGACCTATGACAAGATGCTACTACCAGAAAAGGGCAACACAAAATCAATCTGCTCTGTATGAGTTTGATTTGGTGTACGTGTGTGTGATTGTGTGTGTGTGTGTGTGTGTGTGTGTGTGTGTGTGTGTGTGTGTGTGTGTGTGTGTGTGTGTGTGTGTGTGTGTGTGTGTGCGTGTGTGTGCGTGTGAGACAGAGCGAGAGAGATTGCCTCAGACAGGGGAGGTTAGTGCTCTGCAGTGATATGAATTCTGAACCATGCTCTCTATCAGACACTCTCACACTCTCTTTGTACCGCTGGTAGCTGGGCTAACCCCACACAGACACATGCATATGATTATTTTCTGTGTGTGTGTGTGTGTGTGTGTGTGTCATAGACCAAGAGGTGGTGGTCATAGGGGAGAGCAGCAGCTGTTGTTGTGGCTGTCCATTTTTGCATCTCGCCTGTCCTCACGCACACATCAAAGAGCTCGGAGCAGGACCCCCCGAAGCCGGCACAGGTGCAGAATACACAACACAGCCCTCTAAACACCTGACAAGGAACAACGTTTGAGCCGTGGGAGACGCTGAAAGGGATGCCACAGTAGTAGCCCAATAGTAGGAAATACAGTGAGTTGTAAAGGTGGAACCTCTTTGGATTTCACATGGATACGTGCACACTGAATATCCCACTACTTAACTCTCTTACATCGTCTGCAAGCATGACTAAACTCCATCAGATATGAGTGGGTTCAGCCTGCAAGTGCATTACAAATATGTAAATGTATTTAAATGTGTGAGATACCGCCGGCTGGCCACAGATCTTTTTCTTTAACTGGAAATGACACTTGAAGGCCTTCGCACTGACTATCAATGGCAGGGCTCCTGTAGGCCGGGCAGAGCTAATCAATCAGCCCTGAAGTGAACCACGCTGAAGCTGAAGTATTCACAGCCGGAGCGATTTCCTGCAGAACCTAACAATGTGTCATGGGATTGGTTTGAGAGGATGTGGTAGGATGTTAACTGTGAGATCCACCATCTGTTGTGGTGGCAAACGGCTTAGAACATGCATCGGAATTTGTAGCAACTGTATTTTCCATGACTTATTCAGATAATGCAAGATAAGGTGCTGCACTTCCTTGCCTACGTCCAAACACATGAAGGTGCTTGTGATCAGGTGATTTACACACTCTGAATTTCCCACAGTAGTCGAGCATTGCTTGGCTTTTTTCTGTGATTATTAACTCATACTGGAAAAATGTGTGAATTCCATTGTAAACGGTAAAGAAAGGTGAAAATCTACTGTATTGTACACATATTTGCAACTACTATTTGTTGGTGCCGTGCTGCCCTCTGCTGGTAATAAATTATGAAAATTTGACACAAGTTGTCAAACTAGCAAGATGTTGTTGATATTTGTAAAGGTATGTATGTATCAAGTATGAATGCCAGTAACCTAAGTCACTTAAAAACAAGAAATAGTGTGTACTGCGATTTTATAAAAATCTAAAATACTGAAAAACAGGCAGAATTTCCCCAGCATGGCTCAGACAACAGGGCAGAATTTCCACAGCATGGCACTCTCAAATGATTGATTAGAGTCTAGAGCAGAAAGACTAAGACCCAATAATGATTTAGGTTCAAGCTGGTTAAAGCCCCTTCGATGTTTCTTTCATTCGTTCCTTCAGATTTCACCTGAGCCGACTGTGCTGGTAGCAGAAGTGTCTGCAGGTCTCGGCTCTGATCTCTTCAGGCATCTTGTTAAATATTTCTGTGGGCTTCTGTTCATAGGCTTTGACTTAAGGTCTAACTCCCCTGGGTCTTCCTCATACCCTCTGTCAGTTTTTATCAGATCTACAGCCACTAGAGTTTCTTACCAGTCAAAAAGTTTTGTTATTGATAAATATATTCCACTTTAGAACATCTGAAACTAACTTATTTCCATAGAAAGCTCTAAACTCCTTATTTTGAGGGCCTCCACTCTTTTTTATTGTCCTTCTCCCAGATGAAGAAATGTCCTTTCAATTTCCTTCTACCTTTTTATCTTTAGCTTCCCCTTCCTGTCTCAAGAGGTTTTTTCCCCTCTTGTGCCCTCTCTCAAGGGCTTCCTCATCATCTTTCATCACTTTCTCCTCTGCCTTCACTTTCTCTTGCCCTTCTCTTTGTCTTGCCTTTTTTCCCGTCTTCCTCCTCTAATTTTTCAGTTTAATCGTTTCATTAATTTCTCTCTTTCCTCTCTTTCCATCAATTCCTTTTCAATTTCCTTTAATTTGTCACGCTTTTCACGCTAAAAGTCGAAGAGTCATTATTCCCTTTGCATGAAAATCTTTTCCTCCCCCTTTAAATTTTAAGATGTCCTTGGTTAGACCTTTACAGAACTTACAGTATGTTTACTTTCCTCGCTGTTTGTATTTCTCTTTTGAAATATGACTTTGTCTACCCTCTGAATCTTATATATGTACATATTATATATATATATATATATATATTATTCTGTGCCCTGTCCTGTAAACCCAAACATTATATTTTACCACAAAAGTGAAAATTAATAGTGTAATTTGCAACTTTCATGCTTTTCTATGTTTGTTGTTTACAGACGATCAGTGCTGGAATACATTAAATGCATCATACCCCTAAAACAACATCTCCTACACTAACATAATAAGACAGAATAGTAGAAACTGAATAAATGTAAATATGTCTTTATCCTTTATAATAATTGAGTACTACTTCGGCAATGGTATTACCTTCCTCCTAATATTATTTTAGCTCCGGTGAAACCGCCTTCAGACAGAGTACTGTGTGTTAGTATATTAGGTGCAGAAAAGCTAATTTTCCCAAATGTCTGTGTCAGCGAGCTCAGCAGACTGTGGGTTTATGGTCTATAGAAAATGTTTCTCTTTCCCATTGTATTCTGTTATCATATATATTTATAATATAAATTACATACTAATATATATATTAATTTGTTCATACATATTGTAAATTGTATATGTATATTTTTCACATTTTGCTTGATTACATGTATTACTCTGCATACTAATCCATATGTAAATACCAGTCTTTATATTAATATTTCTTCCAAACATACTACGTTTACAATGCCGTTAGGCACTATACTGGTTGTCTATATACAAAGTGCTTAACTTTGATGTTTTTGTTATCTGTTTTTCTACTGAATTCTGTCCTTAAAGCAGTTTGATTTGATCTCTTCAGGGCACTGTTGGATAACTGTTGGGGCTTGAAGGCCGAATTGCATTGTGGGTATTATTGATCACAAGGACATATTAATTAGACAACAGCATAATGCAGATACTGTATATCTATACCAAAAGAGAATGTATTATTAGTTTACAGCAGTTTGGATTTTCAGGGAGAGATCCAGTAGGAGGCAGTATTGGCAAACAAGAGCTTTAATGAGCCTTTATTAAGGTTTCTAAACATTTCTTCAGATCTCAGCTGTGGGACAATGGAGAACAATATTATACCACAAATGTGTGTTAATTTATCACACAGCTCCAGTAAAGGCTAGTATACCTTAATCAACATACTTTATTAGATTAAAGCATCGGAACAACTTGCAGCTTCACCGTTCTCTCTTGATCTTTGCCTTGCAGAATTATCAGTTTTGTATGTTAAGCTGACACTGCGGTTTTGGTTTATAAGATAGTGGAGGAGGTTGTTTTTGGAATAAATGAAAGTGTTGTGAATTCCCCCTCCCCGCACAAACACATATCTCTCTTTCCCTAGAAATCAAATGCCTTGCTTGGGGAGTACCTTAGCATTCAGTTTTAAAAGCCGGAGAAAGGATCCCTCCCGCACAGTCACCCACTATATCCAAGTGGTGAACAGATCACAGAGCCACGTCTCCACACTACCACCGCTGAGGTCATGCACTGCATCTTCCAGCTGCAGCTTCGACTTACTAGTCGAAACTGTTGAAGCCACAACGTTTCCTGTGCCATGAGATATTTTTACTGCAGCAGAACTGATGCATTACAGAAACAAGACACAGCGTTTGCTTGCTGTTCACTTTGCTGTTGGATTCACAGCAAACCACTTTGTAAAACTGTGCAGCAACCTAAAATCCAATGTAAAATGTTGACATTTTAAATTGACTTTGTAGCATAGCTGCAGAGGTGACACACGCCGCAGGCAGGAACAGACTGAATTCCATCTTCAAGCCTGAAGTTGATTTAAGCAGAGGAGAAATGTTTCAACATGCCTACAGTTGGTGCAGAAAGGCCTCATAAACACAGTGGGCTGCTCTTTCTAAGAGTGCTCTGAAATCAGTAGAGGTGACTCATTCTGCTCAGGTAAATAATACGATAATAATGTACAGTATGGACCTATGGAACTTCTTTTAGGACATATTTTTAATTTCTTGAAGTAAGCAAACAGTCATAACCCTTTTGCAGAGCCTTCCATTTGTCTTAAGAGTGGGAGAGTTTTAATCCCTCGTCTAGTTTTTGTTCCCTTTTTCCTCAAGTAGTTTCAAGGTTGCAAAATTCCACTCTGTCGGACCGTATCACATATATCCTGTTTCAGCTCGTTCTAACTCTTCATTGAAGCTATATGTTGTTTGTATATGGAAACATTCAAACCCCTAAGTTTCCATGTTTTTGTGGCTGTACCATTCCAACAAATTGAAATATATATACGCTGTATAACATGCACATTTCCCCCGCAAATTCAGCCTAGTTGGTGTCTTTGGACATGGAGATCCCCATTTGAATTTAAAATTGTTCATGAAATTCATGTAGGATTATATTCATTGGGCTGTAAACTGTGTCCTCTGAAGTCCAAACTGCTGCTCTTCCCTTCCTCCCATCAGTCTTTCATGTGAATGGGCTGCTAACTACTGGCTCCATCAGGCCCACTCTCCTCCCAGGGTACTGGGGTTGGGGGAGTTGGGGGGCAGGGGCCAAATGGCCACATAGGATTAGTGGCATTGTCCACCACTGTCAAGGCTACACCCCAACAACTCTAATCACCTCTGTAATCTGCAGACTTGTTCTCAATACACAATCAAAGCTGCCAGGAAGGGACCTGTTAGTCTGCTCTTCCACCCCCCGGGGGCACTTTGAAATTCTGCTCACTGTCTTTCAACTTGGACTGAAGGACAGTGAATCTTTAATGCACCTAGTGCATATATAGAGTATGGCTGGCATATAGTTGAGCACTTCAAATTCATCACAATAAAGTATTTGATAGATTATGTCTTTGGACATATCTACATAATCGTAGAAGCCATTGTTGTGATTGTCCCTAAAAGTCTGTTCAGAGGTCACTCATAACAACAACCAAGGAAAACAGACTCTTTAAAGATAGTCTTAGAATAAAATAAAATAAAAATCTCTTTTATGACATATTTTTCCAGTTTGTCTCTCTGGGATAAAAAATAACAAAATGGTAAGAATGAAAGACTTTGCAGGTCGATATATATCCAAACATAGACTTTCACCCCAACATACGAGTACTGAAATGGCTTGTGCACATATCTTTGAACAAAAGAACAACATCTATGCACAGTCCTGCAGTCTGGTAGATCAACTTTTAGGTTTACAACTAGATCTACTACACCATGTAGTATTCTCACCTGCCCCCTCACTCTGCTCTGATGACACCCCCTTGGCTGTTTAGACCCCACCCTTTCTGTGATGACCAATCAAGTTCAAGGGTCAGACTTTCCAAGGATAGAGACCCCTATGTATTTGACTTCAGCGTTAGAGCACCTGAAAGCAGCACTTTGTCTCAGAACTACTGCGTTGGTGGCAACAGTAGGAGGACACAGTAACAATGCAACATATCTCTGGTAAGTTCTATCCTATTGAATGTAACTATGCTGTATGTGCCATGTAATACACACTGTGATGGTTATTTCTGTTTGGGTTGTAGGTAAATAATCACAAGATGTTTTCCTTATTTCTGATTACTTTCTACCACAAAAATTTCTTCCAGAGCATGTAGGCAATTGTCATTAATATTTTACGGATAGGAATATTTAGAATTGAAAAAAACATGCAAAACATATCCTTGTATATCAGTAGAAAACATTTTAAGTTGAACTGTTCACAGAGAGATGCAGTATGTCTTTAGTTCTGCATGCTTTGTGAGAGCATATTTTGTTCCTGTTTTTATTACTCCTATAAACTCCACGCTGCAACAAACCAGTCATGTGTTCTATAAATACGTCTGATTATGCAGAACTTTTATGCATGTGTTTTCTCCACAGACCCCAAATCGAATCTCAGCATGCGCCGGTCCCCACCAGCAGCTGACTCATATCAGCAAGGCTGCATCAGGATGACCCTGGAGAATGCAGATCTCTGGAAGTCCTTTCACAGCATCGGGACAGAGATGATTATAACAAAGCATGGAAGGTACAGCTAGCCGAGTACTGAAATAAGACTCCCCATTCTGAAAATAGCATTGGTGCTTTGTGCCATTGATCAAAACATACAAGAAACTGACTGTTCTGGTTGCAACCATTTTGCCAACTCATTTAAACCATGATTTTGTGTATTTGTTTCAGGAGAATGTTTCCACACTGCAGCATCAGTCTATCTGGGCTCCAACCTTTTGCCAATTATGTCATCATGGTGGATATGGTTCCTGTAGACAGCTTCAAATACAAGGTAAATGCATGTACAACACACACTGTATGCACTCCTTTGGTTGCAGACAGAGCCTGTTCATTTAGCACGAAGCCTCCTAATTTCTTGTTCTTGATTTTTGTTGTTTTCCACATTTTGTTTTGCCCAGAGACTGCAGTATGTAAAACACAGCAGTCTGCAGCCAGACATTGGCCTGCCCACTCTGGGCCGTTCGCCGCTGCATATCAAAGCCTTTCATTGCTTCCTGTTTGTGCACTCTCGGCTGGAGGCCCAATCAATTAGCACCCCTCCTTATTCGCAATCGGTGAATGAGGGAGCAGCCAGCCATCCATACATTCAACGACTCTTACCTCAACTGCTGTGGCCCATTTGGTCACAGATATTGCTTTTAGCACACACTTGGAAACAATGAAGTGCATAAGAAAGGGAGAAGAACTGTAGGAGAACACACAGGATGTTTTTTGGGTGGAGGAATTGGTGAAAACAGTGTTTTCTTTATGATTTCCCTTACAAAAAATAAGTGACCATAAGATAAGTTCTCACGCACTACAGCTCTCTTTGCATTATCATTATGAAGTTCGAAAAGGCATTTCATGCTTCCTGTAGACTTTTGATCAGACATGTGCTCAGGTCTCACACTTGATAACCTTGTATCCATCCCTCCCCCATTCTCTGTAGTGGAAAAAGGAGCAGTGGGAGGTTGCAGGGAAGGCAGAGCCCCAGCCCCCGTGTCGGACATACATGCACCCAGACTCCCCTGCCCCAGGAAGTCACTGGATGAAGCAGTCGTTGTCTTTTCTCAAGATGAAGCTCACCAACAACACTTTGGACCAGCACGGCCACGTAAGACGCAATCTTACACACGGTTAAAAATTATTATACTATGCTATGTTTAGGTTTGCAGTTTTTTTTTGGTGCGCTCACTCTGGTCTTCTTTTACCCCATCAGATCATCCTGCACTCCATGCATCGCTACTACCCCAGGTTTCATGTCACCCAGGCAGACAGTCCTTACACTGTCCGCTGGGGCCCATTTCAGACCTTCTCCTTCCCAGAAACGACCTTCACTGCAGTGACTGCTTACCAAAACCCAAAGGTATAAACATGTGCAGTAGAACTAAACACAGAAGTAGTGAAATTCCGGTTTGGTTGAAACAAAGCAATGCACCACCAACAACAGTTTGACAACAATCTTCTCTTGCCCTTCTTTAGATCACCAAATTGAAGATTGACCACAACCCGTTCGCCAAGGGATTCAGGGAGGGAGGCACCCACTCCCACAGTAAAAGGTAGGAATTATAGTGATTGGTTAAATTAAATCACAATACCATATTTGTATATGTACCTTGTGTTATGCTTTTTTACTTTTGTTTTAAGCCAATAGAAACATATAGGGAAACAACAGTAAAAAATACAGAAGTGTCAAAAATGCTCTATTGTTTCATAGGTGCCGTCCAAATAGAAGCCCTCCTGCAAAAAGAGCCGCACTGGACAGGAAAGAGCTTTGCAACAGTCCTCCAGGTAAGTCATTTTCAAGTACAGCATTTCATACAGCTTGTGTACCAATGCCATTATACTTCTATGAGATCTTTATTAAGCATTGTATTTCCCTCCCAGGCCTGCAGAGGATGCCCTCCACCTCTCAGTCAGTGCAGCCAGAGAAGAATCAGGCCTCCACGCAGCAGTCATTGAAGGGGGGTGACCTTTCAGCCTGGGCTCTGGAGCAGGACCCATCTGAGAGTCTACATGCTGAGCCTCTGGCACTGCATGACTATGACTACAGCTGTGAAGAGCAGATGGTGCCTGCATCCGTCGCATACCAGCCCTACAGGTATGATTTTAAATATCCAGGACGAGATCAGATCCAATGAGACATAGCACAAGCATTTATAACACAGAAATAAAAGAAATGAAGCGATAATGTTGCAAATATCTAACTGTAACAATATAAAGGAGGAATGTGTGTAATACAAAGGCAGCAGATATGATGATGCATGAAAAGTAACCATAACGCCATGTTCTTTTCCCCAGATCTGCGGAGTACGCCAGATTTCCACTACCATCCACTGACGTAGATGCATCGCAGACCCCCAACCACGCTCCTCCTCATCCCCTTGCCACAGCTGAGCACAACGCACAACAACATGGCTACTACCACCATCCCCACCAACACAGCCACGCAGCGGATTGGAGCCAGTACCCACTATTCTCCTACTCCTGTTGGTGAACTTTGACCAGTTGCAGTGGTGACATCATTGACGGTGGATTAAACTACTAAAGCCCTAAAGGAATGGTGTTATTATGAATGGACCCGCAACAGACACGCCACTCCAGCAGTTGTTAAAAGTGTATAATTGTGTATAAAGTTTCATGTATTTCCAAGAGCTTGTATTGTGTACGGGCATCACTTTAATTTTTCTCAGTTTCACAGGACAAAAATCATCTGAAGTATGTTTTCATCTCTTTTTATTTGCTAGTTCAGTTTGAGTTTGCACGGTTGTCAGTGTAACAGTATGTTTTTTGAGATATATATATACTATTATTTGTACTGTATCCAGTCAGCTGGGAAATAAGTGAAATTTAATCTGCAGTTGTGATGAAAAGATACCTGTATGTACTCTAACAGACCTTTAATAAGATATCATATTGAGGAATCAGAGGTTTATGAAAAGCCTTTTTTTCATTTGTAATTACATAAAATACAATTTAGTATAAAACTGAACTTAATGCATAACAAAATGTACTTTTATTCAACACCAAACTGTGTGAACAATTGTAAAGTTTTAGAGTCATATGTAAGTTGAATTGGTATCTGCATCAAAAAGAAAAGAAAAAAACATTGTATATGGGTGTTTAGATGCTGAGGAAAGTTTTATCACAATAAATGGAAATGAACAACAATGAATAAACCAGTATGACATTCGGGAATTCTTTACGGTATTCTGATTAGAATTAAAGACATAAAACTAATCTGATTCTTAATGGGATGGGCTGCGACAAATACATTTGAATCTGAGCCACAAACCCATAAACAAGACTAATGACCTGCAGTGTCTGTAGATAAAAATGGCTCATTCTACTGTAACAAAAATACGAGTCTGACATTCAGATCATTATACACAAATGAAAACATCTATGAAAATCATATTGATTTCTGCCAATAGATCCTCCTACTTGTTACACACTGGACCTTTAAGGTATTAGAATTCATGCTCGGGGGATTCAGTGTTATGAGATATCGGACTCAAAATCACGATTGTCAACCTCAGTGGCGTTGCTAGAGAATAGGTCATTAGCCATTATGGTACTTTTTCTGGGAACCATGATTTTCTGTCAAAATTTTACAGCCATCCATCCAATAGTTTTTGAGATATTTTGGGCTGGACCAATGTGGTAGACTAACCAATCCACCAACATTGTCATCCAAAGAAAAAAAATGCATAATTGATTCTTATTGACCTACCAAAGGTGCAACCAATGTTCCAGTTACCACCAACAAAACCATGAACATAGAGATCTCTGCTCTCTAGCACATGTATCCAGACAAGACTGTAATGGCATCCGGATCCCACAGAGATAGTTCCCAACACTCTCCTTGGGATCATGACCCTGCTGCTAGTAACCCATTGCTATACTCCAAACTAGCTGTGAGTTCAGCTATTAAATGTCACAAGAACACCAAGTATGTCTTCATCTTCTGTTTGTGAATCCTCTGAGCATAAGCATTACACAACAACAGCGTATATAGAAGGCAAGAAAGAGCGAGAACGACGGAGCAATGAGAGACTGTCCTAGAGCAGTGAGTCTGACCTGATAAAGCGATGACAGACAGCTAGTGTGGAATTACCATCATGGTCTGGCATAGTTTCCCCAGCAGAAGGCAGGAACGTCTGTGCTGTAAATGTTTTACGAGAGAGAGAGGGAAGCCATATCTGGGACATTTATAAAGCTTCAGGGTGCACACGCTGCAACGGAATTTTCTAGAGCACATCAACTGACGTGTTTCTGTGTAATACACTGTTTTAACATCGAGGCAAGATCATAAATGGTGGCAAACCTGGGGCAGATATGGTCGCAGTTGCTGTGTTTCTATAGGACACTTCATTAACACCACACATGTTGGCTGGAAGGAGGTTTGAAAGTGTGGCATTACAGACCATACAGGATGGTTGTTTTGAACCTCCAGGTCTTCCGGAGGTAGCCTGGGTCATCTGGGTCACCCACATAGCTCATCCTGGATTCCTCTCACCTCACTATAAAATGAATTATAGACCACAGATGGGGTCAATTAGTGTGCTCGAGTTATAATTCCAGCACAGAGGGGCATGCAAGTGTTTAGTCAAGGCCTTTACCAGAGCCGACTAATGTTCCTAAGCTCTGTTCTATACCATGGAAAATATAAAGGCAGAGGTATTTAAAACAATCTGCCATTTTAAGCAAAAGATGTACTTGAGAACGAGGATCTCTCAAAATGAGCGAATTGTGTTGGTTTACGTTTTTTTTAATCATCATTCAAACTGCGCTACTTGCTTTGGATATTCTTATTACATTATTACATTATTATGGCTAATTACATGAGAGGGACTGAGATAACTGACTGGCATTACCAGACGACACACATGCTACTCTAAGCCTGACTGTGCCAGTTACAATGCTGATTAATTCATGGGCTTACATCTTATCCATCATGAGTGCTGACTAACAACTGATGGATAAAGCTCTGAAACACATTCACACACTGGTTCATTGACAAAAGCCCAAAGAAGGCAGCATGTGGGCTAAACGCAGACATCTAATGTTAGACTTCATGTTCATTAGCTCAATAAACACTATGGTTAACATGATGGTGTCAATTATTCTCTGTGTGAGGGGGCTGGTAGTCACTGATAGCTCCGCATGTTCAGAAAACAGGGGGCTTAAACAGAGGAATGGTTTCAAAGTCCAACCAAAAAAACAAGAAATTTGTATGTCCTGAGGCAGTATTTTCGACTACATTCAGAACATTTATATTAAGATGAATTATGCATATTTATTAATATGTTAAAATCAGTTACATTATTTATCCTTTTTTTTTGTTTAAATAAATTATAGTCCTCTTTTATGTGAATCATTTATCTTAATATTTTCATACAGCAAACATTCACTGTGTATTCACCTCTGTGGGTCATATACTGTACAGCATGGCAGCTGCCATCACAGCTAGTTTGAGGGGGGTTGTGGTAATGGACTGTAGGAAGGCCTTCATCGACCCTGCCACACATCCATTAACACACACACACACACACACACACACACACACACACTGACATACACTGTGCCCTGAGGAGAGGTCAGACTCAGCTAAGTTTGATTCATTATGGTGGTTCTCGCTGGAGCCACTGCCTATCACAGTCCAGAGGAGTACATCGATTGGCTTTAATGGCAGTTTAACCTGGCAAAAACACACAGCTCAAAGCATCCAGGGGTAAAAACCAGAAAGAGGAATAAATACAGTAACCCTAATCATCAATTTGAAAGCCTTATACCAAAGTTAGAGAACCTGAAACATTCACATGTAAGTCCATGTCAATGTTGTATGATTCTGTTATAGTCTTTAGTGAAGTAGTGTTGTTGACTGAGATTAATAAGTAAAGTGTATAAAGAAGATTAATGAAGCTATATAAATCCCCTGCCACATTGTATTCATAATATTGTTTTTTCCTTATAAATGTAGGACTGCTACATCTGATCCATCAACATCTGCATTTTCACCTGAGCATCACAAGCATAAGCTGTGATTTAACCTTGACAAAGTCTGCTCCTGTGACTTCCCAGACTTTATCCATAATTCATTAATTCCCTCACAATGTTATAAAAGCCCATAAGCCAACACATCTTGTTATTATGGTAATGGTGGTGAAGGACAAGCAAGTATTTCCAGGCTGCAACATCATCAATTAGTGAGCAGTCTCAGACAGGTTGTGCAGGAGGACCATTGTTATCTGTGTAGAAGCATTCCACACTCATTCACCATGGATACATGTGTGCCCACAGCTGCTACACATGGGAACAGCTGCATATTCTTGCATATTCATATGAGCTTCAATGAAGTCCCAGTGGAGGTTCAGTGTGAATGGTTGGAGTTTGCTTACATTTGGCCAAAGTCCTGTTTATTTATCACCTTTCCACTGTGAGAAGCACCTGATCTGGAGTCTGATTTATGCCTGGCAGTGTGGTAATAGTTTAATTTGAATAATAATTGTACCACTCTTACAGAGGTACCTCTAAAAACATGAGTGGAGCAATAAGGCCCTGCTTTTTCTATGATACTGTCGAAAGCACCATGCTCATCCTTAAGTGGCACAAGTATTGTAAGGGAAATCTAAGTCTCATCAGGGCTTTATATATATCTTACAGTACTCAGTAAACAGATATCTAGGCATTGCATATCACTTATTGCTGCATACACAATCATTTGCCAGATCATATTAACACTTAAGGACCTATTGGCTTATACTTATATGTGCACCTTGTTTTAAAAGTGCTGAACACTCACAGAGCTTGCCCATCTGAAGCACTGCCCTTGAAAAGTTTTCCATTCCCCTCTCTGTAGGTCAGCTTTCTTTTATTAGCACTTCATTAAAATTCATTAATTGCTTCCTTTCTCCTGGGCGCAGCCAGAATCAAAACTGGAACTGTCAAAAATTAGAGCAGGAGCAACTGTCCTGTGCTCCAGATACACAACCTGTGACGCCAGACAAGTCCGCACCCCCCCCATCTGAGTTAAAAAGACAACACGCGTACAGAGGACAGAGATACCAGACACATCGACTTAAAGAAGTAGACGTAAATTTTATTTACTTGTTCTGTACATAAAGGGTCAATACCAGCACAGGTGTTAACCATGGGAAATATTAACACATGTAAATGGTATAAGAAAATAAAAGGCACAATTTTCAATCCTTAAGTAAAAGACAGGCTTTCCTAGAATATGAGAAGAGAGCACAGTAATACTGTTAATGCCATTACAAAACAACAAACAGAAGCATGAGAAAAGCAAGTTCACCTCAAGAAAAGGAAATAATCAGGGTGTATTGCTTAATTAGTAGATTTCATTAAGTCTGATGAGGAAAACCCACACTGGTTTGTTTGAGCAGACCAGGATGGATTTAAAAAAAAAAAAAAGAAAACCTTTATTTAATAAGGACATAAATGACATTAAGCAGCATTTGGCCGGGTAGAACCATCTCCCCGGGCCAAGAGGTCATGCACAGAGGCAACCAGCAGGCATTTTTCCCTTTTGTAAATGTCACCGTAGGTACTTTTGTTTAATAACATCACTCATTTTGAAATGCTTGATTTAATAGCGGACTAGAAACAAAAAAACAAAAAAAAAAAAAAAAAAAGATTGGGACACAACTAAAAGCTGCACAATGTTACTCAGAGTGAAGAGCTGAGCAACGATTTCAACGGAAAGCCGTGAGACAGACAGGGGGATGGAATAGTTTTTTTTTTTTTTTTTTTTTAACAGCAGAAATCTAGGGGTCAGAACTGTTTGTACAACTGTTTAATCCTCAGCTCCTACTGATCAAATAGAATTGGTTGCAGCGCAGTATGAACAAAGACGCTTTCCATTACTCCGTTTGCATAACAAGAGACCGATATTGTGCACGGAACAAATATTTAAAAGGTATAAAGCTGGTTGAAATCCTAAATTGACAAGAGTAACATCACATTAAAAAAAAACATGGTTAGAGAGGGGATTGCATGCATTAAAAGATGCATTTACTCTCTGAAAAAGGCATTGATGGGATCTCATTGGCTTGCTAATACATTTCCTCCTCCTCATCTGACCTACACCACTGAGAGTGAAGTTTCCCCTCAGTGGACGGCCTTCGGTCCTCATCCCAACATTGCGTTTTTAGCTAGCCTTGCAGTCAGATGCTTCTGGGATAGTGCTGCCCAGGACTACTGCCGTTGCTATTTGACTTGTTCGAAGCTTTGCACTCCAATGCAGAAAGTTGAAATCTATCTTCTAGTGCTTGGTGCTGTCGGCACTAAAAAAAACCTGCTAATCTCTAAGCAATGACTTTTTAGTTCGAAATTATGTGAAAGACCGTACAGAGAGGTACCGAGTGGACATGCAAAGTTACCCCTCTACCATACATCTCCATGTCACAGATTAAAACAAAAAAAATAAAATAAAATACTATCATTGATCATGTGGCACAAATAAGAAAAAGAAAATAGAAGATGAAATCATCAATCATATGGCCGTGTCATTTCTTATTAACAAAAGATAAATAAGTCTAGTCAGCCAGACTTGGGCCAGGTTGAAGAGTGGATGGGCTCATGGGATCTATGAAGTCACGTTACGAGCTACATCCTCCACAAACCCATCTCTCCTGCTTCCTGCTCCAGTCACACATCACATGCACATCAAAAACCTGTCAACCTGAATAACTCATGGCCAATAAGTGTGTGTGTGTGTGTGTGTGTGTGTGTGTGTGTGTGTGTGTGTGTGTGTGTGTGTGTGTGTGTGTGTGTGTGTGTGTGTGTGTGTGTGTGTGTGTGTGTGTGTGTGCGCGCGCGCTTGAGTGTGATGGTTAAGGTACAACAGTGACTTGATTGTTTGGAGAAATAACATTTGACTGGCTGGTTAGCTCCTCATTGCCTCAGTGCTCTCCCAAGTCCATAGGGATATTGCTTTTCCCTACTTCGTACAAATATCCTCACATCAACAAAACAAACACCCACCAACACGTCCCAAGACTTCAAAACAAATATTCAGAGAATCAAATAAAAAATAAAAACCGACCTGTCGTGATGTAATGTGGAAAATATCTATTGTGAACACACAAGCACACAGTCACTCACTCACTCGCACACATGCACTTATACATACGCGCACATGTACACACTCGCACTGATGGACACTAATGCAAAAACACTGCCCAGCCTGGAACCAAGACACAGGAAAGGGGAACTGGGAGAAGTGGGGTCAGGTTTTTTTAGTTTGGATCCAATGTCCAAAAGCTGTAAACAGTCAGAAAGCCTTGCAACGGTTGGCAACAACAGAGGGGTCGCTATCATTGTACAGCCCCAAGCAGGCAAGCACGTAACCGTGGTGACACTGGCGGGAAAGGTTGGAGACAGCCAGCACATTCAGGTACAGGTCGATACTGGCGAGAGGGTCCAGTCGAAACTCTTAGGTCAGTCACTCTCATCCGGATTCTGGGGGTCTATGATTTTGACGTGGGTGAATGGGAAGAGACCCCTCCGTCCATTCACCTCTCCCTCCCACTGACCGCTGATGTTCATCCTCGTAACCTTGACAATGTCACCAACCTGAAGAAAGGACAGAAGGGTTGAGTTACAGGAGGAACAGATTCACTACATACATTACATACAAAAGGCTTTCAGTGTGGCTTGAGTTTTTTTATAGTATGCATCTTAGACACATGTGTTACAAAGAAACCCAAAGACACAAATATCTCTATCTTCAGTCAAGTGGTCAGAAGATGATAAAACAGCAGTGTGTATGATTCAGTATCATCCAGCAGATTGCAATCATTTGAATACAGCTGAACCTTCAAAGCGTTTGAGAAACTAAAGGGGCCCCGAACTTGCGAAAAGGCCCATCTAGAGCCAGTGTTTGGTTTGTCTGCTCTGGGCTACTGTAGGAACATTTTAACATGGTGGACTACAAAGGAAAGGACCAGCTCCCTTCAAAAGAAAAAAAAAAAAAAAGCTGGTTATAAAAAGGTAACAAAAACACAAAGATTCTTATTGTCAGGTGATTATGCACTAATGAATACATACCTATGAATATTATATTCTATTTCTACCAACAGATTTCACACAGTACTTTAAATAGGAACATTTACCTCCTGGTCACGGATGGCTGCACTACACCATTTGCTATGACATAATCCGTGGAGCAAAGAAGTTATATAATGACTTAACAGTGAAATATAGTTTGTAAGCGCAATTTTCACACAGTGCACCTGCAGATAAAGTCAAAGACAAAAGGTTAATTTGAATTTGAAGCTGGTAATTAACTGCTGTACCAGACTCTGTTGTAAAGCTATAGCACAGTTAAGGCAACATTTTTCATAGCCTGAAGAAATAACTAAATACATTTGGCACATGGCCAATTTTTATTCTAAAACCTGCTCTAAATTACACCAGAAACTATACATGAGAGCTTTACACAACATCCAGTACATGAACACGCTTTTTAAAATAAGAGCCGTTTGTCAGATTTGCACATGCGCATTACACTGTGGAACAGACGACAGAGCTGTCGCTCAGATGGGTGTGTGACACCGAATGTGACCCCAATCTGTTAAAGCCATATGTTCTTTATCAGGATTAGAAGGGAAAAGTCTCCATCATCAGAACCATGATTGAAAAGTGAATGTGGCAGCTTTAACTTCAGAATGAGGCTTCAAGGACATCTAGTCCTAGACATTATCTGTAACAATAACCCTTTACGCTCCCTGGAATGACAAGAATGCTACTTAGTCATTAAAAGGTTCTATGAAACTCCTCTGTCAATCAGCCTGTTTGAAAGAATCATGCTGTAGTGAAATTAGACTGCCAGCACTTATATTTAATTTTTTTTAAAAAGGTGGAAAAACTAACTCATAACTCAATTCCATTAAGTTTCAGAAGTGGCTGGCTGTTAAGAATGCAGATTTTAATTACAATTGTTAAAGTATGTTAAATAAGTCCTTGTTAACCTAGTACATGGTGCATTTTCTAACTATAACAAATAATAGTATCAACATTTACTGTGACCACACACACACACACACACACACACACACACACACACACACACACACACACACACACACACACACACACACAAAAGAATTATAGCATAATCACTTCAAAGAATCTATTAAGAAATCATTAATGAAAAAACAGACAAGTACTATGCTAGAAAAATGAACACAAAATAGCCTAAATAATCGGATTTCAGTTGTTGTGGACTTCCGGTCTCTGAAGTTAATAAATAATGACACATGGCTTTTGCTTCTTCAACCCCAGTGTAGCCACAGTACAAAACTGGAGAGGTCTCGCTGTAAGCTATGATCTATACTGACCCAAAGACAGAGACGGATAGAGGAGACATGAGACACGATATGGTATGCGTTTTGGGTGCAAAGTAAGTTTTAGATCAGTAAATCTAAAATACCACAGGAAATAGTAGGGTTTCAGCTAGTTTATCTCTAGTGGCTGGTTTCTAGGGTTTCTGGTGGCTTCTTTATCTCACTTAAAAAAAAGGTAATTACGACACAAACTACTCAATGTTGCGTAAGTGCAAAATTCTGGCTTTTGTACTTTCTTCTATCTCTTTCCAAATACTTTAAAGAAGATCAACAGAATATTTCAGGAGCTCACACTTCAGAAAAATACTTGGTCACAAAGTTTTAATAACACACAATAGTGAAAGATAAGAGCCAAAATGCAAAGAGCAGCAGACAATTTGGAAAGGATTTTGTGCACTAAAATGTGAGATTGTTGGTGACCGATAACAGATTAATACAAATTCCGAAAACAGATGCAACTGGATAAGGGTTTTCCTCAGTACTCCCAGGTTGATGTGAAGGGAAGTGAAGAACAAAGGCAGCAATTGCACCTGCACTGCAACTCAGTAAACAATTCTTGAGAAAAATCTATCATCAGGGAACCATATATACATACATACACAAAACCACTTGCAATGACAGCAGTATCTGTATTTCTTAATTATAGCTGGTGAAAAAGAAACAAAAAGTTCAGAAGTTATTTTCTACTTTTGCTTCTTCTTTGTAGGAAAGATTCTGCTCATCAGCTGCACAGTAAGTACTAGAGCGAGCACTAGACCTGGAGCCTCTGTACCCATTGTATCGTGTGCCCAGTAAAAGCAAAGTGACAGCGGCACTGTGTTAGGTTCAAGCTTGCCACAATGTGTAGTCATTCCTAAAACCCTGGATGGCACCGGCATCAAACAGCATAAACTAAGATGATCCAGAGCAACACACAGCAAGTCTGGATATCACACTGGACACACGGCCCTGACAGTTAGGTGGGTTGATTGGTATGAGGAGAGACCAGAGGGAGAGAGATGCATCTAAGAGGACCAATTTACAAGAAAACATTTGAGAATCAAAATTAGCAATTACAAATCAAGCCTTCTACACCATCTATCATTAAGACTATGTAGTTTGCATCAGTTTTTTTTTTTTTTAGATGCTTCTTACAGACTTTTGTAGTCTTGACTTGTGCCTGAGGATATAGTATCAGTCTGAAAGTGCACACATTTGCACAGCCTCTCTTCATCCCCAGGATTAGCAAAAAATGGAAGTTCAGATACAGTTTTTCACAACATCACATTAGAGGTGTGGCAATGTAGGCCTGAGAAATGTGTCTGAAAAAGAGGCAGCACCTCACACTGACACGCACACAGACAGGGTGAGACCTTCATTGCTACTTTGCATTTGCTCACATGTTCTATGGTTTTAAAAAAGGAGAACAGTGGGCCTTTTTGGCAGCTAGCTAACAATGAAGGAAGCGTTTACATGAACTGGGCTTACTATGAGTAATAGTGACTCAATACAAAATATCTTAATCAGCTTAAAAACACTGATGGGAGCTTGGGACATCCCCAAGTTTGTTGAACAAAACTAATAACTGGAGCAAAAGTAAGGTTTGATCAACATGGTGTCCTTGCTGCCGCATTTATAAATGTTAATGTGAAGCAGTATACGGGGTATTCTTTGGTGAATCAAGGGTGCTCTAGAATTGGAAGATACATGTGACCTCTTTTTTTAATACATGGTGGTACACACTGAAAATACACTTAACTGGTACACTATAAGATTACAAGGAAAGGTACAACATAAGTGCCAAATAAAACAGTTTGTGTCATTTGTGCACACTGCTTTCCCTACTGACCCATTCATCTGTGTTTGTGGAGTTGGTTAAATGAACATTTATTCTAATAGAAGTTTCCATTCTATTCTCAGTACAGCCGTTGACAAAAGATTGACAGTGATGGGCAATGGAGGATGTAGACCCGAACCGGCTGACGTGTCTGGTTGACCAATTTAACTTGCGCCACAGTGTCTGAATGAGGTATTAGACATTTCCTGAGGTGATTGTTGTTCTTAGTTATTGGTAAAATGGGACGCAGGGAAGAGAGCAGAGAAGACAGGACTAATGCCGTTAGAGAGAGCTGTCTGAACTTCAGCATAAATACCATTCGCCAGGTTTGCTCATGGTCCAAATTTACATCCTCATTTCTGTACAAGAGTCATAGGGACATGTTTCACTGTACACTGCTGTAGAGGCCTAGTTTACTTCCTACATCCACTGGCGCACTCTGATGTCAGTCAATGGCAGCAGAAATAAGCTAAGATACCTTTCATTTTCATCTCTCCCCTGGGGGCGTCACTAAAGCTCAGTCTGCTATATACAACCAACAGCACATTGTGCATTACATCACATGCTTCAACATGTTACCACAGTCAAAGCACATTTTGCATTAGCCAGAGTGCACCACTGAGAAATGCAACAGAATTGTGAAATGAAACACTGCTGCTGACAGAGCGGCCGCCAGTTTAAAAGCTAGCTGGCTAGCAGGACAACTGAGCTTCAGCCACTGGGGGCTAGACAGCTGCTAGAATTGGGGCTCACATCAGTTGAGTCACAATGCTGTGCTCAGTCTCACCGCAGAATCCCTGTCCACACGCCATTTTTTTTTGCATTTAGCATTCCAAGAAAACAACAACACCACAGATCTCCAACACCTCACCCCACCATGACTCCTTGTCCAATCAGAAGCCTGAGAATCAGTGTCCAACCATCTAACACCAAACAATAAATGTGGCTAGCATTCGTTCATTTCGAGTGAATGCTATCATCCCACCACCACAGCCTTAGCAAGATGCAAGTTCACAGAGCAACAAGTTTAAGGTCAACTTAATGCAAACAAGAATCCCCTGCAGGTAGGGTCTGCTTTCCCCTAACCTTAAACACTTAAGCTAAAATAATGCTTCCTGTTGTAAAGAACTACAACAGGAAGCCAGCGACCTGTTGCCTGGATATTAATTTTTTTGTGCGGCCACACAGCGAGAGCATAGTCTTATATGTAAGAGGATTGGAGAAGAGCTGCAAGTTATCTTAAGACACTTTCACACATAGAACCAGCAAGGCTGCTGTGGTGACTCTGTAGGCAGGACTGGTGTTTTCCCCTGTTCTCATTGCTAGCTATTGACTACTGCAATTTCAATGCAGACTGCAGTTAAACTTTACAAGAAATGGTGCAGAGTTTGCCGCTTTAGGCGTGACACCAACAGTTTCTATGAATTCATTCTAATTCATTCAACTGTATAGTGATTTTCAAGTGTTCTTTGGGGACTGTCCAAATTTGAGACATTTCCAAAAATAAAAAGTTAGAGAGTGAAAACAAATGATTTTGCCCAATTATCTGTTATGATTGGTTAGTTTTGTTTATGCAACAGCATACTGCTTAAGACGGTCACTGTTTACATGCTTACAGCTTTTCCTACTAGAGACCGCAGCCAGGATGTGATGATTTGGGGAGCCATAAATATTCTTTTTTCTCCAGTGGTTTAATTTCTCACCGTGCTGCATTGATGGAGAGGTGGACTCCAGTACTCTGTGACATTACTGCACACTTCTGACCACATCCAATCACAGAGGTCAGAGGTGAGTTTCTGGCTTGAAACTTTTATAAAGAGAAGCCAGCAAAACACTGCTTTTCAGCCTGGTGTTAAGAGACAGCAAGTCGTGCCCCTGGCACTTACTTAGTGGGGAGATTTACTGCATGACGTTGCATTATAAATCAAAGGTATCGCTGAACACAAATCTGATATAATGGTCATGTGACAAACACTATGCTGGATTTCTCACATAACATGTAATCTGAAAATGTTATAGATTTTTGTGCTTGGTAACGTTACCTAATTGGAATCAAAGGTTAGTTAGTTAGCCTTAAATGAATCCACATTCAGTATTACACGTCATTTTCAGTAAAATAAAAAAAAAAAGAGGGGATGAAGTGAAATTCCATTTTACAATACCTCTAGAGCAAGCGCTGTTTTGTCGTAGGCACATGGCACTCGCTTTTGGATAGCCTTTGCCATGACGGGCCCGTTCTGCGTGGACGGTAGAGGGTTGATAACAGCTCCAGGTGTGCCAGGTGGCAATGGCGAAGGTGTCTGTGGCTGGGCATAGGCGTGGACAAGGGCGTGGGAGGGCTCTGGGATACCGTAGCTGTTGGAGTTGCGAGATCCATGGGAAGGCTGGCCGGGGTGAGGGGAAGGTCGTACCAGTTTCTCCACATAGGGCACAGGGATCATCCCGATACGTCCGTCTTTACTCTTGGCGCTCCACCACTGCTCCTCTGGCTTATCCAAGATGATAAGGATCTCCCCCTTCTTGAAGGGAAGGTCCTCTGCATCGCTACCAGGGAAGTCGTATAGAGTCCGCACATACTCCAAGTTCTCCTCTGGGGCACCAATGGGCTGGATGGGACAACTCACTGTGCTTGGATACCTTGAGAGATTAGAGTAGGAAAGGAAGGAGACATAATGTGGTTACCACAAATAGAAGGCCACGGTCAAGCGGTTAATATGAAAACTCAGAAATGGTGCAGCTAATTAAATCATGGATCAGGTTTCCCCTCAAGCATCACAGCTATTTTTTGTTGAATTCCATTAAATAAAGTCAAATGGCCCATTTTACCATTGTGAAAATGTGAAACGTTCCTCCGCAAGGAACTCTTGGACATGAATGTTTACTAATGTAGTGTATACAAGCAGTTGGAAAAATTGCTTAATTAAAAAAACAATATCAATATCCAATGTCTTGTGGTAATAAAATATATTAAATGTTGCATGTGAAATTACACAAAACACTGCTGAAGGAGCAAATGCAGTATCTATTCAAGAGCTGTGGCTGTATGTAAGCAAACATCGCTAACAGTACATAAACATACGAGCCACAAACTTTACCAGCATCTTGGCTACTGATTGTTAATTCATCCAACCTGGAAAAATAAACACAGCCTTTTTCTAAAAGACAGTACACTGGGTGTGTGGTCAAAGTGCTGCTGTGTCCACTTTCAAACTTGGCAAACTGGATGCTTTACGGCATCCCTGCCGGGTACTGCAGTCTGACTGAAAGTGGGTTGGTTATGATAAAAATAGACAACCTAGTTAACCTAGATTTCGTGGTATGGTACCTTCTTATGGTGCACATCTTACAATCATGGCAGCCTAGTTAGAGGAAGGGGTAATGAGTGACTTCCCTACCTGGGGGCTGGCTCTATCAGCGTGGTCGTATCCAGGTAGTGGATTTTGTAGAACTCCAGGAGGGCAGGAAGGTGCTCGAATTCTTGGTCGCCTATCTTAAACCTCTTGCTCGGCAAAGAGTTGATGATATAGTGAGACACTTTGGAGTTTTCAGAGACGGACAGCACGTAGTCGCCGGGGCAGGTCGACGAGTCTCGAACAAGAAACATGCCATGTCTCTGTCCTTGTAACCTATTCTGTGCCTCTTGTCGTGACACGGGTCCAAAATACCAGGCGGACCGATCAGCTGAATCAAACCGAGCAGTTGACATTTCCGTTCAAAAATAAGTTAATAGCAGTCTACAAATAAGAAAAAAGAAAATTATAAAAACAGACTAAATAAGTTAAAAAGGTGTATGCGTGGTTGGAATTGGCCAATCACAGCAAATTGGAGGATTTGGGAGATGCAGGGCAGGGCATTTGTCGCCCTGGGAGATGTTGCATAAAAGCTGCAGGCCCCGGAGACCTCGGATTAAAAAAAAAAAAAAACACACACACACCCTCTCTCTCTCTCTCTCTCTCTCTCTCACACACACACAAACACAAAACAAACCAAGAAACAAAAACAACCTGACGTTTTCAGAGGCAGGCTGCAACTGGCTAGATCCAACTTTGGAGCATAATGTGGTTCCTGTGTTCAGCAGTCAATGGCTCGGTGATTGTTCGAGCGGCCAAAACGGGGAAAAATAAAAACTTAGCGACACACAAAACAAGAAGAACCGAAGCAACAAATGATCAATGAAGCTTCCCTTTTTTGTTCCGCCTTCCGAGAAAACACCAGGCTCTTCTCTTCTAATAATTTATCTCCTCCAGTCAGTGTCAGTTTTGAGAACGGAAAAGGTGGCCTCAGTTATTTTTCTCTCTGTCTCTCTCATCTGTTAAATCCTCATGTCTGCAAACGGTCGACAGTGGCCGCGGGTCGGAAACGAAATGATTAGCCGTATCTTCTTGATCTTACGATAAGGCACACGTCATGGAAATGCGATTTTGAATGCCCTTTCTCGAGTCGGAGTAGACTTCTGAGGCAGCACAGCAAAAAAATGGCGGCCCGCAACACGTCTTCACACAAAAAATTATTTCACAGCAGCGGCTTGTCTCCTGCGCGTGCATCTCAGGAGCCAGTACGTTGTGCTGTAGCTCTCGCGTGCACTCCCGACTGCTCACGAGGGATCCGGGGCTTAGTGATTCTATATTTTATACTTTCCCTTAATTCTGCTCGTCCCCCCCCTCACCCGAGCCACCAGAAGTGCGAGTACGAGACCGAAAAATGGCGACGGGAGGGCAGGTCCCGCTTTCTAGCTGCACGTCACTGACGCCTGAGGAGGGGGGTGCTGGGGGGGTGGGCGGAGGAAAGGGGGTGGGCGGGTGACGACAAGAGGCAACGGACAGCCCCCCACCTACATGTAGACAGCATTGACTGGTAGAGAGAAAGAGAGAGGTGTCAATCATGTTTCCATGACACAACTTCATGGACATTTTCTGTGAACTATAAAGCAGTGATGTCATCCGCACAGGGCAAACCAGCAATATGTCCGTATAGTGCTATTTTTCTTTGTTCAAGCAATGTCTAAGTGCGGTTTTACAATGTGACCTTATTTTAATTACTTTTTTTTTTTTTGTTAATGTCACAATGTAAAAAGCTTCTATTTCAAGTAAAGATCTTGCATTTAAAGGTACAGTGTGTCACATTTAGGAGGATCTATTGGCAGAAATGGAATATTCATCTGTGTTTTCATCTGCGGACGCCACGGGTCGCCTTCCATGGAGTCCGCCATGTTGAACTGCCATGTTTCTACAGTAGCCCAGAACAGACAAACCAAACGCTGGCTGTAGACAGGGGAGGGTTTGCGTTTTTTGCACGTTCTGTTTGCAGTTGTCATGGTTTCTCCTACACAACATACAACATTGGCATTTAAAATGTAGTGAAGTAGGTGTATAAAACAATACTCCAGTACAAAGACATGTACTTACTTATAGGCATCTGAAAATAAAGGCTGAGATGGTGTGTTAATACAGTACAGAAATACTTCAATTTCACTGATTGCTGTATAATAATAAATGAGTGACTGCAGATTTAATTCATGTAAGTGATGACAGTCATATCTGAACACTCAATCATCTCAATTGGTTTCCCAGAGGACACATGCTGTCCCATTAAACAATTACGTATATGTTCTAATGTGAATCTACTGTATGACAGGATTTTCTTTGTAGCCTACAAGTATAAGTAGCCTGTATATTCAAACTGTGAAGTACAGTATATTTGCTCTGTTATTTTGTGCCACCAGTAGAAATTAACATATTTCCCTATTTTCATTTCCTGTTGTTCTCTAACTTCCCCTCCATTCAATCTCATAATAAGTATTATCTGGCACAGAACTGTGACACATCGATTTGGAGCCTCCCAACCTACCCAACCCACAGCACAATATGCTGAAAGGGAGAGAGTGAATTTAAATGCAGGAGACAGTGCCTCAAAAGAAACCTTAATCAAGAGTAAAACAAACCAAAGAATGTGTCGGAAAACAATGACCGAGCACAAAAGGCGTCCAGTGTGGTTGAACAACTTCTGCTCACTGATGAAAGTAAAATATATAAAGAGGTGGCTCTGTTCCTCTGGTTATTGAGGTTTCAGTGACCATGCCTCAGGAGGCTGCAGCTGGCTCAGAGCAGCTCTCATCACTGCAGCACTGTCTGAATGTTAATAGATTTGCACCCACTGGGTCTTAATGGCTAATGCCTGCCAATTCCCACAATTCCACAAAGACGCAGTGATGCAACAAATTGGAGAGAAAAAACCTAACAAGGCCTCTTCCTCCTCAGAAGTATACATAAAAAAAATGGTGATATTTAGGGACATGTTGTTTAACTCTGTGCATTTCATCATAAAATAGTTTTAGTTTAACCATACAGTTGGTTAAACCTTTGTAATAGCTGTCAGTTTTTGGGAGGTAATAATTTAGACATAAATAACATACACAGACTCCATGCTGAAAATGAATGAAACAGAATTAAAAAAACATTTCTGTGAGGTTTTGGAAATGAGGCTACGGTAAGTTATGACCTACGGTACCTGTGCGTCAAACATTTATAGGGTTTGATTAAATGGACGCTCACTCACAGTTTTTCCAGAAACACCACCATCTAGTGGTTGCATGCAATCTCTGTCTTATTTTAACATTTAAGTTTAATACTTTATACTATTGTTCATTTTAAACTGTTATACAAATAGACAGACACAGAGCTGTCAGGCACTACTGTAGCCGTGAGCGTATTCTCTGCCTTGACAATTCCTGCCAAGAGACATGAGGGCATCTTGCACTCCACATACTTCTAGGAGCAAAATCAGTGCCCCTTAGGCGTGGGATTGCTTTTCTAACCATTTCCACCTGGCTATCACTGCTGTATTAAGAATATGCCTCGGGCTATGCTATATGAGGGAACTGCACTGTGATAGGTTCAAATCACCAATAGAAAATACACAAACGCTCAGGGATTGCAAAGATGAACGTATTTAGCTGCATGTAAAACTATTTTCTTGGTTGCTATGTTAAACATCAGTGTCATTTGCACAACTTTTAACTATCATGGCACAATGGATTTTCTGGAGACTATTATGTTGCGCCTGAGAGTTGAACAGGATCAGGATCACAAAGGAAGTCAAGGTGGATTTGTAGAATGAGATGCTGAGGTGTCATTTTAAGCCTGCTGGGTCAGCCATCCCTTTAATCTATTGTTGTTGAGACCGATGGTAAAGTCAGAGTTATTGCACAAGATGTTGCTGACAAGTGTCAATGTAATTTGAGAGTAGAGTGGGCACTGGTGGAGAGCTGGCATTGAGAGGGGCAGTCTGAGATATGATTTACTGTGGAGCCCTCACAAGAAGAGAATTCAGTAACTTCAATCTCAGTGTGTACATGAGTATTAAGTTGTTTAACACTCCGGATTACTGTATAATCATTTGATCACGAGTGGATATTTGTTCTTAAAGGTTGTAGAGGTGGAGTATGCTAAGCCATGTCGGGAACTGTCTGCCCCGCCTGGCTGCGTGCAGTTTTTAACCTGCCCTACGCTGTTGCACAACTAGAAGATACGTTTTGATTCATGTTATGAAATTAGGCAAGGTGCTTTTACACGGCTGTGTACCATCTCACCGATAAATGTTTACTTGACTGCCAAAGCTGCGAGGCATAATTCCACTGCTGAGGGGGATTTATTTCACCAGGTAACTCATTCTTTTTGTTTATGTTTACTTATTAACAATCAACGTATCATTGAGGAATGCTGATAAAAGAACAGTTCATCTGGATCTTAATTCTGTATTTGACATGTCTATGAAGCAAACAAAGTACTCAACACACTTAGAACATGCTGTGCCATTACTATTTTGATGATTCTTTCATTTCTTCTTGCAGAAGATAAACAACATAAACAAAGTTGTGAGAGATCTGACTAATAGGCTTCTCCTTGGCAAACATATAACGTATTATTATATTATTATTAATAATGTTATTCATAGAACTTATCAGAACAGAAGTTAAAAAAGTACCCCGGGGACACAAGCCCACCACTTAATGTCTTCCTCATTTTTGATACGTGTTCTGTTCACAATTTTTTTAAGTAAGCACTTCCTCATAGTTTCAGTCAGAACACTACAGGGGTTTAAACTTGTGGAACCACCCTATACTTTACAAACTTAACATTACAGATTTTATCTTTGTTACCAATTATTTTCACACACATGGAGAGTTAATACAGAACTGCAGTAGTGTGATGGGACTGACAATGTTGCAAGTCATTGTAGCAAAGCCACCAGAGAGCAAAGAACCACAGAGTGGCAAATGCAGATTTAAGAGAGAACAAATTAACATTTAAATTTAATGAGTTTTGTGATATACAGTGAATCAATTTTATGCAGAATGTGTACTACATGTTGATGACCAACCACAACACAATCTGGCAAGGCCTCTTCAGCAACAGAGACCACTAGAAATATGTCTCCTGATCCATATAAGCAGGGTCAAAGTTGGGCTTAAATAAACAGAAAGGTTTGCACCAAATGTCATCCTTTAAATAAACAAAACAATGAATATCTCAAATTTCTTAACGCAGGAAGATCTGCAGTAATAATCGCAGTTCTATGCTGCATGGTCTGGCAAGTCTGTAATGTTGAAAGAACCAGTGAAAGATGCTTTCACTTCCCTCATCCTTTGTGAGACGATAGAACATTATTAAAATAAAACTGATGAATGTAATAAGTGTATGCACATGGAAACAAGCAGATCACTTTTCTAGGCAGGGTAACCCCCTCTCACTTATGTTGTGTCACAATTATGGTATAAAATACAAAGCATTACATACACTAAATAGTAAATTGTGCATATTGAACAGAAAGAGGCACCAGTCTGGAGAAAGCACGAGGACAGGGCTATTTTGTGTTGTGACCATTTAATAGAGTTTAGTTTAGTTGTACTGTAGGTGTATGACTGCTAACGCTCAGTTGAAGCATGACACTGCTCCATACAATGTAAATACACACCAATACAAAACGTGCCTGAGAAATAAGCCTGGTAGTCTCTTCTGTATTATTATTGCATGTCCGTTTACAGGCTTAACTTTGGTCGCTTGCACAAATAAAAGTTAGGAATACTTAACTGTTTTAAAGTGACAGTTGATTAGTTATATCAGACAATTCCACCATCATTTTGGCAGAATTACAACAAATGTGCAGTGAAAACTAAACTAAAGCTTAAATAAGCAGCCAGTGTTAAGGTAAAGATGTCGAAGTCTAATAGTTAAAATGTCCTAAAATGTACTGTTTGGTAAGCAATTAAATAAATAAATACCATTCCCAGTACACAGCTAGATCTTTTTTGTGTGCAAATGTAAAAGCTTTTAAGTAATAGACCTTTTTGTTTTAATCTTTTAATAACTGTCCTTTGTGAGTTATAGCAGTAAAAAAACAACAAACACAGGTCAGCCATGAAAAGCCCCGTCCTGAGGTGGATGCAGCTGACGCTGTGGTAGTTTTGATCCTGTCACTGCACCGTTCTTTTGAAACGGTCTCTCTGCACAGCGCGGGTCCTTCTCTGTCTATCTGCAATGGAGGAGCCGAGGCTCTGTTTGAGGGCTGGGAGGACCACCCCAGACTGAGAGGGTCCAGACCTGGAAAAGGAAACATATGTATATTTAACTGAGAGGGCCAATGTGGCTTTCTGACATCAGAAAATGCAGAAAAAGCAATCTGTTGCACAGAGGAAGAGGGAGAGACAGATTTACATACACTTTTTCTGGAAATGTTTGGAGACCAAGTTTTGGAAATTTCTTTTCTTCTGAAGATTTGCTAAGAAGTACAAAATAGAAACTTTTACCACAACTGTGCTAATTCCTTTAAATGATAAAAATGGTAATATTCTTAATCTCTTTACCGGGTTCCATCAACAAGGTAGGCCTTGGTCAGAATGTGGTTCTCTGGGGTAATTTTCTTGCTCAAAACAATATCTCTCAGCAAAGCCTTCACACGTATAATCTAAAAGACAGAGTTATAATAAAGATATTTCCACAGAAACATTTGAAAAGATAATAAAAAAACAATAAATACTGCATTTTTGAATTTCAAAACATTAGCTGATGATGGGCACTTACTTCCTGAGACTGTAAACTGTTAGCATTGTAGAGCTGCCGAATGATGACCTCACACTCCTGTAGTGTGGGAGCGCGCGGGGGATGGGAGGGACTGCTGTGAATTCGCAGAGGCTGTAATGAGGTGATGAGGCCCCCCTTGACTTCTGGACCGGGGTCCTGCCTGGCAGATCTGAGAGTTTCGCTGCTCTCTCCAATGCTTCTCCCCAAGTAGTCCGTGCGATGATGCAAATTAAAAGTGAGTTTAACTGTAAATGCCTTGTTTCTAAAGTAAAATCAGTAGTCACTGCATTAGCACGACTACAAACCGTGGACACGGTTTTATTTAAACAAATATGACTTTGTGAGCTGGGAACACCTGATTAAGCACTCAAATAACAATGTACTGGATCTTTTTTATAAAATAACACATGGTATGGGCCCTTCCATATGCCCCTTTAGTTGTAGACACCCATCAGAGGACTGAAAGAATTAATGCTATCCATTCACTTTAGACATTTAAAACAGTCAGGAAAACCACCTGCTGTCTGCTGCTGACACTAAAACCAGTTTGTGAACCCGGGTTTTGCTTCTTCACACGCTGTAACTGTGGTACACCACGACCTGTGGTAATAAATGTGTTGTTTGTTTCACATCTTCTTAGTGTGATTTATGTTGCTATTAATGTTATTCTAATGTTCTGATACCCCATATTATTCAGTGTTGTATTGTAACACCTAAAATGCACCAAATGTTGCAAAAGTACATGCTACTTATATTTACTTATATACAATATTTATATAAACATTTCTTAATCATTTAAGAATGATTAATCATTTCTTATCATTGTTTTGCTATAATTTTATCCAGAGCTGGACAGTAACCTGGCAAGATAAGATACTGTCTGAATATCATAATACAATTTAAAATGGTGTTTTCTTGGTCTTAATGGCTGCATTACAGTTCAGTGACACAAATCTGTCCTAGTTGCATCAAATTAACAACAATGTCGCTAACTGTTTCGTCATCACAGCCATGTTACTAGTGATTTTGTCTCAACATTTTGTGTGTGAATATCTTCTAAAAAACACAAATCCTTGAATTCCTTAAATCCAATCACACTGCATCAGTATTGAGGTTGACTCGGTAGGCAGGTGAAGTACTGAGTGAGAACCAGATGTAGTTGGACGGGTATTCACCTCAGTGCTTGGTCCTGTGAGGGTCGTGTGTCCTGCAGCTGCTCCTCCAGGTAGAGTCCCGTATGGGCTTCAACTCCCTGAGTAGGTGGTCTAATGCCACGTCGACTGTGTGTCATTCCTAGGAGATGGGGGAGCCAAGACGAAGATAGTTAACTGCTGTGCCCTAAATGTTTTTTTGGCTGACTGAGTTCCACCTAATTGTCCTAGTGTGAGACATTAACAACTAGAACATAGCCTTTACTCTGGAGATACCTTTGAACTACAGAAGGTTTGTATAATATACACTGTGAGATAACAGATGTTTGTCACAGGTAGCATCCCTTTAATAATATTAACATATGTTTCTCACTATATATCAATATCACAATGTATACCCACTACTTTCAACTATCCCAATCCTGCAAGAACATCAGCTGTGCATAGCAGGGCCAAACAAAAACAGCAGTATATCTTACCTTTTCTACTCGACTTGGGAGGCTCCATTATCAGCTTATACTGCAACTCTGTAACATCCATATTATGACAATTTTAGTGTGTGTTGGGGAGGCACATAAGAGGCACAATCTTGTAACACAGTCCCGGCAAACCAACCCATGCGTCCATGGGGGCCTGACGGCTGTGATGGCGCGAAGACAGATGACTGGGAAGACTCCGGATGGGTGGTGAGATGCAGTTATATGGAACGGCATGTGGCCTGTTCAGTAAAGTGACACCGGATCTCTGTCCACCTCCCACTGAGAGACCATCAAAACCCCACAGTTGCTATGCGACCACCATACCTAGATTGAATGTCTCTCTTCTCAGCACCTTCTGAGGAGACAGTCAGGTCTTTGTCATAAACTTACATTTTTTTATATAATCCATGTGGAGTTCACACCTTGTAAAAAGGAAGTTAATTCTTAGGATCACTCAGTTGTCCTTGTTAAGTAGCCAATTCCTTGATGATAATAATTAAGTCTCTCTTATTTCATTTTTTTTTTCTTTTCTCCCCTTCATCCCTACTGTAAAGCACTTCATAACTACAGTTTTGAAAAGTGCTATATAAATATCATCACTCCTTTGATATCAGCTCATTGTGTGGCTCACCCAGCAAAGCCACAACTACTGGTCTCTAACTGAGATGTCAACAACATATGAATCATTTATGATTATTCCAAATTATTAGGTTACATATTCCGCCTACACCCAGGGTTAAAGTATTCATTACCGGACAGAACATTAAGGACATTTTCCCCACTTTCCACTTGTTTCTTCACCTTTATTCTCCCGTCTGAGATACTCTATCTCTGCGTGGAGCTTCTCGAGAGTCTCCTTGTGTTGTTGCTGAAGGAACTGGATATTCTTCTGCATTGATGCGACGCGGGGGTCCATGTCGCTGGGACAGGACACCTCTGCTGCTCTCCCTACTCCTCTGTCCGCTGACGGGACAACGGGCAGCGGCTGCAGTTGGTTCACCGGTAGAAGCCGCGGAGAGCGAGGCTTCCCGAGGCGCCCAACTCGGGTCCATTGTGGCAAATGCCTCACCGGCGGAAGGTTATAACTTGACATGGCTTTGGTTCATTAAGCTAACGAACCATTTTAGCCGTGTTTGCTAGCGAGGCGGCGACGGCTTGTTTCCACACGAAGTTGACTGGCGAACAAACTAGCACCATTAGCTGTGTTTTCTTTTACCATTATATGACAGTGTGGACAGGTTCGCCTAAAATGTTATCCGACAACAGCCAACTAGCAAGTTATCTTAAGTCTGTTGCTTGTTAACAGCTCAAGTAGGCGACCCTGAATTACTTTTGCACTCATTTGACATGCGCCCCACTCCTACACAACGTTGCCGTGACAACTAACAGTTTATGGTTCTATTTTTCTGCCCTCAGTTCGAGCTCTCAGGCAAGCCGCGCAAGGTCCCGCCCCCTTGGCTAGGATTGGCAGCGGTATTGGTTGAGCATTTAAACAGAACCATTTGATTGGTGGAGCTTGTTAGGGGCGGCACCCAGGCTTGGAAACGCTGCCTGACAGGCTAACCTAGGGCTAGGCAATATGATTTTATGAGTATGAGTGTGTGGTTTATTTTGTTTCACCATTTTAAAGAATGGATATTTTTTACAGCTGAAAAATAAAGTAAATATATATATATATAGATTAAAGCAACTCACTCACAAAGGAGCAAGGAGGTACATTACAGGAGCCCACATAAAATACCCACGTACATTATTGTATAATGTCTAATGCCAATTAAAGATGGAAGAGAAATAATAGAAACCAGTGGGATTTAAAAACAAAAATCTAAACCAGCCGTAATGTTAAGTAGATGTGACTTGTCTAAATACTGGTATGTTCCTTTAAATAGACTTAATTTAAAGTCCCTAATATCCAGTATAATTGGTCTTAGCGGGAGGTTTAATAGGTCAGCACAGAGAGTAGCTCTAGCTGCCCGTCAAGCTCCCTTGTACAGTAGGTCAGGATCAGGTGTATAGGATCATACGTAGCATATGTCATGGTTCTGACGGCACTAAGGATTTCTAAAGGAGACTTCAAACTCCATAACCGAGGGGACATGACCGCAGACGAAACTCACGTCATCTTCAGACAAATTACCTTTCCTTTCACTTTATTCATGTTGCAACTCTCAAACAGTAAAGGTTACATCACACAAAGGGACACTGAGATAGTGTGTCTGTCATAGATATGACAACATTAAAATGATTTTGCAACAGTAAGAGACAATATGGAAGATCAGCAGAAGGGCTATTCTTTGGAAATGTAAAGGTGGTATGGTACTGTCCTCTCCATGCCTGCAGCATCATATACACAATAACAACAATAACTTAATTTACAATATTTACAGGTAATACAGAATGAGTAAAGTGAAAACACAAAACTAAAACATTCAGGTATGTTCTTATCAAACATAAAAAAAAGAATAATCCAAATAATTGACGGCTCTATTATGGGAGTGCACATAGCAGAATCTTCATGAAGGTTATAGTTCATTTAATCTTTATGTTATACTTTGAACAGTAGCTGGTAGAGTCAGTATTTCACTCAAGGGCACTTCAGCAGAGTGGCTACGTGCCCTTTTGTCAAGCCCCATCTCCACTTCCTGCGCCAACCTGCTGTACTCCACCATTATACTTTTTATTTCGACTGCTGCTCGAATTCTTTTTATGGCGATTTTGACTCCTACGCAAGATAATCATCGTTAGGCTGGCCGATGGCAATGATTGTAGGGAACAATAAAAAGTGACACATGCATCGGTTTTATAAAGGTAAGAGGCCAACAGAGCAGCATGTGTAAGAGACAGAGAGCCAGTGGATGAGTCGATATTAGGAATTTACGCTCAACATTTGAAACACGCAAACATTTCAGAAGTTCGCTGACAAAATACAAAAGGCCACAAAGCAAATACACATAATGTATATTTAGAGAAATCTTCACTGAGTAAAAACCCTTTCCTCCGCTCTGTTCTGCTGACAGTGCTACTATATTGGCTTCGTAATCTCAGCGTAAACCATCTTCGGCCCTCCCCATACACCAACACCTTACTCTAAAATATGCACTTCATTACCATCTTAATTTAAAAAGGCAGAGGAAAATAAACCTCAGGGAAAAGAAAGTAGTACTAGGGCCTGGCATTGGGTTACACCAGAGGATCCATCTGTTTTCAAGGGATATTTTAGTTTCATATGTTAAAGTGGGATCTTACCCAGAGTCACCTACATCCACGCAAGTCAACTGGAGTAAAAATCAAATCATTCACATCTTGTTACAGAGCAATGTCATTAGTTCTGTATGGAGCAAATCCCACTGTCTATTAATACATCACACATCACTTCACACACACGTGCATGCACACAAACTTCTCTCTCTGAAAGCAGAAGTCGACCCTTCCCATTGGCCCACAATTTAGGGGAGTAAATCCTGTCAATGAGGTCAATATCGACAATACAAATATATTTTAGGTAAAATAAAAATTTCATCTAGCACGCCAAATCAGCAGAACACTTTTCAAAATCAAACACATACTCACTACTCTGAAATAGAACATGACACAATCGATGCAAATCCTTCTTTCAGTCTAAAGCGATTTTTCTTTTCCTTTTTCTTCTTAAAGAAATCTTTCTAAGGTTTCATAGCTTATACCATCTCTGAGTCAACATTCTCACACCAAACACCTTATGACAGTAACTACAATACAACTAAAACTGCAAAAGTCTAGTAAACCTAAATAAGCAAATCTGTCTAGGTATCTACAAAAACTGAACATGTTTAGCATGTTCCACTCAAGATCGTTCTCTACAGTACTTCAACAGTGCAAAAACATTCAGACAACTCTAAATTTAACACTTGGCTAATATTACCGCTCTTTCTCTCCTGTCAGCCCTACATTCAAATCTGATTATACTTGCTTAACTTCGACGTGATTGATTGATAACATACAAACAGACAGAGTATGGAATCGTGTGAAGAAATTACCAGCAACAGCAGCATCGAAGCTTCTGTACACCTGAGGAATGCATCCCAGGTTATTGCAGCATCTTTAACATGATTGCGATCAGGGATGCCAACAGACCACTTTCAGTCCCTCTTGAATTAAAAGCTATATTTTGCATGTAGCAGTGGGGTAGTGAGTGTTTTCTGGACCCATTATCTGCCTTTACTACCTGCCACCATTTAACAAAACAAAATTACATCATTGTTTCAATGATAGGACGTGGTCTTTGACATTAAGCTAGTATAGAATCAATAAAGTGCCCAAACCAGCATAGTTACCTACAGCGAATCTAAGATAACACCCAACACAAAAATGAAACAACATGTTTTAGTCATTTTGGCAACAGTTTTGTAATAGTGCTCGAATGCACTACAAAACCAAAAAAAGGTAAACCCAGGAAAGCAAACAAACGGTGTATGAAAAACATACATTTGATGAGAATGATACTTATCCATTCTCTGTCTTGTATGTGTACAGTGGATTCTGTACATTCCCTCCAGTTACTGATACTTGGTAAAAAAGAACATTTTGTCTATAGAGTCGCCTATAGCAAATTTGTAGCATGAATATTTGCCCAACAAAACGCTATCTGTTTATGTTTAGATAAGTATGGTATGTGGGTATGTGACTACTTGGCAATAATTGTTCCTGCATGTGTTACGCCTAGTGAAGGGAAGCTTCTTCTTGGCAAAACATATCATATTCAGTGCCAGGAGCAAAGTCCTCTCACGTGGACGAGAGCGCAGACATTCTTTCACAGCACAAGTGCTTCGTGTCCAACACTGGTACAAGTTTAGTGTTGGGGAAGTCGCTGCCACTATCCAAAACTTGAGCCGAATGGCAAGTCATTTAGAGAAGAGCACAACTCCTTGAGGTTCATCAAAGTCTTGTAGTTTTCTTGTGAAAACTAAAGCATGTCTAAGTGAAAACCATGAGACGTGGGTGCAGATTTTGGTTTGTAATGGTAATGTGCAGGGTGCAGATGACTGACATCATATCCACACTCCAAGAGGCAGCGTAGGACTCTCAAACACAGAGCCCTGACTGCAAAGCTGTGAGGCGACGTTCAATGCACTCCTTACCTGCAGACACAAAAAGAAAGGGTGAAGAAAACAAGTCAGTGGGTGGGGTTAGCATTGCAAGTCATTTCCATGCTGTGTTAGCATGGGTAGCCTCCAGGTGTTATGTTACGGTTTGAAATCCAAAGACATGCAGGTTAGTTCTGTTTTGTCAATGTGCGTTACGGTAAAATATTGTACACATTTACGTAACAAAACAGTTTTCAAGATGATTTTTTTGCTGGAGCTGGCAGACAGACATACATTTGCTAACACTGAGGATGTCATCCTGTTCAGTGAGCAGCAGAGACAGGCCCTCCATCAGCAGGAGAGCTTTATGGTAGCGCAGGGCCGATGCTTCACCTTGGTGGAACATCTCGTCCAGCGCAGCAGCCTGAACCTGAGATGACACCAGGATGCTGAAGTTAATACATTACTATTGATTAAAATATCAATATAATGTTGCTGGGACATGTAATAAACCCCAGTAACGCTGTTACTGTTGCTCTATGTATTACTTTTTCCTGAGTGAATATACAAATACATTTAGCTGTCTATATATAGTACTCTAAATACTATCCAATTACTTTAGTTTTTTTACAATATCCTGTGACCATAAAGCAATAGTTTGGGAGAAAATGCTTGGAGCTTGCTAGAGAGAAATATGGACGGGTAGGAAGGATATTTATGCCATATAAACTTAAATTGGTAACATGCTAGGGCTAATTATTCACTAGATTCCCACAGACACAGTCTGTCTATCTGAATGATTACGCTGTGGCCTGCTGGTCAGTAACCCTCGTCTCCTTCTCTGCTTCCCAGCTGTCTCATTTTTCTTCTGGCTTACCATCTGCACAGTGTGGCTGAATAGCAGCCGTTCAGCTGTGATGGAGGTGATTTGGTCCATTAGACGGTGCTTCCTGGAAAAGAAGCGCTCCAGACGGGTGCTGAGTGAGCGGCAGGATGCCACACTGGACTTGTACAGCTCATTCAGCCTCCTCACTACTGTATATGGACAAGCAAATGCATTCTGTTACAATCAAAACTTCTGCTTTAAGATAACCTTAACAAGACCCTACCAAAATGAAATGGTTCATACCTTGTTTGACTGTAGCAGAGGGGTAGAGTTTTCCCTGTTTAACTCGCTCCATGGCTGTGTGTAAGGCAGTTGACAAGAGTTCTGCAGTCTTAAGGTAGAGAACCAGCTGTTCTGCATGACTGAGGAGAGAAACACACACACACACACACACACACACACACACACACACACACACACACACACACACACACACACACACACACACACAGTCCTTAAAACTCAATTATACATTTACAAATGAGACATGAAATTGAAACAATACAATTCTGCCGTTCAATTATAAAAGTTGGTCAAATATCTGTATAAATAATGTGTATAGCCAAGTCTTTCTCATTAAACAACATGCTCCCCATTATCTAACTCCCTGACATCTCATCCTCATTTTTCTCTGCATTCCATTTTTACAACCCACTTTTTCTTTAAATTTTCATTTATTTATGTCAGCATGTCTTTGTTTGCTCTGATGCAAAAATGCATTCAAGCTTGTGTTATACCAAGCAGCAGAAATTCTATTTCAGTCAGTACTCCTGAGTAGGCTCTACAAATCTCCTAACTGCAACATGAACGTCTGACTTGACAAATCTTTTTGCTATTTGCCCAATTACAAAAAACTGCTTTGTCCCTGAGGTTATTTCTCAATTCAGACAAAAGATCCACACTGGAATAATTTCCCATCCACACTGGATAAACAACATCACTGCCATAAACAAAGACTCACAGCCGTGGCCTTACCTCCACTCTCGGCTCAGTGAGCTTATCTGATCTGCTACAAGGCTCTGCTGCTGAAAGAGGGAGGGATGAGAAATGTCTCCCAGTTCTCCCATCACTGCAACACCACGCGCTCCAGCCACCTCCATCAGACAGCAGGCGAAATCCAACGTGAAGCGCAGGCTTTGCACAGTGTCTGTATGCTCCTGCTGCACTCAGAGACAGACAGAGGCAGGAGGTGGTTTAGTCATAGAATTTTAAACAGAGGACACCAGAATGTGATTTTGCATTCAGTCCGCATTAACAGGAGAAATTATTATAAATAATTATTATTACATTATACCTCTCTCAGATTCCACTTCAGGTCATTTTGCCGAAATAACTTGAGCTAAAGAAACTTCAACTGCACTATGCTCTTTTTTTCTATTTTTCTCACAGTCTACAGTCTCTAGAGGGATTCTTCATTTCAAGTTTTCGTGAGAATGAACCTCTGATTGATGTACTAAACAAAAGGAGTCACTGCTGCATACATAAATAGAATACACAGGATCAAGGGGATGACTCCCCTTTCACAACTTTCCAGATCTGTGTATAAAACCTGTTTCTCACCTCCATCAGCGTCTCCTCAGGCAGTTCAGGAGGCTCGAAAGTTACAGCACCACCCATGTTGGCTGTGATAGGATCAGTGAAACTGTAGCGAGGACTAGAAGGAGCCTCAAAGCCATCCAGATAGGTGCCTGTCTGTGGGTAGCGGCTTGTGAAGGAGCCTGCGGGGCTGACTGAAGTAAATGAGCCTGCAGGAGTCACAAAAAGACATGGCAAAACAAAATGTATTTAATATACATTTTCTTTTCATCAAGCATTTTTGCTGCTATGCTGCTTGTTGTTTTTGGTATTAACCCTCGTTGCTAACCACTGTCCAAGCTTTAATGATGTTAATGATCAACATCCACCAGGAGCTACATGAACTTTTCCTTTCATACATACTAAGTGCCAATTACCAATCTGAAAATTGTGTGTTTAGTCATTTGGGTTATTACTCCCTAAATGTGACTACATCTCTCCACAGTGGGGCTTAATTTCATTTTTTTAATTCAGTTTCCACATCATGCGAAATTAAAGTAACAGCCTCTCAGTGCCCTATGTTGCACAATGTGCAGAGCGTAATACTAATGCTGCTTTGTAAGTGGAATTTGATTCCCACTTGCTACAGAAGGGATGTGAAGACAAATTACTTGTATTCAGCTGCGTTAAGATGTGCATGTGCTACCTGAGTATTTCCTCTGTCTGGAGGTATGAGGTGGGGTGCTGCCACTGGGAGGAGAGCCCACAGTGAAAACCACCTGTGCAGGGCTGCTGGAGCAAGGTGCAAGGCCTCCCCCACCACTGGGGGGCACTAGAGGGCAGGGAAGAGCAATGATTAAAGGTAGGGCAGACCTAATAATTCATTGTTATATCAGTGGTTTTTTATATGCATCGAATCCTGAAGTAAGCCTGTCGAACGTTGGAATGAGCCAAGTAAATACACTGGAAAAAGTATACAAGAGCACACACATCCAGAAGAGATAAATACTAGGTGCTGGACTGAAGTACTGTGAAAAACAGAAATAATAATCTGCACACTACATGTCTGATATTGTCAATCGTCAAACGTGCCTACCTGTTATGTCTATGGCTTTTTCAGAGGTCAGGTTCTCTGCGCTGCCACGGTCACCGACAAGTCCGCCTGGTCCAAATGCAGCCATCAGCAGCATGTCAGACAGACGACCGGCACTCTGAGACCTGCACCAAAGACATAGGAAACACAGGGACAGAGGGCATAGAAGGGAAGAAAGTGATGTGAATAAGGCAAACATCCTTGTTTAATAAATATTTCCTTTCCGTTCATTTACTTCTCTTTCCCAGCTAGCTATAACAGTTAACAGTGCTTCTATCCACTCCAGTAGGTTCAATATCCCTGTTTTGACCTTTCTTCGACATACATGAGAAGAATGCATAAATGGGGCAATTTGAATGCAGCTTCAATGTAATGTAAAGGATTTACTGTAAAAAAGCTTCATATATAATAAACCAATTTGTTTGTTTAAAACCTCAACTGTTCGCCACTGCATAAGCACTTGTGTCTATTCAGTATCTAAAGGGAATCAATCCCTCCTGGATATACAGAATCAATGTGGTAAACATAAATAGAAAACAAGAGCAAAAACAGCAATCTAACCTTCCAAAGCTCTTGGTATCATCAGCCAGTCTGTGGAGGCAGTGGGCAGGCTGGGTGACCGGTGTTGTTGCTTGTTGTCCTGGGTCTCTGGGCTCTACCGGGGCAGTCCTGCTGCAAGGGGAGCCGATCACCAAACCTTGCTGTGTCAGGAAGGTCACAAGGTTCGGAGTACTGGGAGGTTTGGGGAATTCAAATGGAGGGATGGCCTGAGGAGAGAGAGAGAGAGAGAGAGAGAGAGAGAGAGAGAGAGAGAGAGAGAGAGAGAGAGGAAATAGGCACCAGAGGTTTGTTTAAACTGCTTGGTAGGCTTTTCTCGTCCTGTGTATCTCAAGGGAACACACGCACACACACATGCACACACACCCACAACTGACTCACCCTAGAAGGAGAGCCCAGGATGGTGGGGAGGGGGCTACGCTGCATCAGCTCACTGAGTCTTGGGGAAGAGTGTAGAGGGCGGAGAGTCATCAGGCCTGTCGGGGGGGCTACCACCGGGTCCGAGTGCTGCTTCCTGATCTTTTGCCTACCACCCCCACTGGCACCCTCCAACAAACAGGGGGCACTGTGGAGCCGTGTGCCCAGTCCTGTCGCCTGTGGGTGTTGATGAGAAGTTGGCCGGGTTTCAACGTGCTGAGGAGCTGTGGGATATGGGATGTCAGACGGACAGAATATTTTTGCTTTTGCACAGCAGGTGGCATCGCAAAATCAAATGTCAGACATGACAACCAGACAACTACCAAGACAACTATGAAGAGACAAGTCCTGCCTTACTCCCTCGCTGCCGTGCACGTCCAGACAGCTAAAGGACTGTGCCAGCAGAGGAGCATAGAGCAACTGGTGGTGAGAACGACAGTGTTTGTGTATGTAGGAGGTTGGTTCATTTTCTCTACCATTAACTTTCAAAACCAGAATGACTCAGACAAACACTGGCAAATGCTAACCACAACCTTACTTCCCTCTTTGTGTTCAGAGGATTTTCAAGGCACCACCTAGAACAAGACAATTGCCTTTCTAGGGCTGCACCTAACAATTTACCATTTAGTCTATAAAAAAAATACTGATCCAAGTTTTAAGAGCCCAAAATTATGTCTTTAAATGTCTTCTGTCCAAGCAAAAGTCCAAAACTCAATTTACAATGATTTAAAACCCCAAATCATCATCAAGTGTAGAGTATTTCTGCTTCATGAATGTCTTAAAGGATTAATCAATGTAATCAATCAATCAATCAATCTTTTAATTGACTAATCAAGTGGTCTACAAAAAGTTAAAAAAAGAAAACTTTTATATTTATACTGAATACTCTCAGCTCGTCTGGCCTCTAAAATCCTTCAAATTAAATATCTGAGATGGACAAATCCCACTTTGGTTGAATTACTCAACACTACTCCTTTCACACAGTTGCACTACAATAACGCCAGCAAACAGTTAGCTCCAAACTGGTCAGTGATCATGATACATCATCCAAATATTTCATTCAAGATGTGCTGTGATCTGGTTTAGAATGTGAAGATTAGCCGCTGAGCTACCTTGAGGGGAGAGCTGGAAAGGTCTGGCGCCTCCCAGGGAAAACCTGCGATTGGTGGTGACTGCCCCCTGCCCATAGGGTGGCGAAGGCCCGGTCCGACCAAAGCCCAACGAGCTTCCACTGCTGCAGCGACGCACTGGTGTCGACAGCCTAATAATATAAAATCCATGAGTCGCTGCGGTCACGTTAAGAAATGTAAATACAATTTCACTTTAGTTGGGACTTGTGTATGCGTGTGTATGTGGATACAGACCGTGGTGAGCCATCCTGTTTGGTACAATGGAGGTTCTGCTCCATGCGCTGGTAGTTCTGAAGCTGAGTGGGGACTGGGATAGGCAATGACTGGCCATGGTTTCCATAGCTACCACCATAGTTACCTCCCGGGAACTCACTGGGCCTGCCAGCAACAGCGAGAAGAACACAGAGTGCAGAGGGAAACAGACCACAGAGGAGAGAGTTGGTGAGTGGACACTGAGAAGTTTAACACTTTCAACAGGAACACCAAATATTTTGGAGGAGAGATTCAGTTACTGACAATCCTGCCAAACTTGTACAATGTTTGCAATGTAAAAACAAACATTGCATTGTGTGTAAGGATAACATGATTTGAGATTAAACAGCGTTGATCTCTCTGAGATACACAGCACTGTGTGTATCAACCAAATATTCAGCTTTGTGCGGTTACCTGACAGGACTTGGAGAGCCACTGTAGGAAGGTGAGTGTGGTGGTGTTTTGGCTTGGCTACACAGACCAGCAGAAGCCAGAAGAGAGCTGATTAAAGAGGAGAAAAAGAAAGCACATGTTCTCACTTTTACTATAAATGTAATGTCAGATAGTTAATTATTCTCCATTAGCTGCTGTATTTTGTAACAGTGTCACCACATTAACTAAAAGTTTAATTCAGGCAATGGTAACGGATCCTTGTATCTTACCCACTGTTCATCAGGCTGTCCGGCAGCACTTTACTCTCACATGTCAGCTCACCCGCTGGAAAACCAGGAAAATTAAAAGAACAGCAAAATTAGTGAAACAGGCATTTCCTCTAGTATTGCAGATTGTATTACATGAATAATAAATATTACGAACAGAGACTGAAAAGAATGACACAGAAATGGATGTCTCATGCTCCAAGCTTATGAAATGCTATATACAAGCTAGTCTACGAAAAGATGACCTAAAATACTTCAGCAGTAATTCCATATAACTGAGCCAAGGTGATGATTATGTACAGCTGCATTTGACATTAACAAAGGGAAAATAAAAATGCGTCCTCACTGGTGAAGTGAGCAGGCACCATGACAAAGTCATCTGTGTCACAGGAGGAGGAGTTCTTGCTGCTGCCGCCCCCTCCAGACGAGTCCTTGAGGAGAAAACCAGCGGCCTCCTGGGTAGGGGAGGCCAGAGCTTTGGCACGCAAATACTGAACCTCAGCAAGAGACTGCTGCAGGGACAGGGAGACAGAAAGCAGTAGATAAACAAAGAAAGAAAGCATAAAAGAAACTAACAGCGAGGGAAGGCCAAATAGGTGCTGACTTGGTTGGCGTCTATGACTGCACATTAAAAAAACACTGCCTCATTACTCGGGTACAGACAGAGCAACAAAGAGAAATAACAGAGGAATAATAAACACAAACCGGTGGTGAGGCGAGGTGAGAGGTGGAGGAGCTGCTACACGAGCTGCCTGATGCAGAGCTTGGGAAGCAGGTCATGGACACAGTAGGAGTTGCTGTAACAAAACGCAACATATTCATTAGAGAACTCAAGGATGCAGTTTTTGGTGAGAAACACTGAATGTAAACAGAAACTTTGTTTGTTTACAAGTCCACAGGGCACCTAACATGTCATAACTGGTGGTGTTTTGCTGACAAGAAATTCAAGTTTTTCTTATTATGTTCACATCACTATGTGGTTGACTCTACTTCTTAAACGGAATAAAAGCATCAGTGTATTTTGTATGTTTACTTACTCTTTTTCATGGATGAGCTAGCCTCCAGGAAAGGATGACAAAAGAACTCATCTATCAACAGGATAAGTAGAATTAGTAAGAGGTAGTGAGGCCGAACAACATTTCTTACATTGAGAATCTATGCAACAGTGAACTACAGCATCGCACATACAGTAATAGACATACATAATATTACTTATTCCTTTATTCAACACTACAATCACAGGAATATTTGTTACATCTGCTGTTATGGTAATGTGACAAGATAAGTGTAGGTCTGCATTAATACCATACAGGGGTGGTATTTTATTTATTTTACTGTGTTTGATGTTAACTAACCAAAGTCCATGCGGTCCTTGTGGTTGCGCTGCAGCAGACCCAGCAGCAGGTGCCTCAGATGGCTTGAAGTCTCTCTGGGGATGCTGATAACAAATAATACCACAATCAGAGACGAACTTGATCAAAGGTAGAATAATACAACAGAAATCTGTTACTACAGATATAGCAACACTTGGTTTACTCTATGTTTTTACCAGAACCAAAAAAGAATCTTCATCTGCTACAGATGATTAAATTAACAATAAACTTTTCCAAATGGATGCTATCTTTCACAGTTAGTTTGGTTGTCAACATTCCTGAAAACAGGACTTTTTGGTGGTAGGCTTTTTATAAGTTAGCTGTGAGACACTTAAATGAAGAACCTTTCCAGACACTGTGCTGTAAAACACTAGGTTGTTGCAGGTTTGTCATCTCTAACAACGTTGTAAACTAACTGCTGTTCAACTGTTAAAACAACCCTGCTGGCATGGACGTAACTGGCAGCATTTACAAAGATAATGGGGAAGAGTTTAGGTCAGAGCCTCACTTTTTGTTAGTTATTCTATTCAGTATAAGTTCCTCACTTCTTATAATCAAAATCTATAAAATAAATGCAGAAAAACATGATGAACTTTTACCAAAACAATTGTGAATCACATGAAAAATAAACACACTATCATCTCACTGTAACTGCTTACTTGGGGCTGAGAGTCTTGTTTTTTTCATAGAACAGCCGGAGGTCCTGGGGACTACTAGCCTAAAGACAAGAAAAGATCAGAGACAGTGGAAAACAGGTAAATGTCTACCAAAGTATAAGTATGTGTATGTACACGTAGGGTCATGGCGCAGTGTGCTGCCATTGCATAAACTGAACCCGAAGCCAGGCACTATTGATGACATGCTTCAGTCACTTGTAATTCCTCATGTTTTAACATGCCTGTCAGCGAAGCATAGAATGAAGCTACTCAGGTAGTTTTAGAAATGTTGCTGGACCCGTTTAGAGAAGGTAGTTTGTTAGAAGTTATGCGTTTCATCTTTTACAGCATCGTCAAAGTCAGCCGAGGCCAATTGCTAGGTTCACGCTCATCTTTCACATGATCTGGAGAGAAGAGACAGTCTGTTGGAATACTTTCAACAAACAGACTGAGCTGCCGTTTCTGGAGAGGATGAAAACAACAACATTCAGCGAGATTTTATGTTAATCCACTTTCTTTGGTAGGACTGCAAATTATTGCACATTTTCCATCACATTAAAACATTTGTTTCAATTTCATTGTCTTGTGTAACATACATAACGTACGTATATGTGCACATTGTTCACACACTTGGCAAAACAGATATCATGTAAAGGCCCTTAAAGAATCCAGATGAGCAGCCAGTCTTCAAAATAATGTCACAGATACAACCACTGCAAATCTAGGAACTAGTGTTTCACAGTCTTTCGTGACAGCAAATTAATTAATCCGTATACATTCTGTCAATGTAGTGTGTTTACCTGAAAAGGAGCCTTCCCAGTCAGGCACTGAAACACGATGGTTCCTATACTCCACAAGTCCGCCTTGGCATCATAATTTTGGGACATAATGACTTCAGGAGCCTGAGGAAAAAAAATTGTGATTTCAACACTTTGATGGAATTCTTTGATGAACTATTAATGAGATTATTAAATTAGTATTATCCATGCTGTATTGTTCAAAAGACTGTGTTCAGCCAACACTGTAAAGTAAAAAGAACTAGCACCAAGCTGACTAAAACATGTTTGTTTGAAAGGACAGAACATTTATATTTTTAAACAAAAAACTGAGAAGCTTTCTCTGTTCAAAACAGACTCCGTTAACCACCACGGTTGACCGAAAACACAGACATCATCAAATCTGATCTTGGATGTAACATCCAGTTAAAATAATATTCCAATCTATAAAACCTATAAAAAGTGCCTACCATGTACATTGGGGACCCACAGAGTGTCGCCGCCATCATATTGTTCTGAAGGTACCTGGCGAAGCCAAAGTCAGCTGTGGAGAGAGACAGTGAAGGAGGGAAGGAAGTGGGGGGCATTAAGAACGATGATGAGTTAACATTTAATGCTGGAATTAAATGCAGAAAATGTGACAACCACAAACCCATGAAATAAGAGAAAATGGAAAAGAACTTGCCAAAGATAAAACTGCACCTTGTGCTCTCAAAAATTAATTTTCCTCTACCGCAGGTCCCCAACTCAACAGCCGCTATACATTATAATACTCTATCAATGATGGCTGAGAGGGAGATCTTATCTTCGCTGTGATTACAGGTATGATGGTATTTCAGCATTATCGCACTCACTTGGGAGTTATGGCTGAATAAAATACTCGTCAACCAAAAGGTACTGTTGAGTTTTCTCTACAGTAGAGCACATAGATCAGAGTCCTGCACTGGGTCGGTTACCTGCCGGGTGACCCACAAAAACATTGTGTAACGGGTAAAAAATGTAATAGAAATTCACAGTTTCGTGTAAAAAAAAAACTAAATGCGGGCGGGAAGTGGGTGACAATAAAAATGTGCTCTTCTTGGAGATAACGGTAGGTAACGGGTCAGTTCCGGTTCTGAGTGTGCAGATTTGCAAAACTGGACCCCTGCAGGACTCTGACATTGATAATAAAAAACATTATATTCACAATTGCTGTGTATCTCAGTTATCCAAAGCAAGTAAATTAAATTTCTATGAATTAAAAGCACAGTCATAAAATGTATTGATCAGTCATAATATTTGGCTGATTCTACTCATCATAAAACTAATTGTATTACATTTAGGTGGGTATTACAATAACTTCACATTGTTAAGCACAAGCACACAGCCTATTAAACAAGTCAAAACCATCATTTTTAAGTGCTTCCTGTGACACTGAATGTGCTTGTGTGTCAGTACCTGCGTCTATTTAGGTACAATGAGTGTGTTTGTATGTGTGTGCGTGTGTGTGTGCAACTGAGCCAGGTTTTCCCAGAGTCGTGAGGCCATAACATTCTGCAGTGGCTGGGACTGACACAAGCCCACAGACTTCACTCCCAGAGGGCAATTAATTCTCTCCAGAGGAACAAGAATTAATAGGCTTAAGGATTAGCAGACTTTCCAAACAGCTGAACAACACACACTCGTGTCTCTCTGTGCTTGGTCATGACACTCATTACGGCGATTGCTTGTTGTTACACCCACGTCATCTTTTGGGTCAAATCGGTCAAACTGATGAGACTCACACACAGTGTATTTGTGAATAGGTTTCCCCCCTTCTTGGTATTTTTTTTTTCCAACAGTGTTTTATCAGAGGAAGCCTACCAACACTGCTGAGGGAAAATGTGAAATTATATATATAATCTAGGTAATCAATTCTCTTCTAACCAGTTTAGTCTTACAATCCTAGTGTAATAAATTACCTCTGGGAAATCATTATTAGGTCCTGCTGCAGTAAAACTGTCTGTAAAGAGCTTGAGTATGGCATAGGGATTTCCATGTGCTGCTTCATGAGATTCAATTAGTTTTTTTGCTCCTGTAGAGGGTCCTGGTTCGTTCTTATTAAATCCCAATGAACAACCACAGGCTGTCGTCTCATGTGTGAAATGTTCAAATGTTTTTTCTCTTTTTATCTCTGACTATCTTTATGTTCTTGTTTTGGTTGTGTTAACCAATAGATACTACAGGGTTAGACTGAGCAATGCTACATTATAAAATGTGTTTAATCGGGGCAATCTTTCTTGAGATTATAATGTCCAGTCTTAATGTCACTCTGAAGCACTTTGGGATAAGCCCATTATGTTAAAAGGCAACAACAGAAACCTGACAATGACATGTGCACGTGCTCACAGACTCACACACTATCTAAACCTACCGATCTTGATGCAGGTGTTGTTGGAGTGAGACTTGCGTCCTGGTGGGTAGGACAGCAGAATGTTCTGGGGTTTGAGGTCCCTGTGGATTATGCCTTTGGCCTGTAGGACCCTCATGGCCCCTGCAATCTGCTGTAGGAAAACCCGGATAGTGTCCTCACTGAGCGTCCCTTTGGCTGCAGAGGAGCAAGAGGTAAATTAATAAAAGGTTAATTAACTCAAAGTTAACTATACTAGGTGTACTGTGCATGTGAAATTAATTATTGATGTAGGACACAAGGTGGAGCTATAGTAGACAGATAGGGACTGAGTGACCCTCTTTCCTAGAGTCTCAAATCTATGCAAATCAAACTAGTTTTACGAACACATCTAGGAGTCAGACCATGTTACATAAAACAGAACATCTCATTCTACCTCTAAAAATATCTCTAAGATTTTTTTTTGTCTCACATCACCCCACTGCCACCTCATGCCCCCTTTCCCTTCCTTCCCTCCAATCATCTCACAGTAGTCCAGTATGGTTCTATGTGAGAATCCCTCCCTCTCTCTGGCTCTGCCTCCCTTCTAACTGACTTTTGAAAGCCAGGCTCAGGCTCGACTTGGGCCAGGAAAAAAAGTTTTGCTCATTGACCGCAGTAGATCCAAAAACACTTGTGAAACCTTTTTTTTAACCACGCAGGCAGCACCTATTATTGAAACAGGTCCTCTATTTAGACTCTAGGCACTCAACAGACAAAGTTAGCAGCCACAGCTATAATTTGTCTGCAAACGGCTAGCGGCTGATGTCCAGTTTCCCGCACTGACAAAGTCCCACCTCAGACAAGTTGAGTGTACTGGCTATTCAGAGGCCTGCAATTTATGAAATGTGGCAAACCTATGACAGACTTTATTTTAACGCAGTGTTTCCTCTAGGATTTTTGGTAGCAGTGGGGGCAGGCCTGTCCAAAACCCCCTGACAAACGTTTTAGGTCTGAAACAGAAGTGACACTTCGCTGCCACTAGGGTGGCCATTCGTCCGGCTTTTAAACACCCTGTCCGGCTGCAGGCACAGCCTTAAGCCGGACACTCATTTGTCCTCCTTTGAGAAAATAACTAAAAAGGTCGTAATTTCATTGGTTACATTTTCATCGTGACCTATCAACACATGGCTAATTTTAATATTCAAATGAGCCATGTGTTGATTCATTAAGAACAGTTTCTGTATGATGTTTATTAGACCTATGTAATCTGAATTGGAAGGGCAGGTTGTCATGAGCTGTATCTCGTATATTTATCATTAGCTATGTGGTATGTGTATGCACCTTTATGTAATCTGGTGGAAAAACATTAAAATTTAAAACCGGATCATACCAAACAAATACCTGCTTGCGTGTCCCCGTGTATACAAAGTGTCCTCCTTTTTGATGTGAAGGAAATGGCCACCCTAGCTGCGACACAAACAAATATATTTACCGTTTTAATGTTTCCAGATGTTTGATATCAGGACGTTGAGCTGAGAACTGACAAGTTGAACGTTGTCCAATTAAAACGGACCCACCGCGGTGACGTTTTTGGTGGAGCTGTTAGTTTAATAGTCAACTTGGAAGAAAGCGAACATTTTGACAATAAGCTACATCAACACAACAGTATGTGGAGTTAAAGTGGAGAGCCCCAATAACCTCTGAATAGTTCTACTTGTTGTTAAATTGCAATGTGAGCGGCAGCCAACGGGGGTGCATTATGTCGGCAGGATCATTTAAAAGGAAACCGTGACTACATTGTGCGTCTGCCCCATTTCTGATACCGTGGCGGCAGAAATTTAACAGCGGCAGGCCGCGGCTCCAAAATCAACATAGAGGAAACACTGTAACGACATTAAGCTCCCAGTTTGATATCATAGAGATGACTCAAAAGCATATTTGCAAGGTGAGGAGGTGTTGTACTGTATGCACATGATGTATGTCTCACATACTGTATGTGTGAAAAACAGAAGAATACAGCGAGGATGTTTCTCTGTGGTCTATTACACTGTGTGTCGAAGTCTATTTTAAGCCCTAAGGTCCTCCTGAAGCGTTACTGAAGCACCAAATCCGTCTTTGTTTTCAGGGCTCCAGATAAAAGGCTACTTCCTGCGGTCATACACAAAGCCTAGGGTTGTGACCTGAATGGCAGCCTCGGGGCGTATATTTTACTGTCAAGCTGTTCCCTTTCATTTGCACTCTTTCAATCTTCTCGGCAGAGCTAACAAACCTGAAAAACAATTCTTTCTCTTCTACTGCTTGATGTCTTTGCTAGCAGCTCCTGTCAAATTGTCAATATTCTAAAGAATAACTGTTTAATTTCTGAGGGTTGGTTTTACAATTTAAATGCCTTTATTGGTTGCTTATAGGATGTTCAATCTAGAAAGGAAAGATTATTCTACTGTTGGACATCCTGAGTTCATTGTAAATTGGTCTTATTGCACTTACAGTGTAGGTAGTCAGCGAGGTCACCCCCATTGCAGTACTGGGATTAGAAAGAGAGGTTAGGGGGGAGGGGGATAAAAGGAGAGAGATGAAAAGGAATAACATTAGGAAACACAGGTAACATGAAGGGTAACTATAGTGAATAAGGCTCTGACATCACCTCCCACCCCCCAAGATCAGAGCAGAGACTTTCCGAAGAGTGACATGTTTCCAGATTTATACCCTTGCTCTTATTCCCGGCATCAATATGAATGAACCCAGAATAGGACGAGGTGCGTTATGACAAGTGAGGCTCTAAAAGGTTGCCTCACAAGTAATTTCCTTTTCTTTGACACAGAGATATGAACAAAACAATGAAGGTAATAATAAATGGAATGGAGTAAAAGAAATGCATCTGATATGGCCTGCCTTTGTTATACTGTTCTTAAGCAATGCATAATTAAGCATTCTCCAAACTTTAAAGACTTTGTGCGAACCCTGATTACATGAATGTTGTTAGAACAAGAAGAGCTAGCGTGACAGACAATTCTTGTCATACCTGTTGCTCTCTATCAGATAAACAGTATCAAGCCACAGCAGAAACCTAGCAGCATTTGGATGCTGACTGGCGACCATTAACCTCCCCCCCTCGACCATTTACCCCCCTCATGGTGCACGAGGACACGGCTAATTATAGCCCAGGCCCTGTCAGAGCTGCCTGCAAAAGCTGAGACAATACAGCGCTGAACACACAAAGCCAAACATCACAGAGTGAGCTTACCTCCATTACCAGGTACACTGAGCTGGCAGTTTCCTAAAGAGAGACGAGATAAGAGAGTGGGAGTAAACAAACACGTCAGTGACAGACACAGGAAGGAACAGGCGGCAGTTGTGCTCACCGATCACAGTCAAGCAAACTGAGCTAGTGATTCAGATTAAAATAATAGAGAAAGAACTAATGACAGCCTAAAGCCAGAGGTTGCATGAAAAGAAAGGATTCAACTTTTTATTTTTAAGTTTTAAAAGTCACAGATATAGGAAAAATTGCAAAAATACCACAAGTGAGAGGCAGATGTCTACAAATATCAAAGCTTTGCACAGTATTAACTGACATAAAAGTATGAATTGTGTAGAACTGGATCCCAGACCAGTGGACTTTCAAAAGAAATGTGGCCTCTTCTTTGCTGTGAATCCTGTGTACATTTGAATAGCAGCACATTGAAAAGTGAAAACATGCCTGGCATCAGTGAGCAAATATGAAAACTATCAACTCTGCTACATTAATACTGAGCTAAAAACAATTAGGGAATAGGATACCTGGCTTCACTGTCAAAAGCATGGTCAGAACAACAGGGTAAAGCAAGTGAGAGGCAGGAGGAAGAAGCCAACTGTCTAAAACCTTAAGCTAAAACTCATTAGCTCCCATAACACCACCAAGAAACAATAAATAGCTGTTGGTTTGCTAACAGCTTGGATAAGTTTTGATATTGCACATGTGGGGGATTCAGAGCTTCAGCCACTTTCCTAACATCTGTTTACTTCCTTCTGCTGTCCTCTCTCCCAGACAGAGTTTTGAAAAAGAAAACATAGTGCGGCCTGCTTGAAAAAGCCTTCTTATCTCATGGCAACAGATGACTGCGGTCTTTCACTCTGACCCCGTCCCAGTATCTTGTTGAATCCACCAGTCAGAGGCCAGACCGTTTTGTATAGTTCAGCTGAGTCAGGCATTTTGAAATTAGTTGTTTTTGGCTTTATAGAAGATGGACAGCAAGTCAGCCAGCCAATCGGTGAGCCAACCATCTGGTTTCCACAGGCTGTCTCTCTGTTACAGTATTGCAGCACCATACTTCTGTCAGATAAAGCATATTAGGCGTTCTGCTGAAGGTTTATTATTACAGATTTATAGTGCTACAGTTTGCTATAAAATATTCAGGACACCAGGTCACCTTTCTAGGGGCAATTACATCCTGGTTCACATGGAGTGTCCTCTCTTCCTCTGAGAGTGGAAATGTGTGTCTAAATAAAACATTACATAAGGGCTGCAACTCACGATTATATGCATTATCATTTAATCTGCTAGTTACTTTTCTGATTTAATGTTTGGTCTATAAAATGTCAAATGTATTCAATTTACAATAATCCTTACATCTGTGAAGCTGGAACAAGAGAAAGTATTATTGCTCAAAAAATGACTCAAATGACTGAATGATGATTATCATCTATTTTCTATTTGCTCTTGCTCAAAAGCTGTTAGGAAAAAGGAACTTGCTGCATTGCTTAAATCCTTTGACTGTCCCACTAGAGTTTGCCTGTAACTCTAAGACAATCTACAACAACACAATTGTTTGACTCTCAAACTGATTTGGATAGGGCAGTGTGACAGAATGTGAAAATCAAACTAAATGTATCTCTACGGTGTCCAGTGTTTGGTTTGGTTTCAGTTTCCTCCTGACCTAATTAGATAGCTGGATGGTAGGATCCCCTGCTCCGTACCTCACACTGTCTCCTGCTGTGCAAAAACAAACATGTAATCTTAGAGCACAGCTCGGACTACTATTAGACGCATGGAGAGAGATGCCACTTTGACTTACTATTAAAATAAGAGAGTGGAATATTCTGATATTATTATTATATGCATTATAACGGGCTGCAAATACTCTTCTTTAAGCTTTTGATGCAAAGCGGCTGAATCCCCATTTGCCATCCATATAACAAGGTGACTGTGCTGCGGTGTTTGAGCAGCGAGCAGTGGTCGGCATATGAATGCAATGCATCACTGGTCATGACTTTTTTTGTGGCCTTCTTTGCATGATGACTAAGTCCTTTGACAATAAAAGATAAGGGTAGAGGATGAAAGGTCGACTTAAATCAACAAAACAAATCTCCCGGTAGAGTAATGAAGCCTACAGTATCATGGTATTATTATATATTTTCAAATATGATTTCATAAATAAAACTGAGAGCACGTTGAGACCAGAAACATTTTTGTCAATCTATGACAAAACACATCTATGACCCAGGATGTATGTCAACATTCTTGCAACATGATTTGCAAAAATTTTAGCTCCAACAGCAGAGCAGCCCAGTATTGAACTACTGCCACTGTGCAATATTCTAGTCTTCTCTGATGTTAAAATTAGCATAATCTGTGCATTAGATGTTTTTTAGATGGCAGATGGCAGTTTGTTAGTCGTGGACCAAAAAGACAAAAGAAACACCTGGTGAGTTAAGATATGTGTTTGTGTTGGGGCAGGGGGCCATGCTGTCTGCTACCTGGCAGGTGTTGCCACAGACTGGTTACTAAGCTACAGGCGAAAATGTCACACGGTGACAGCAAATTCTTATTCATCACCTTACAAAAGAACACCTGTCTGGAGCGGCACAGAGCTAAGAGGTTAAAAACTGGTATCTATATTTGTAGCTGTGTGGGAGCATAACACCTAGTCTACACCTTTGGCACCAGTAAAAAGTTAGGGAACTACACTTCCCAGAAAGCCAGAATGTAGGAGACCAACAGGAACAGCTGATGTGACTGTAGATTGTAGACTGTAAACACGAGCTCAACAGGACACAAAGGCACAAGTATTTACTGAAACTTTACAAGGATTTGCTGTACATGAAAGAGCAGAAGAAAACATGCCTGAACAAGGTGAAACAGAAACAGATTTTAGAACAAACAGATGTAGCAAAGCCTCATTTAACAAGTAGGAAAAAACAAAACTGTCTAATGCAGCTTGCAGAAGTGGGTCATGTGGAACAGACAACAATCCATCTGCTCTACTTTGCGAGCACAGACTGATGAAACTGGGACAATAAGAGGTGTGATAATTATGTATGTAAACAGAAGCCATGGCAGTGTGCAGTCGGCCTGCTCCTGACATGATCTATATGCCGTTTGTGAGTGTACAATTACATACCTGAAAGTCCAGTAATGCAACAATGTTCTCATGTTTCAGTTCCTGCAGAATTGACAGAAAGAAATCATTATTTGGATGGCATATTCATTTTTCTTTCACATGATTGAATTAAAGGAGCTGTCCAACATCTACAGTCCACTTAGCAACGCCTATAGTCTGTATGAAACTTGAGAACATCTACTTTCACTATGACAACCCCATGTTCAACAAGATGTAATGTTGAGATAAATATTGCTCATATTTCACAGAGAAACAGAAAGCATTGGGTTTTTTTCCCAGTTCACCCTTCGTGCTTGGTCTCAAACAAACAAATATTTGTTTACACACATTACTATGTAATGTACAGTATGTGCTCCTTATAATCCATGTTTTAACTACATATAGTAACCTAATAACTGGAAACCAATGAACTCTTGGAAAAGGGAGCTTTCTGACAGCTTCTGATTTACCTTGAGTATTTTGATCTCTTTCCCCAACAGTGTCTGGGATTTGGCCAGGTTCTTCTTGTTGATGCACTTAACCGCTACCTCCCAGTCATGCTTCTAGAAGGAAATATTACATGCAATATATTTTTGTGGTTGGGTAAAACAAATGCATTGCACTGTGCCTCAGTACGGTATATAATGATCTCCTGTCTTTGTCTTTAAGTGTCAGTATGTAGAGCAAATTAGTTACATTGTCAATATGTCTCTGTCTCTATTTGTCTTTCTATTACACTATTGTTGACTGATGGTCTATGCGTCCCGCCTTCATACTGTGGATAGAAGGTTTTCTTAATGGAATTTGGTACAGATTACTTATCATCTGCTGAGACTGTTATCAGCCAGGAGGTCTGGTTACTTTGGTATTTTTGTAGAGCAGCCAGTGAGTCTTTACTTACTACATTTCCTACAATGCAATGCAGTGTCCTTTTCAGTGCATTTTTTGACCTGACAGCATATTTGACTTTATTGTATTATGTACCCATTGCAATATATGCTATTAGATGTCAACATCCTATATTGTGGGTTAAATGGATGTGTGCCAATTTACTAATGCAGCGACAAAGGTGCTACAGGCCTACATTTCCCCATGTTTTATTGGCCTCAGCAGATATAACTGATATATTATGCCACCAGTGGCGTTATGATTTATACTTTCATTCCAGGTATAGGACATGCTTCAACATGTTCATCCAAGGCTACAGTGTGCAGCTTTCTAATGGAAACAAGTATGTCTGCTGCTCTACATTTACACTTGCCACAATAATGGACGTGCATCATCTGCATTATAAACGTGCCGACAAATAAACACCCTCACAAAGTAAATATCCGTGTACCAGGAAAAGGTGTCGTTAGCATCTAAAAAGTATTTCAGCATTTTATCCATTAGCTGCCTGTTATTTTAAGGAACATCCTGTATGCACCACCAGGCCTCTTAAGGCCGTACAATGAAAACAAATACACCAGTTGGCTAAAAAATACGATTCACTCCAAACAATACAACCAAACGACTCAAGCGACCTTTCATTTCGTCCATGTTTGTAGTCGAATATATTTTAAACAAGTAATATTAACAGTAGACGAGGACAATACTCACCTCTCGGTGCCTGCCTTTGAAGACGACAGCAAATGCGCCATGTCCTATCAGGTCTTTCCGACTGAACTCAAATTTCCCCACCGTCTCCATATTGTGCCAAAGTCTGATTTATATACTACTTAGACGCGGACAAATGACCAGGAGGCCTCAGGACACCCTTCTTGATAGCAAGTGCTCCTTTCTCCTCTGTCAAGTAGGGGCAGCAGCAGGGATGTTCACCCCCTCTTTCACTTGCCATGGGCTGCCTTCCTGACAACAACCTGTCCTCTTCTCTCATGTTCGCACGCATACGTTTCGGAGTTTTACTCCTAACAAAGCTGTATGGTGATTTCCATCGCTGACAACACCGCCAACACGAAGTTAGCTAACTTAACAAACAGGAATCGGACTAGCCTTGTTGTCGCACCTATCTTCGACGTGCCACCTTAAAAAGCAGCTCGGTGCGTTTTGTTTATATACAGGGGGTCCTCACTTCTGTCGTCTAACGCGTCCACACGGCGAAACAAGCGCTGGGTGGGAACTTAGCAGAGGTTAACAATGTCTACCAGCCAGCAAAGACTGCGAATATCCCCCGTGGTCCCTTACAATTAGCAGCGGAGTCGCCGAAAGTCACAACATCTGATGGTCCCAACAAAGCAGACGGCGTCTAGCCTCTCTGCAACAATGCGCATGCGCCAAGCAACTACAGCTGTAGGTTTGACGTCAGAGGACCGGGGTCCTCAGCGGTCCCAAAATGAAAATGCTTCACATCTGTTTGGCCTTAACAAGTTCAGTTTAGACTAGGAAATAAGACATTGTCTCTCAATATTAACAGTGTGAAACATCATGTGACAGTATGTGTGTATCAGACAGTGTTTGTTTTACTGGCTACTGCTTTCTAGGAATCCTTATAATGAAGCAACTGAAGCAAGAAAGGTAAAAAAAATGTTTGCAAGCATGGACTTGGTTTTAAAATAATCGAATTAATCCCTTTATTTATAATAGGAGGGAATAAGACCATATTCTCCTGATTAAGGTTTTAACTGGTGACCTCACAATTTATTTTTTATTCAACTCACCACTAGGTGGATAGGACTATCATCATTATCATCATCATTATCATCATGATTATTATCATTATCTTTAGTGGCTGTAGAGGGGGAGCTTCCAACAGCGGAAAATCAGCACAGCTTTTCTGTCTGTTAAAAAAAAAATTCTTTTCAGCTTTCCAAGGGTCCTTTTGAGACCCTTTAAAGCAAGGCAGATGAGAAGAAGAAGGCTCTTGTGTCAGTCATCCAGGCTCGCATGGAGAATAGTGACTAAAGAACTAGAATGATGAGATCCTTATAATCTGTTAAAACATGCCAAATGCAAGAAAAAAAGTCATACAATTCAGACCCAGTTATTTTATGAATTTAATAAAATAATAATTAATAATTAAATTTGTGTACTAAGCCAGGATGGCATGTGCCCTTTCTAATGTAACTGCTTCCCTAAGGCCCAAATATTAAGGTCTCCGTCTTTACTTGATTCCAATTTTTTACTTCTCCCTTTGTATTGAACATAAACACATTGACCACATTGGATTTCTTTACTCATTTAGGATGTCAGCAGTAATGTAAGTTGGTTTCTAACTGGCATAAATTGCACAGACTGGTTCATTATCACTAGTTTCATGCCTGCAACATCACTGTTTATGTTACAGTAATTACAAGAACATATAATAATAATAATAATAATAATAATAATAATAATAATAATAATAATAATAATAATAGAACTCTTGCTTCCTTCAATCCACTTATAAAGGCAGAACACTCCATTAATTGTACGAGTCTCTCAAGAATTAAACACACAAAAATGTAATCAGAAGAGGAAACTAATGCATTTGTTTCTGTTTGGTTGGATGAGTTGATGCATTTTCTGACAAGTACAGATGACTTAATTATCAGACATTGTCCTTGAGAGGAAGGACTTTCCACAGCCAGGTGCAGATGATAAATGGGCACATAATTTCACATTACAACAATAGCAACAGACGATGATATTAATCCATAACACAACATTACAGTATACGTCTCATATCCTCATACATCAAAACACCAGAGGAGGGCGGTAGAAGCCTGCAAAAGACTGCATGTCTATGGTGACCAAGTTGTTTATCATTTTAAGCACTATGAAGCAAATATCATGGAAGCAATAAAAGTGCAAAAATGTATCATTTTAAGTCATTATGTCATTTTACCATTAATTTTATCTCAGTCTGTGGATATACATTTACCTCAAACATCAAATAATCTATGACAATAGTCACTCGGGAAATGATGTAAACCTGGAATCTGAAGTCGTTAAAAATCCTCTTTTGAGAAGCTGAGTTGGATTGGAAACATTGCTACCACATTGTCAAATATCAATTATTTAAAGACATTTTAGGAATTTAATTTTCAGATGTTTTGCCACACAGTCGGAGGACTGGTAAAATCACCTTGAAACATCCCCCCTCAGCCCACTCACACTGGCAATCTGATTATCAAAGAGCTATTGTATCCTACCTGATTATCTAGTGCGATGGCAGCCAGTTATTGTATAATACTGCTGCAGAATTGTCCAACACAGTGCATGCTATTTTGAATTAGTCATACTGGTTTTCCTGAGCCAAGAATCAGGCTACATTCAGTGCTGTGCTGGTCTATATAATGACTGCAGTTAGGTTGATGCTGCGATGTGTTATTGTATATAAAAAAAAATATTACATCACTTATAACTGTACTGCTCTTCAGTGTTTTACTGTGTTAGGAAGTTTGACTTTACAGGACAGTTGGTGTACTTTGCTTTGAGCAGCCCACTAGCCACCATCACAGGTGTCTACTCTGCAGGGGTTTGTTCTGGTTTTGAATATTTTAGCTGCTCCGTGGTTCCCTCAGAATGATTGATTGGTTCTCCCTGGCCCACATTAAGTCTCTGCTGGTGACAGTTGGTGCAAAGGCCTTCAGGTGTTCACTCTGGTTAGAGAAGTGACTCTATAGCCGGCAGTTTTGCAATATACTTGCACACTGAACCTAATGTAAGTTGTCTGTTAAATTACAGTTTCAATGGAATAACATTACACACTATATATAAGAATTCTGTATCTGTAATCAGATCTTCCATGCAGTCCGCCATGTTTCTGCAGTACCCCAGAAAGGACAAACCAAACACTGGCTCTAGATAGGACCAGGAGGGTGAAACAAGTGATTTGCAATTTGCAACTATACCTCTAAATCCTACACGCTACACCTTTAATGTTTGCTTTATTTGACATTTTAGTTATATTTTTCCCTTAAAAAAGCCAAACCAACATTCTTTAACTCCTTTTTTCTATCTATATTTTATAGTGTATTAATGTATTCTGTTTCTGGAATAAAAATAATTAAAGGTCCATTGTGTGTGTGTATGTGGATGCTTTGTGTGGACCTTTTTACCGGTTAAAAAAAAAAAAAATGTTTTACCTCTTTCTTTGCATCATAAACCTCCTTGACCAAGGTCTAGAGGGCAGCCGCCTCCCAAGGGCTACTCTCCACTTAGCTCATATCAAGTGTTGTGACACTGTGCCTCATAGTACCTACTAGGGGGAAACGATGCACAAGCTTGAATGGCCGCCAACTTTTTCATGTAGATGGATAGCTACGAATCTCGCCATGAAGGTCACTGGTTTTTCAAACCCATCTCCGCACTGAGATGAACTTTCAGGACTTGATCAGCATAATAGTTTTGTCTGCATATTGCATTGCTATGCTCAAGTGTGTGATCCTCGCCAGTAGGTCATGCCAGATAATTAAACTGAGAAGCTGAAGAAAATTCAATACACTCTATTACAACTGAGGGAGCCTTGGACTCAGGGGAGTCTTTGGTATTCATAGACTGAATATAAAGCTTTTCTAAAGCATCAAGTAGCTCCAACTCCCGCTGGAAACACAAGTCGTTAAACAACTTCAGTGATGTTACATTGCAGATCAGTAAAATTACAATGGCTGAGTGAGGGAACTCCCTGATAAATGTTTAAAAGTGTTGATTATTTTCCACAACCCTCACTCTTCTATGTTGTCAGTGACTTTGAATCTAACTGAGCTGTTAGGAGCTGTGTTAAGTATTCTCAATAACACAACAGGAAATTCATTCATTAGGCTCCACAGCGTGCTCTCTCCATAGATTTAGAATTGCACTCCAGTTAACACTGACTGATTCTCGATGGACAGCTTTTAAAAGGAGGATCAAAAGCGATGCAGCGGAACCAGAGCTATCTTTTTTTATTCCACAAATGCTTTTTACTTGCCAAAACCTGGAGCCTACAATATCTATAAGGGCAACTCATTCACCGACAGTTTAGTCAAAAGATTTTGGTGTCTTTCTATTAGTCGCTAATGTAGCCTCAAGCTGCTAGCATCAAGCAGAGATGAAGAGTGGGCAATAGAGGTCTGTTAAGGTCAGCAATCCCCAGATTTGTTTCATTTTCAGTCTCCACCACCAAGCGATGCTGACTCAAGTGACAAGTTGTAGCAACCTGGTATCTGCATGCTTGCAAGCAGTACACCTTGTTTTATTTTGAGAGCATTAATGAGTCATGTTCAACACGTTACTCGCTGGATAATAAATGAGAACAGGATACTTTGAAAGTAATGCGTGGCTGTTTGTTTAAACTCAATTAGGGGCCTCAGGGTCATTTCACAGTCATCACCTGATAAAGTGCGTCAGTTCACGCACAAGAGAAAGGACAGACTGACAGCTCAGTGAGATCAGGAGCGCTCTCAGCTCCCTTGCCCCGTGTTTTGCTTTTTTAAAATTCTGTTGCTCATTTTTCTTCTATTTCATGATACCATCAACCTGAGCATCCTCTCTGCTTTCCTCTGTGGTAGAGGAGTGATGAAATTACTGACATTAGGTGTAAGCCAGCAAAACATTGAAAAACAACAATGGATAAAAATATAAATACTGTATATTCTGCCAGTCTTATATACTTACCTACATTTTTTAGAGCATTTTTTGTGCTTTGAGTGCCCACATGACATTCTGGCTTCATACGTCATATCTTGTGTCTATTTTTGCAACACCAGTCCACACATGTTCCGTCAAGGTGAACCTTCCTGTGTCTTAGACTGTCACTTTGTCACACCAGACGTCAAGAGTGGAGGCGATGCTTCTGCTCAAACTTTGGAAACAAATGGGTGCACCATCACTCCCCGCTGAAACCCCCCCCGGCTTGTGTGGGCAAGAGTTGAAAACAAGTGACCTTTCGAGGAATGTGACGGCAGAGGGCTGCCAGAGCCCGGTCTGACAGGTCTGCCTCTGATTCTCTCACCATGCAAGCTTGAGCCAGCTCCTTCTGTGGACCCTCCCCTCAACCTCACCGCCATGCATCAACTTGGAGCCAGGCTCTTGACAGCATCACTTCTCCACAGGGCAGTGACTGTGGGAACAGGGTTATACTTTGGTGCGTGTGCAGACACACAGTTACATATACACACTGTTTAACACACTGCCTAACAAAGGACTCCACAGGTTCTCCTGCACAAGCTGGCATTGCTTTTCAACTTACTCGTGGTACTTTAGGAGCTTGGCCTTTGTCTGCCAAGTGGTTACAGAAACAAGATGATCGTGACATGATGATTAGAGCTAGTTCTTATGAAATGCACGAGGTTAAAAGCATATAACGCCTAAGGTAATATATCATTTGTATATGTGGTGCGTGTATTTTTAATGTAATTAGTTCAACTTATGCTGTAGGTCTTTTAAGATAAAACAGTCTCAGTTCAGGGCCTCATGAGACAGAGAAGAGTCTTAATTGAATGATGCAAACCTGCCTGGCTGGAATATATTTCACACAGTTGTTAGACAACAGCGTCAATCAAGACCAATCCAGGTTGTGATGTATTAATTAAACAAAGTGAATGTGGAAGAGCTGATACAAATGAAAGGATTATTTAGTTAAAAAGTTTTAGTTAAAAAACACAGTTTGACATAATGCTCACTACACTTCCCTGGACCACTACCTGCAAACTATTACATTTTTAATTCTAACAATTAGGTTTGGTTGAAGTAGCAGCTCAAATAGGATCAGTTGGACGAACTGCTGAAAAGTGACCCGTCCTGCTGCATTTGCCCCCGGGAGCAGGTGCTCTCCCGGTGGCAGCCGAGCCACACCAGTTAATTAACACCACTCAAGTGTGTCAAGAGACGGGAAGAAAAATTGCTGCTCTTAGCGGTGTCACACCCCGGCCTGCAAGGCATGACAAGAGGGAGATGCAGGGGGAATAACAATGGATTCATTTTAAACATGGTAATAAATTTACGTGATTTTGGAAAAAGTATATTGAAAAGCATAACAGCAGTACAGCTTATTACAACAAAAACACAATGGCAGTTGTGTGTGTGTGTGTATGTGTGTGTGTCTGTGTGTGTGTGTGTGTGTGTGTGTACATGTAATCTCGGGATGCAGAATACAAAATGGAAATGTAAACAGAATAATACACAACCGAGCAGGAGGCTAAAAATAATGGTTGATGCTTTTATTCATTGAAAACTGAATTAAGTTTGGGTGTGCATATTGTGGTAGAGGTCATCTGTAGCCTCTCGGTTAATTTAATTGCTGTGGTTCTTGTGGTACGCAATGTTCTTTAGCACTTGTCTCAGTTGTTTGCCGCCCACAGTTCACTTTGATCTCCAAGTAAGCAGTATCTGAGCTGCTGAATATTTTTACATCAGGTGACATTACTTCTCTGATGCACCTCCTTGAAAAAGTGCGGGTATATATATATAATCCTCCGCCAGCAAATCTGTTCCTAAAGCAAAATGTGTGTGGTGTGATTGACATGATGTGGTTTGCTTTCCTGATCAGCAGCAGTGACCATTACGAGAGAAAAAACATGCTTAAGAACATCAGAGAGATGGAGAGCAGCTCCCAGTTGGTGTCTGCAAGCTGTCATGTTACCTTCATCTGTCTTCAAGCCCAGGCTTCTTTTCAATGACACAAAATAATTACACAGTCAGCCGCAACACAGAGTACTCAAAAAAATCTGTCAAATTCATGTGACCACAGTTATAGCCAATAAAGTCGTTCAGATTCCTTTATTTTTCTAGAAAAATATTTTACATTAGAAAACACACTTTGAAATATACACAGTCCACTTGGTTTTGCAGTAACCATGGAACATCTCAACTCAAATATATCGGTGTCTATATTAAACTGTAGGTAAATATATCAGCAATAATTAATCCAGATGCTATCTCGTGAGGTCTGCCAACGACGCCACCAGGAGACGGATTGATGAAGGAAATCGTCCAGCAGTGAGGATAACGGCTCTGTGAACGATAATCTGATCAAAGCAATAGGGACTCACAATCTATCCATTTTTATTACAAAAAATAAAATAAAAATACAACAAAACCAATACTGCCTCTGATAATGGCATGGAATGCTTCTGTACCAGAGCTGAAAATGATGAATTCATGGAGATACAGTGCATGAGCAGCAGTTCCTCAAAGAGCATGGGAGGACTAAGTAAGGGATTTAAGCTAATGGTGCTAAGAATAATGGCGTTAAGTGACACTGGGAAAGTCTTGAACTTTCTCTGTCATACAGGAAGTCACTAATTGGTCTTATTTCCCACAGCCAAGGGCGCCCTTTTCCTCACGTAGCTGCCTACCTGTTTACAGCCCCCGATGCCATTCATCTACCTGTCGACATCCACACAAGCCATTCATTTGTACTCCGTCAACATCCCATGGGGCCATTCATGTGTAAAACTCTCTATCTACTCTAAATCCCAGGGTACTTTTCACCTGTCTGCCTAGATACATACCAGGTTGTCAGTCAACTGTCTAACTACAGTATCTATATACCACATGTCATTCTTTGCCCTGGTTAGAGTCTCTCAGGCTGCTCTTACTGTCAGGCTGAGTTAAAATATTCTTTCTCTCGGATTGTAGACTCAAACCCCAACCGCACTCACAGCTGGAAGCTTCACTGCAACCAGCCTAAACTTAAACAGAACCATCTGATTGGTGGTGAACGCTGGTACACAAAAGTTCTACTCGCCAGGCACAATTTAAGGAGTTTTAAATTGTTTTTGCTTTCCTGCCAAGTTTAAGATGAGAAGATCAATCAGGACCTGGCTTAGCTTAGCTTAGCACGAAGACTGGAAACAGTGGGCGAACTGCTAGCCTGGCTCTTCCTGGAGGTAGCAAAATCCAATTACCAGTACCTCACTGTAAAAACACATTTTAAACGTCAGTTGTTTTTTTTTTCCATGAAGAGAACTGTTCAGCTGTTTCCCCAGCCGCTCGCTGTAGCTTAATATTTACCAGACAGACATGACAGTGGCACTGATATTCTCACCTACCTCTCGGCAAGACTGCGAATAAGCATATTTAATTTCCCAAAATGTCGAACTATTCAGGATGCCATTCTACTGTTTAAAGATTACAGCCCTGAATGCCATTTACCCACATCCCAGAATGCAATTTATTATTGTTGTAAACTTGTTGTACATGAAAAAAGCCATTATGCTGTTGGAATACTGTAGTATTTCACATGAACATGGTTCCGAACACTCAGTTAGCTTCCTTGCAACCATGAGACAGTTCAGCCATTCAAGAAGAAACCAAGAGATAGAACTTGTGGTTCTGTGTAACTCAATTTGTAAAGCACGGTATTAGCATTATCAGTGGATCGATGCCTATAAGATATACCCAAGTATGATAATATGGATGTATATATGTATATGTATATGTATGTATGTACTACCCATACTGCAAGGCGCTTTAGATGACCATCAAAGGGCGTGTGAAATAAATAACAGCAAAATAATAACAAAACATACCAATTGATATTTATATGAACAAAATTTTCCAGTTTGTATTCAGTGTCCACTGGCCCTCCACCAAAGAGTCTCTTTTTCGCCCCTGGCTTGAGAACTCTGTCCCCTGCTTTGGCATCATAGCAGTTCAGAGTGGAGGGCCAGCGAGAGCGTCCAGAGAGGTGGCAGCAGCCACAGGGGTGATGGGGAGGGGCGGGCGCCTAAAGGCGAGGCAGTGTCAGAGGTGCAGGAGCACACCTCATATCCATTCTCTGCGTGGTCCGGGTGATGGTGCACGTTGCCTCTCGTCTCTGTGCTTTTGGGCTCTGTGTCTGGAGAGTCCGACTGCATCTCGGTGCAAAGCAGCCAGTCTTTAGCGATGAGGCGGGGGTAACCCGCCTCCACCTCCATGTCGCTGCTAGGCACTCGCCAGTACTCCTTCCCCTTGAAGAAATAGGACGAGCCTTTGGAGAGAGAAGGCACAGAGTTGGTATTAGTGTGTGTGTTGAGATACAGCAAAATACAATAGAAGAACAATACTGAACAGAAATAAATACTAACTTCACTTTGTATTTGCCCCTTAAAGCAGATGAAAGCGTAACAAGGATGCAAAGTAAGTATTAAAATACAGCAAACATATATTAGCAGGATTATTGGGAAAGGCAAATGTATAACTAATAATACGGATGATCTTTTCCCGTTTCCGATTATCTTTGCTTCCCCTCCAGCACTGTTCTTACCATACCATTGCTCTCCTCTTTCCAGTATATTTATTATCTATCTCTTAAACCTGTGATCTCTCACTCACTATTCACCACATCTTCCCTGTTCTCTCCTCTCCTCTTCCATCTGTCTCACTGTTCCCTCTTTATCCCAGGCTTGTGGATGCAGCCTGGAGGCAGATAAAGGCTTGATGTGGCTCCAGTTTCCTGGTCCAAAGGTGTGCCTATATGTGAATTTGTATGTTCCTGAATATACATACATACATGCATTTATATGTGTCTTCCCACCAAACTGGGGATTATGCTGGAAGTGGGACTGCCCGTTCCTTTGCAATTGGCTTGTTCCCACACACACACACACACACACACACACACACACACACACACACACACACACACACACACACACACACACACACACACACACATCAGAGAGCTTGGAGCAGGACCTCTGAAGCTGGCGGAAGCTCAGACACAACACAGACCTAAACACCTGACAGGGAAAAGAGCTTCCACAAATACAGCTGGGAATTGCTAAAGGGGAGAAAGGTGATGTTGCTTGCTCCCATTGAGAGTTGCCTGAAATAAAGACTGAGTATCTCCTGCTAATTAGTTGTTTTTGTGCCAGTTTTGAACACCTACAAGTGCTTTATCAAAGCCTAATATGCACAGCCAACTGCTGAGGCATTCCTTAAAGGGTATTTGCTTGGTGAAGGCTGCCATTACAGTCGAGCAAACATTTCTAATCCTTATGGGAAGGTTATATGTCCTTTGCATTTGACCTACTGTAATTGCTTAGGAACAGCAGGCAACCTTTCTGCACCACCTGGGGACCAACTCCAGATGAGGCCCTCGTCAAACAAAATCAGAACCAAGCCAATATAATAATTTGTGTCATTTTCTTAGACAAAATATTTGATATTATCTATCTCTTGTTCACTGAATGAATACATTACTCCTTACACTTATTTTTTGTATGACATCTATTTTTTAATACTTTCAGTCCAAGGCCAAAAACTGTATTTTTTATGATTTTATTTGAATGAATTTCATGAATTTAAGTTTCCCTTTAAATATTTTGTCACAAGATGTACATTTGAAAATTCTGAAGGTTTCAAATATGATAGGTCATACTTTTGGTATAAAAGCATAATGACCAATTTTAGCTTTTATGTGTCATAATGACATCTTTGAGATGAGCGTTACATAGCACAGAACCTGCCCTCCTCAAGGTAACCAATGACCTCTTCCTAGCAGCTGGCAGGGGAGAGATTTTAACTCTTTTAGACCTAGGTGCAGCTTTTGACACAGTAGATCATGCCATTTTAATTGACTCTGGCATCAAATACACCACACTTGGCTGGTTTTATTCTGACCTCTTAGAGAGAACCTTCTCGGTATTCACAGGTAATTACTCATCATCTACAACTCGCATTACCTGTGGGGTACCACAAGGTTCAATTTTATTTTAGGTCCAATTTTATTTTCCATCTATATACTTCCTCTTGGACAAACTATCCAAAGTCATAATGTCTCTTTTCATTGCAGACGGCACACAGATATACCTTCCTCTGAGACCTGCTGACCCAAGAAGCCTAGCTGCTGTTTTAGATTGTCTCAGTGATGTCAACTGTACAACATTTCATTTAACTCAACGACTCTAAATAGGAAATCATATTGTACAGTCCTCCAAACCACATAAATACCATTCAGAATGGCCTTGGTCCCTTCTCCTTCCAAGCTTTGAACCACATATCAACAAAGTTATCCAGTCCTGTTTTCTTCATTTAAGAGCTGTCTCTAGAATCAAACCAATCCTCTCTCACCCTGACCTGGAAAAAGTAATTCATGCACTAATTTTCTCCAAATTAGACTACTGTAAACTCCCTCCTCTCTGGCATAAACCAAAAGCCACTCTCTCGCCTCCAACTAGTTCAGACTGCAGCAGCCAGGCTTCATACTGGTTTGAACAGAAGACATATGGGCAACAATTTCAGGAACTCTTTATATCCTCTTTCCTTATTAATAAGAACGGGAAGCAATCAAACATGGTGGCTCATTTCACTTTTAAGAACCAGAGACATTATACATTAGTATGTTGATCGGCAGCAAGATCATCGGTTCATGTGCAAGTCTCACCGAACCGTGGACCTGATACTGGCATTCTTCTGGGATCTGTTTGACAGGTTCAGCTGGAATTTCAATGAATGTAAATGTTCTGGCCTGTTTAAAAATGTTACGTTCATCCCCATATGATGAAACTGAATATTTTTATTATTTTATTCTCTACGCAATGAAAATCTTAATGCTCATTACGGTTAACATTATTTAAGACTTTCACTGACAGTATGACAGCTGCCTTACTGATTTATTTCATACCTATGATTCATTAAGTCTCATACTATTATCCACTGCATCCTCCTATGCTGCACAATGATTCAGTTATAAAACAGGCTCTCAGTTTCAAACCTATTTAGCAAGTTCCAACTATGAGACAACATTAAAACAAAAAGGCTGTAGGCAAAAATGCACAAAATTATTTAAAAGGAACAACAAGGAAGCATCAAACTGAAACTATTCAGTGAAACTCAACAACTTTTAAATGACCTTTACATCCATCGAAACATCCGGCCTCTTGCACACAACTGTGTTTATACAATACAGTTCAGTGGTACTGTACATTCTGATTAGTTTTTCTTGTTATTGCAATTATTTTTTCAGTACACAATTATAATGGCTGCTCATAATGGGTAATGTCATGCTAATGCCACACATAATTACACAAGGCCAGCTGTGAGCTCACACGGACACACGCACACATATTTTCACTCTTGCGTATGTGCATGGGTTTTATAGAAGGCCCTAGACATTTTATAGGAGGTAAAAGACCAGAATGTTTTACAAGCACAGATGCACATAGTCTTTAAAGATTACTGACAAGGCAGATTGAGGCGTGACATGCTCCAGTAATGATCACATTACCCCACCTCCTACCATCCACAGAACCAAAGGGGGGGGGTTTGGGAGAAAGTTTGAGGGGGAAGTGAAGGAGAGAGATAGGAAGGGAGGAAGACATGCATCAACACACATGCACTAATTGAATAATATAAACTAAGTATGTATTAGAACTAATGCATTTTATTGGTGTATCAGTTGTTAATTTAAATTGTTAAGTGTCAATATCACCTTGGGATTCCTTTAATGATTATAATGACAAAACTATTTTACTTAGGTGGACACTCGAGTAAATGCCTGACAGCATTAGTTGTACATGGATGAAATCACAAAACATTCTAACGAAAAAGGTCACCAGTAATGGCCGATGATTTTTTTCCCAGTAACCGTCCATGGCTGGGTCAGTGGTTGACCATATGTCATAAAAACCTATGAGCCAATATTTGGGATAAAGCAGAGAACAATACTCACGTTGTCCATCTGGCACTGACACTTCTTCCCTGATGCGTTTCAAAAATTTCAGAGACTATAATCATATTTTGGAACCAGTTTAATGATATATTAACAGGAGGCAGTGCCCATGCTGCCACAATGAAACACTTCTCATGCGCGACCACTCAGTCACGACAGACGAGCAGGACACACAAAAAAAAAAGAAAATAAGAGAGAGAAGTCTTGGCTGTGGTCACTGAGAGCCACAATCAGCTCAAATGCTGCAGGCTGCGGTCTGTGTGAGGATGGTACTCACACAGCGAGGTTTAACAAACAATTCAGGCTGTGAGTGGACATGAGCAGAAACAACTTGGGAGCGTGATAAAATACCTGTTATTCCCAGCGTAGGTGCTGAGGAGTGAATGCTAAAGCGGAGGGCACTATAGTGAGGACAAGTGTTCAGCTAAAACAACTACTAAAAAATCTGAAACACTGTCATATTGTAATGCTTAAAACATATAAATACTCTGATAATCGCTGCGTTTTTTGTTTATAACAATTTTTGTGCTCCACTTAATACAAAGGATCACATGACTTGTATGATTAAAACTGTCATCTGAATGCAGCTTTCCAGTGTTATGAGGACCTACTATTGATTGCAGTGTATTAGTAATAGCTTCTTCCTTTGTGTATTTGAGTCACAGCCAGCACACTCACAAATTATTATCAGAACAGAAATGTGAAACACAGACATACACCAACACACACACACACACACACACACACACACACACACACACACACACACACACACACACACACACACACACACACATCACAAACAAGCTGGAATAATTAGTTTGCAAAGTCATTTACTGCTTGCAGTTGGCCCCGTTTTCAACATATCATTTTTTTACCCCAACATTGTCATTTGTGTTGGTGGAAGTTCAAAGCCAACTTGGATAATAATAATAATAACAATAATAATTGACATATATAATTAATATTGTGTAATCAAACAGTTGCGTATCATCCAGCAACCCTCCACCAACTCCTGAGAGAAATATCTGCATCTTTAGCAGCAAGCTAGCTGCTGAGTGAGGAATTGTTGTGAATCTGTAGAGCTTTTTGCACTAAAAAGAGCTGCCTGCTGAGTCTGAAAATGAGCCTGATGAGAGCTGTGAATCAAGCAGTGAAAAACAATGAGCTGAAAGATGCTAAAACGCTCTGAAGAGCTGAAAGGAACTGTAGTCTGGTGATATCGAGAGTGTAGAGAGTCATTTGATCTATTGTTGATACAAAAATATTGATTTGTGCAGCTTTAAATCTTGCAAATACATTTCTAAAAAGGGTAAATGATCATTCATGCTACACTGAGTGTGTAAGTAATATGACATATTTTCCGAGACATGGGATAGTTACATAACTTAACACTGACATAAGGAGTGTGAGCCAAATCAAAATAGGACCCAAAACATATTGCAGTCTCAACCTGCCAGTAGATGAATTCAGGAAAGAAATGAACAACTAAACTAACAATGAGCACAGCAAAGCAGAAAAATGCAGATGTTAGTCTGAATAGCTCAAATTAGTCTCCATTTGCATATTTGCATTGTTCAGTCAGTGCAAATGGATGTTTACGGTGCGCACTGGTGTGTGTATTTGTGTGTGTGTGTGTGTGATGGTGATGGAGGGCTGGCTGAGGAGGTGAACGACTGTGGGGTAAGTGATGCTGATAGTGTGAGGACTGCACTGAAGCTGTACGCCAGGGGGCAGTCTGTAAAATGCATGGCTGCCCAAAAGTGGTAAAATCAGCAGTTTTCTTTCATTGGCTTTGGCTCTGGTGCCATTCAGGTCTTTTTACGGAAGACAACTGACTGCTCAACTGTTCACGTGACAAACTTCACTTTTCTCTTGGAGCAGGAAAAGGCAGAGTCACATCATAAGATGGATTTTAAAGGTTAATGTAGGAGGAACATTCTCTGTTAGACCTCCTTAATTAGATTAGTGATCTTGTCATCCCATCTCAAGTGTTTTTTTGAAATACTGTGCCCCCCATGAATCTGACTGACTCCACTGAGCTCACAGTGGCAGCATGGATTAATAAGGGGAGACCGGCTTGTGGATTCATAACACCCAACACGGCTCTCCACTGTGTTTGCAGTGTAAAGGTCAAGGCTGTTGTTAGCAAGCTGAGAATCCAGTCTTACAACCTCTTTCTGGTAGACTGACTCAGTGTTTGTAATCTAAAAAGTTTGTTGCCTGGAAACTTGAACATCTTGCATCCAAAAGTTCCTAAAGGCAAATGTACAACTGTACTGTTTATTTTCCATAACCACAGCTCACTTTTTATGGGTCAATGATTATTTTTATTGTGTATGAACACATATATTTAAGCCTATATACTGTAGCCAAAAGAGTATTTGTGTAGACATGTGTGTGTAGATAGTATAGTGTTCAACACATTCCAAAATGTTGCTGTAGATACTAATATGATCTAGTTGTATGCTCAGATAAGCCAAGCTAATTGTTTGTAGCCTTTAGAAGCAGAGCTGCCAAGTGCTGCTGCATAACATCCACTTCTGCAGAACTCCACACCAACAGTTTGCTATGTGTATTTTTCATATGAAATTAGTTGTTTCCAACGGCAAGTAAAGACTACCTGAGGGACTCAATTTTCCCTGATTTTTCACAGTTCCCTTTAGAGCCACATAAGGCCTTATAAACCTTTACAACTGGGTGGATTTGTAGAACTTTTTTCAGCTGTCTGCTACATCTGGAAATGAGCTTGATGAAAGCTGTCAGTGTTAATCAAACAGTAAAGTTGCAGGCTATAAAACCAAAACAATGAGCTGAAAGCTGCCAAAACACTCCGTAGAGCTTAGAGCCACATAAACCTTTATTAACCTGTCTTCATATTTTTCCACTGTTTGTGGCAGTGTTAAAATTGTGGTTTATTTCAAAACTAACTATATAGGTACAGATCATAAAAAACAAAATGTTTCAATGCCCCCCTTTATTGAATCTCCTTTAAACCTGTCACATAACCAGCTGAGTCAGTTAAGTTTAAGTAAAATGGCAAGTAAAAGATCGATTTTTATGACTACTCACCATCAGACCACCTCATGGCATCATCCAGATTTGGTGGCAGCCCCTTCCAAAGCGTGCTGTCTTTAGGGTAGCCCAGGTCCATACGTCTGAGGTGGTCATCGTAGCGCCAGTAGTGGTTGTCCTTGAAGAAGTAGGTTTTGTCGTTGTGTAGCCAAACAAAGGCAGCATCAACGCTATCCAAAGGTAGGCCGAAGTCACTGATAGAACGAGGGTAACCCTCCTCCACGTTATTGTCTTTAAATACCCAATACTTCAGACCTGAAAGGGTGGATACAGAGGTCACAGTTAAAGGAAGAAATAAAATCTTTATAGTTTGGAATTTATCCACCAAATTACAACAGAAACATTTAAAAACACATCAGTGTTGATTGTGCTTGATGCGGTGTAGCAAGGAAGCAAAGACATGCTTAGTTAGTCATTTAAACCCACAAAGATAAATACAAACTGAATGTTAAGAGAAATGTGAAATCAGAGACCTTTAAAAAAGACTATTTTGTGGTCCCCAGGCCTCTCATACACAGCATCCACGCTGTCCAGATTGGGTGGAAGGCCCCTCCAGAAGCGATGGATCTGAGCCGGATGCAGAGACACCAGGTGCTTTTCTCGAGTTAGTCGCCAAAAGTACTTCCCTGTGACAGACAGGAAGTGGTTAGAGCTTGGAACTTCTTCACAATATCCTGTAGGAGTCTACAAGAAAAGACATGTTTAGTTAGGACACATCATATTGCACGTCCTACCCCTAAGTGATCATTTTGTTACCTTTGTTTGGCTTCTTTTGCCTACCTGTGAAAAACAGTATTGGGATATATAAATAGCTGCGCTTGTGCTAAGAAGAGAAGTGTAACTAATTAGCAAGAATGGGATCTTTAGCCAATACACATCATGTACTGTATGTTTTAAGAAATAGTTTTCTTTATCTAACATATTTTGGCTGATGAAAGCTCTCTTGCTTTATAAATATATAAGGCACGCCGACCAATAAGCCAAAAAGATCCATTTTAAGCTCAGCAGATAATAAGTGTACAGCAAAAACAGTGTGGCCCTATGGGACCATTTTGTTTAGACTGCAGAATATGTGATGGTGTGTGAGCCTGTGATACGAGCCCTGGGAGGCACACATGGCTTAGCTTTCTATTGATCGCTGGAGCCACCATTCTGTCCTGTGCCCGAGCCCTGTCCCTTCCTCTTTCACTTTATCTCCTCTCCATTCACCTCGTTTTCTCTCTTTTCTCTCGCTGTCACTCTCCATCTATCTGTCTGTCCGTCTGTCTCTCTTGTTTACTTTCTCATTTTAAGCTTGAATACCTTTGAAAAAGAAGGCCTCCCCTCGTATTTGGGCCACGGCATCAAAGTGACTGGTGCATCTGTCTGGGGCATCTCGCGCCAGCCTGAGAAAGGGAAAGTTGGAGGACGAAAGAAGGAAAAGTTGAAGAAAGGAGAATAAAGAAAGACGAAAGAGAAACAGACACTAACTTCAATTTCATATTCTGAACATTGAGTGAGGCTATGTACATACCTACCTGATGTTTTACATAAAAAACTTCAAACAAATTCACTTATTGTAAGGTATGCGGTTCACGAAAAATAGACCCAAACCAGTTTAAGCCATTTGCATAAAAAAACAACAGCTATGCACTAATTGCAACCACCTATCGAGAGAGTCTGAGTGTGTGCATGCATGTGCATGTGTTTCCTTCAATTAAATAGGCTAAACATTAGGTGAAATGCTATCACGCTGACACGGTGAGGTCCCCCAGTGCATTTATCCCTGGGGCTAATAAGTGATTTAAGGCACTGACGTGGTTCGCCTGCCAATGATGAAGCCATTAGCACCACAGGGCTGCCACTGTGAGTGGGAGGCCGCCCTCGTCTTATCAACAAAGATCTCCTTTCAGAGCTCTATTAACACAACACCTCTGCCTAGCGGTCAGCATTTGTGACCCTTGTCAAACATAATACAGCTTTTCCATGTATCAGGACCAAACAGAGATGGTGAAAAATGAGTAATGAGGGCAGCCAATACTCGTGAGGAAAAGAGGGTTTTATATGCCTGTTTAGTTTAGAGCTGATGCGTAGTCTTTGTGTATTAGTGTGGGTGTATTCGTGGAGGCCAGCAAGCATTGGGTGTTGTTGCTAGTGTAGTTTGAAACACAGTTTGATCACTCCCTAAGCAAGCTGCCCTCTCTTGATCCTATTAATTCAAGAGACAAGTTAACTCACTTTACCTCTAAAGCAACCAGGCTCTGTTTAATGTTTATTAGTAATTAATATCGGATCTGTAATGTTAGCACTATGGCAAGTTAATAAAAATACAAAGGTGTTGTTTAGTGCATAAATGTATATAAATAAATATTCAAAATTGTACTGTGCTGGATTTTTTGCCCTGCCAGTTGATGTACATTATGAAAAATATTCAGCCTCAGCAATGCAACAATAATACAAATAAGACATTTCCTGGTCACATGACAGCCTACTGCTGTGAGTAATTGTGTGAAAATGCAGAAAAAAGACCCCTGAATCCAGGTCATCACTCAGAATTCACTTATGGTTCATGTGCTGTGTAGTCTGACTGACACGCTGCACTGCTGCACAGGGTGGTCTGTCCAAGTCTTTGGTCCAGAGTGAGATATCTTTACAGCTAGTGAACCGATTGTACCACTGATGGTAATTACATTTTGTCTCCATCCTATTTCCTCTAGTGCCATTACTCTCACCTCAAGTTGTCACTGGACCATTTTTTAAGGGGAACTTTAGTGATCTTTCCCTACCACTTTCCAGAATATCCACCTATACATATCCACTTATCTTAATTAAATATTTATGTTGCATCATCTATTTACAATTTTGACTCTTACATTATCTCTCTCTTTAATAACCCACTAATGCCAAATGACCAGTAACGCACAAATAATATAAAAATAGAGAAACATATAGACATATGCGGATGAAACACATACCATATATTGTGGCAATCCATCAGCACATTTTTTCATGTGCACATTGCCATGACAATGAGCACACTCAAAGAGTGAGCTGAAGAGCCATTGACCTGTGTGTGGAACACTTAAGCCAATCTTTATATTTTTCAAATTCTCCTAGAGCAGTGATTCTCCACCAGAGGTACATGTACCCGTATATACTTGTGAAGATGCCAGGGGGTATGTAGAAACATTGGAGAGTCACTCAATTAATATGAAGAAATTGAGATTATGATTTGATAAAAATACAAATAAATCCACATTCAGCTGTAACACATGAACAACATGCATCCAAAAGTTCCTAAAGGCAAATGTACAACTGTACTGTTTATTTTCAATAACCATAGCTCACAGCGATGAGAGCGTGAGAAAACTAGCACGTAAGCAGAGAAGTTAAAACAGTTAACTAAATGGATAAGTAACAGATGGTTGGAATTGTTCGCACGTCAAATGGATAAACAGTTGACAAAGTAGGCTAAAAGCAATGAATAAATTGTCAGAATAGATAGGTAAAAGTAATAGGAATGGTTCATAGTTAGCAAAAATAATTCAAAAACAGTTAAACAGCTAAAAGTAATAAATGGGTAAAACAGATGGTTAAAAAGGATAAATGTAAACATAGTTCATGTTAAATGTAATTAATTAACAACTGAAGTAGTTGGCTAATAAACTGTGGAACTATATCGCTAATAGTAATGGATAAAAAGTTTAAATTGTTATTTTAAAATAGTAGATAGTTAAAACAGTTGTCTAGTAGGCTAATGAATAATAATTTGCTGAAATGAATGAAGAGACGATAACAGCGACCATTAGATCCACCTTTCTATCATTAGTTAAAAAAATATTTAAAATCAGTTCAAGTGAACATTTGGGAGAGGACATGATGTGTGCACGAAGGGATACTTGAGCTCAACTGGCAGGATCGTTGGCAAGAAAGGTTGGAAACCCTGTCCTAGAGGCTCCACACTGCAGCATTTAGGGGCTGTTAGTGAGTCTTTTTTACTTTAAACTGCCTTTCCGTCTTCATATACAGGGGACATTTACTACAGCCTATGCATCACCATATTCACCAAGGCAGTGGACAAACACACAGACACAGACACACACACTTTGTGTTCTGATATTTTCTTGATTATATGAATTCTAATGTTTTTTTTTTCTTTTCACTCTATAATTTCTTAATGCTTTAGCAATATTATCATTGTTACACTCATGCCAATAAAGCAAATTGAATTGAAATTGAAATGAATAGGGGCCTGAGGGCGCTTGGAAAAGAACAAACCACTAGTGTGTGTGTTTGAGAGGGCCAGATAAGGAATGTAGTGTTTGACAGTCAGAAAGGTTCTTGTGTGGCACTATCAGATCTTACTTACAGGAGAGTGGATCTGTTTTCAGGAAGGTCCAGCAGGACAGGAGGTTCAGCCGTCTGGGAGGGGCTGCCTGGTCGATTTGTATGGGACACTGAGTCTCTAACACCTAGGGAGGATACGTGATAAAAGAACACACAAAAGACAAGGCAATTAATTGTGTATCTGGCTCAGCTGCTTTCCATAATTTTATATAATCGTTTTGCAAACTTGTGTGGGGTATTTCTTTTCTTTTTTCTTGTTTTCAGTGGATGGGTGTACCCTCATACCGTAGAGCTGCCAGACGCGGACCTTGTCTTCATAGGGTAGGTCGTATTTCAGAGGGTCTCCTACAGGACCCTGGTAGTACGGTCTCATGATGGACTCAATGGCTGAGGTGTGGACCAGGCCGATGGCATGACCAAACTCGTGGACAGCGACCGCAAATAGATCCATCCCATGAGAGTCTGACGGAGACAGATAAAAGGAGAGAGACACAAAAATCGTCATTTGGCAGCATGTTTTTATACATCTTATAATGATATTTGGAATTCCTTACCTCCTTCAAAATGGATAAATTTAACCATTTTGAACTCAGTTAAAACTGATCTTTAAAAGAGGATTTGACATGTAGATGTGTGTGTGTGATAGGGTATCTTTCATGAGGGGTTTCTGGTATCTTTATTTTATTATTGTTTGTCTTTCGATGTTCAGCTATATGTAAATGATGGTATGTGCCATAAGTTGTTATAGTCTGAAAATAAACATAAAATAAATGTTTGTGTCATGCACTTGCATTTGAAACAACGATTTGAAACTGGAATAAAACCCTCCAATTTAGAAAACCGCTAATTTCCCTGCACCGTTTAGGTGAGCAGTCAGTTTAATCAAAGAAGCAGCAACAGAATGCTGGACACAGCGTATTTTTCTCTCCTCCAATCTTTTATACCCAGCCTAGTAGTAAATTACTTGACAAGAAAATTGCAAACTAAAAATCTTTGACACAGCTCTTCTTTCCTCCCCCTCAACATTTCATAAAAAGATTCTGCACCCTTTTGTGGCTGTAAGAGGAAACAACAGACACAAATATTGTGAAAGGTGTCTTAAACAGACATGATAATAAAGGTTTTCACTTGGGGGAGTATTAGTATCTTTTATAAATCATGAATTACTTTTAGTTTAACTGCTACTATCTCAGCGTCAGCCTTGACAGAGATCACCTTGCTGTTTAAAGTTTGTGACTTCTGTAGAACCAATACAACCCCTGTTTGCATGTGTATCCCTTTTATGAGTGAACTCTATAGGTTGCAACTTAAGAGGCGTGACAGACAGCTCTGGTGGCTGTGAGTGCTGTTAGGCATGTGGGGTAGTGAGATAACTATGGTAATACTGCCTGAGCACCTGGGCTGCCAATCAAAACCTGAGTGCGGAAAGACACCTAAAGAGTCTGCAGGCTATTAAAGCACATTTCCCTCGATGTTCAACTAAAGAAGAAAAGGAAAAGCCTCCAAAAACTCCTTGTCTGGCTCTGCTAAGCAAGACAAAACCTGGGGTTTAGAGATTTAGATTTGCAAAATATGTGAGTGCTAGCGTGTCGAGCCAAGCTAGCTTAGGGCTCCTTGGTGGTTAGGCTGAAGTCTGCATTCTGTTAACCTTATGTTGGCCTCGACTTGGGAACATCTAAGCGCTGTGCTCTGTCAAAAGACAAAGGACAATTGGAGACATGCACTTGTGCTTACAACACCTGGGATGTTCAGAAGCCAAATGCCAACTCTAATCTACAGGAGCACATGGTGCAGAGAGGAAAGGTGGATAAAAGGAGGGATCAAGGGGGAGAGAACAGGGATTCAGAACAAAGTAGGTACCATGTCATCGTATTTACAGTCCATCAGAGGTTGGCGGAAAAAAATCCTAATGCCTGCGGACAAAGTCAGAGGCTGAGAGATTTAGGTGGATGAACGAGACTCATTGAGTTAGACACTCGTGGCACACAGACAGGGAGCAGGAAGGAGAGAGAGAGAGAGAGAGAGAGAGAGAGAGAGAGAGAGAGAGAGAGAGACAGACAGACAGAGAGGTTTAGAGTAAACAGACTGCACGGTAGATGGCGTAAGCATATATCCAACTAACAGAGCTGTTTTCAAGGTATCATAAGATATTGTTTTTTTGAAAATCTCATTACACTGATGCACAGTAAATGTAATATATTAAGGGGGTACTTCTACTTTGGATATAGCATGATGTACCTAGAATGCTACAAACATAGCCTGCAGCATTGAGTTAAAAGTTTAATAAGGATGGCGTACCATACGGTAGATGGAAAGAAGCAGGAGCACAACTAGCCGAGGGCTATCCTTTTCATTTGATGTGAATCCTTGCATTACCTTGCGCCATAATGACTCTAGAATCAATATGTTTATCAGAATATTAAAGTTATATAACTGTTTCTTTTTTACTATAGGTAAAGGAGGTCAAACAAAGTGCTGAGATGAAACGACACATTCGCTTTATTTGTTCATGAGCGTGTAGATGAACAGAGGATGATGACACAGCAAATCCAGCAGCAGCACCCCCCCCCCCTTGCAGTTTTTAATCGCAGGTCAGGAAATATGTTGGATTTCCTAATATGAGAGATGAAAGAAAGCTTAATATGAGTTCCGTTGCTCGCAAACACCGTCATGACAAAGTGTTGTGCACTCCTAGTTTCGCAGTGACAGAGATTCTGATTTTGTTTTTTAGAAAAACATTGATTCCAAGAGTTTAACACGGCCAAGGATAAACATTAAGGGTCATCAAGCATTGAGGAAGAATAGTCAGTATGTATTGGTTGTTTTTGTTTGGTGTCACTAAAACAATTGATTGAGCTCCCTAAAATTCCATACAGGCGATATCTGCAGGCACAGCTGACCCAAATGTTTCTTTCCTGCATTTTTTACCCTCAGATTGAGGAAGCCATTAGTCTTACAATACCCTATTGGACAGTGCATTGAAGGCTTAATTTTACTTTATGCTCCAGTGCAGCTCAGACCCTAATACTTATACACTAAAAACTCAAATGGGACGCTGATCATAATATTAATATTCCTGAGGAGGAGAGAAGTCAGATTTATCATATGTTACAGCGTTATGGTAGATTAAATTTGAAAAAAAAAATCAGAGAAAATGTACATGGGGGACATTTTAGAGTTTAAAACAACATTTGTCAGTGCTCTCTGGTGGACAAACCATGTAATGGTGCTACTGTTTTGAAATGACTTCCATCAAAACTTCATCATCCTTGTGCTGCAATTTCTTGTTAGTTATCTTCCAGGATATAGGCAGAGAATCGGCCGATAACATCCCCCATGCGAATGTACTGGTCAGTTATTAAATTAAACTTTCCCTTTTCAGCTAGTCTGTATGTGTTTGGATACACTTCCCCTCTCTGTGATTTTGGCCTGCCCAAGGGAAAGTGGATACAAAGAGCTATTATGTCATGTCAAAAATTAATTGAGAGGACTGGAAGTCTGCATCAGCTCCTTTTGTGAATATTTAGTGTGTTAAATTAGGCAAGTTGGCAGCGCTAGAAAAATGATCCTTTAAGCTACAGAACAGACTGGATGGCTGCTATACAAAACAGGAGATGTGGGACTGTCACATCAATGGGTTAGATTTAATGAATACGTTTGCAACAATGGGCGGCAATCAACATGTAGGTGCATCTGGCTCAAAACCATCAATGCGTAAACGGTGAGGAAGAAGGGACGCAAATGGTTGCGTTTCCTGACCAACAGAATCAAGCCAGCACATAAAAAGAAGACAAAATGAAAAAGAAGCAGATTTTTCTTAACATTTAAAATCCTGTATTGTTTACATTTATGTTTACCAGCTAGCAGTATTCTTCTTCCCTGCCTTTGTTGGGGCATTGCTGCATTTCTTGGTGCATAATCGCCACCTGTACATCAGTTGAATAGTGTGACTCCATTTGAAGGAATGTGTCTCACTTCACCTGTGCACTGATAAACACAACGGGGACCCACTCACAGCGAAACAGCTTCATACCTGTACTAGGTCAACCCCTCCACAGGGAACCTTTAACAATGGATCATGTGAGTCCATGTATGTGAAAGAAACACTGCACCACTCTGCAGTTCCACTCAGCTCTACAGAGCGTTTCTGTGTCTGTTAGGATTGTTTTGGTTTTATGGGCTGCAACTTTACTGGCATTCTTTTCAGACGCAGCAGGCAGCAAAAACATAGAGAGCCCCATATTTCGCTCAGGAGTAACTGGAGACCAAAAATAAAGCCAAAAGCAGAGTAAATATTAGACTTACGTTCATCAGGTAGCCAGAAACATGCACTTTCTAAATAGGCAACCGTTTCCAACATCAACTTTTGTCAGTGACATGTTTACAGCTCATGCACTGCCACCAAGTAGCCATCCCAAAAATATAACAGTTAATGCATATTTAAGAAGCAAAAAAAGTCAAAATAGAAGTATACTGCCAGAGAATCATAGGCTGCATTCATATAAAACTACAACTCAGAGGAGAATCGTAGATGCTGCATGCAGCAGGCCATTTATTACTGAGATAAAGTGCATTCGTAGTGCTGTGAAATGACCTTAATGTCAGGGTGAAATATTTGAATACCACATTGCTTTAGAGTTACACTGTTAATTGGCTAGCTATTATCCTTTCCAGTGCATTAGAAATAAAGAGAAGATTTGAAATTCTATAATTAGCAAGGACCTTGGCCTCGAGGTAAGTCCCAAATTGCTTAAGGCATTTATAAAGTCTCAAAGTAAAGACTAAAGAGTATGAGAAATATCGCAAGGGCAATATCTTATTTTTATAGCGTAGAAATTATGTTGTCTCTAGTATACTACCTGAATCTAAGATCACATAAAACATAATTCTCTCCTAAAAAACTGTTACAAAATCAAAGGCAGCAGTATACAGTGCAGTGTTGTTTTTATTGGCATTGATTAGCTATAGAAACAGAGGGCTTTAATGCCTCTGCAGAGTCCAGGCGAAGAGGAAGAGGCAGGTGCCTGATTTACAAATGAAAAAGTCTGATCTGTTTTATTTGATGTACATTGCATTTATTGCGGTGAGTGAAAGAAGTAACCTTGAAAGCAGGAACATCTAACACAGTAAGATGATTCAGAGCCAGCATGTTTTCACTCTTGCTCACAGTGAAGGCTGTGTTTTTAACACTATGGCTGTCTTCCATCAGACTGCCACCACTGTTTTAATGTTCAATTATGGCTGGAAATGTAATTCTTCACACAGAGGATCTTCTTTGTTTTAGTTCTCTGCTGGATTTGTTTTAGTTTCTCTGTAATGTTGGACATTTTGATTTTGGAATAGAGAAATAGATTGGGGTCATAAAGACAAGAACACACTCCTGACCCCTCCTTCCTCCACCGCCCCACCGCCATTAACCAAACCCTTATTTATGCAGATGATTCAGTAATCTACTATCATGCCATCTTGTCCTGCCACTGCCTGCTGTGAGGTCTAATTGGAGCAGATTGAGCTTCTGTAACATATGGCTCACAGCTTTAACAGGGCAAAAGCAGAGAATGGAAATGAACACAAGCCCTGGCTGCATCATAGACTCACCAGCTGGTACAGTCACCACCATCTACACCCCCGCTACAAGCTTTAAGTTCCATCTCTACGGGGAAGGACGGCATAGAGGGCCTGAGAGCCACGATGAGCTTAAGTATTTTTCATCCTGAGGTTTTAGTTACAATCATGACAGTGTTTTGTGGATAAGCATAACTTTTCTTGACATGGAAACTGTAAGTGCATGGGGCTAATACTAGTCATACATCACCACATACATCATACAGCATCACAGGATTCAGATCCTTTATATAAAGGAAAAGTTATATATGCTTATTAGCTTGCAAAGATTTTGACGAGAAGATTGATACCACTCACAAGTTTCTACATCAATTAGGAAGCTACAGCCAGCAGCTGGCCATCTTAGCTTAGCCTGGAAACAGGTGTAAAGAGCAAGCCTAGCTCTGTCCCATGGTAAAAAAAACTCCATACATTTTGTTGTTGATTTTGTTTCCTGTGGACAGAGGCAGACTAATTGTTTCCCCCTGTTTCCAGTATTTGTGCTAAGCTAAGTTATTCAGCTGCTGGTAGCTTATTATTAACAATCTTCTCATCAACCTCTTGGATGGGAAAGCAAAAACAACAATTTCCCAAAATTGTCAAACTTGACCTTTGAGTAAAAGTAGCAGTACAACAGTGTAAAATGACTCCATTACAAGTTGAAATCCTGCATTGAAGTAAAGTAAGCATCAAAACAAACGTGTATTAAAGGTAAAAGTACTTATCCTTACAATATTTCTCTCTGAAATGTAGTGGGGTAGCAGTATAAAAAATGTAAATACTCTAATTGAGTACAAGCACTTCAGAATTGTACTTGAGTAAAGTAAGTCGACTTCCACACATCGTTCCTCACTACAAAGACAGACTGATATTTCGGCACCAAACAGCATGTCCGCAACCCTGGAAATCTCATCACTATGTCACTGTGTTCAAATCACGCTTTTATCGATTGTCATTGGAGTAGCTGTTAGTTGACATTTCAGATTATAGTGTTGCTTCTAGGTCTGGTAGAGACATATTCCTTTCAGCTCTTCATTGCCATAAATCAAAGAAAACATTTTTCTGTCAGGTAAAAATACTTTAATACGCTCTAAATATGGTGCTTTTGTCATCTGTTAAGAAATTTAAAACACTCAATTCTTGTCAAATCACCATGGCATCGCTTGACAATCAAAGGGGATCGATTTAAGTCAACACTTCAATTTCTTTTGTTAATTGCTAAAAACAAGAATCCATGGCTATCAGTGGCATATTAGAGTAAATTGTTTGTTTATGGCAGTGTCCGGAAATGAAAGCCTTTTATGCCTCCTAATAAGCTTGTGATAACAATCACCGCCCCTTTAGTCACTACACTGAGTCCTGCATCTGAAGCCATTGTATGTTATATTCATAGTTCTAACATATTAAATATTAATTATAGAATCTGGAACGTGAACAAAGGGTAGAAGCACAGCTTGGCTCCAAAATACAGTCAGCGTTCTAGTTTTGGATAAAAAGTCTCAGCGAGCAAGTTCAACACAGTTTTCAGTCTCTTTTAAATTTTTTCTTTTTAAGTTTTCTACACACGGACTCCACATCAATTTCCTCACTTTATAGTACTCTGGGAGTCTCTGAGAAAAGTTTTAGAGAGACGTTTCCCTGAATAACACTCCATATCCTTTCTCCCCATCATCCCTCCATCTTCTACCCTTCTTTTGATTTAGACCCACACTGCCTTTCACTAATTAATGTAATACATGCATATTCAAGCCCATGAGTGCAACACTTGACACTTACAAGCAAATATCCTCACCTGGAGATCTGAAGGTCCACGCCTCATCATCATCAAAGTGCGTATCCCCAGCTGTGAACCTCTCCCCGGGGAAAAATGCGTGGGCCACAGTTCCCCCTGGCCCATCAAAGGGATATCCATCATTGTGGTCAGCCTTAGTGAAGTCGATTTGAATGTCTGCATCACTTCCTGCCACCTCGTGGAAGTTAAGAGGTGCGATGTCACTCCAGACCTTCAAGGCGTAGTACATTAGGGCTCGAACAGTGTCCCTGCCCAGTAAGGCCGAATCCTTAGGGAAGGTCCTCACTCTGAGAGAGGAAAGGGAGGAGACAGATACGTTACATAAGAGAAGAAGGGACAATGTTACACATACCCTGAGCACAACTCACAAAAAAGGAATATGCCCTTTAAATGTTTGTATCATAACACATTACCCCAAAATAAAATGTAATAAATGAATAAAAACATCTTTTTTCATCCTTAATCCTCCCACTCAATCTTTTAACTGCCACTTTCAGTCAAACTAACAAAAAAGTTGTCTCCTTTCAGATAATATCTTTCATGATTCATAGCAACATTTTTTGTTATTTTGTTGAGACTTTGGTGCCCTTTATAGTTCTGTATTAAAAAGGGACAGAGCTATGAATAGTCAGTTTTTTGCTGCCAATAGAAAGGTGAATTTTTAGCACATTTGACATAGTTGATTACAACAGTTTGCCTGGAAAAATTGACTGAGGCTCACTGAAACTGGAATAAAGAACTTTCTCTTTTGTGTTTGGAAAGTTAAAAAAAGTCTAATATAGTGCAGTATGTTAGAGCCATATGAGTGTTAAATGAGGCACACAATTTAGGAAGTCTTAGGAACTCTTGAATGTGTCAACAGAATTTTTATCTGCAGTCCCCGGTGAAACTTGTTTTTACAATTAATGGATAGTGGTTGGATCATTAATGTAACAAACGTGATTTAGATAGTTAACAGTTTAGAAAAACAGCTTGTGGAACAAAATCAGCTCATCATCTCTGCCAGAGCCAAGGCAAAAAGGAAACATAATGACAAGATAAATAAATACAACTATCCTATTGTTGCGATGTTGCGAGCAGTGTTTAGACCTCTTCAGAGGTTTGTTCACCCGTCTCGAAGCCGTATCCTGATGACCTGCTGATGTTTTTTACAGCAGAGGATAACTTCTGAGTCACAACAACTTTCGCCACCAGCTACATTACAGACCTTTCATCCCCACATGAGCCAGAGCAGCAGCTGCTCCAACGACTTAGCTCATAGCTGAGGTTGTCCGGACCTTTATCGTCAATGTCAAACTTCTGAACACCTGCCAGAGGAGCTCACACCAGCGACATCTCTTTAATCTCTCAAATCACTTCTCAAGTCGCACGTAAACTAGCTCACACACTTATGCACATTCGGTCTTGTTTTATCTCTGTTTTCAGTTTTGTTCTGGTTCGTCACTGCTTACTTTTTTATCCATTTCTTCAACTTCTCTCTTTCTCAATCTTGTTAGACATATACGTACATATATACAGTTATTTTTCTCTCCCTCAACACCTTGTGAGGTCATATGATGTATGTTTGAACAGCATATGCTTGATTTTCTTGTGTTTCAGTGTTTCTTTGATTTTGTAAGCTTTCTTGTCCGCCTCCTTCTTTGTGTTAAAATAATCCCTACCTCAGTGATAATGGGTCCTAGAACAACCAAATATGAGTTTTTCTTGAATTTTATGAAAAACTCACTATTTTCCGTCTGATCATATCATCCAGACTCAACAAACTCTTGCACTTAGTGGTTTGCAATTGGTGGAGAACAAAACTGAGCTAAAAGGAGAGTGAATACCAGGCTTACATTTGCCACATGGACACAAACACATCTCCAAAGGAATGCAACATTTTTCTCTGTGACAGTTTATTGTTATTGCATGTTTAAGTTGGTCAGACTATACTATTACCACCATTATTCTAACTATTATAGTCATGACTAAAGCTATACATAAAAAAGCAGTCCTATGAACAATCTTTCATGATTCAGCATATAAATATATTAAATAAAACAGATGAGCATCAGCCCTTTATTATAAAAACTGTCATATCTCTAATTTCTTTCAAAGAATATCCTCTCAAGGTCATCGTGGTGGCTTGCTAACATCCATAGTTTCAGCCTGCTCCTTGCTGAGGGTGACTTTAGCTGCCTGTTGTTCTGCTGTTACCATGACGTCTTTAACACACCGAGTGATGCGATCGAGTTCATTAGTGCGGCTAATTAATGTATTAATTAGCAAATATGCCTATGTCAACATGTTGTCACAAAACACTTGGGCGGTATTAGCAACGTTAACGTAAAGCAATATGTGATAGTTTGAAAATGAGTTTTACCTCATCTAGATGCAAATTTATGCAGTCACAGAATCTAATCAGATCACCTACTCTGTGGGGAGAGCTATGGTGTACAGTAAGTATGATTTTTTTTTTTCTTCCTGTGTTGATTTGTTCACAAAAATGTGCCTGTACAGTCCACTTATTCATACTGCCAGAGTGTCCCCTCACTGCAAACCACAGTTAGCCAAGGTCACCGCTAATGGCTCAACCTCCACAGACGATTCACCTGCTTATTAGTCCTAATTCAGACGGACGAGAGTGGGTGATTGTGCGTGTCTGTGTGTTTGTGTGTGTGTGTGTGTGTCTGTGTGTGTGTGTGTGTGTGTGTTTGGGTGATTGTTGATGAAGGAGATAGATGGAGAGGCAGAGTGCATGGTTCTGTCACTGTGTAAGTATGTACGTGCATCCAAATGTGTGTGTCAGCTTGCGTGTGTGTATGTAATTGTAGGTAAGTCCACCAAGGTCAGAACTGCCCTGCATCTTAGATGAACTGAGGAGTCCCAGGGAACTGCTTTTGTTTACATCAGGCGACTATGGCTGCATAAAAAATGAACCAGCTGTCATATCCCGGGAGGTGCCTCCTTTAAATCTGGTTAATTTTACAGAGCCTGCCAGGGATCTTGTCAGTTTGTCAATATAACACCCTGATTTTAACAACCTCATTGATTATGTTTTAATCAAGTGACCAACTGCGTTCAGATCTGATGTTTATTAAACAGCTTGCCCTCATGAAGTCTGCACCAGTATAGTTTTTTTTTTTATGTACTTGTGAACTACTGTCAAAAAAATGTAAGACTGTTTTTTCCCCGCACACAGACTATGAAGAAAAACTGTGTGTCGTGACAATTTCAGAAAATTTTATTCCATGCCACTAAAGGAAAAGAGATTTAAACAAAAAACACTGCAGCATAATAGGTGTACACATTTCTGTCTACTGTTGAAAAAAAATCTGTTGTTTGGAGAAATGTAAAACATGCTGGGCACTAGTTAAATATTTTTTCTTTTATTTATTATACATATATATATTTTTAAGTTTTATAAATGATTTACCATAATGCATTATTTTTACTTGATCTAATGATTTGCATGATGATATAAAAATTTTAAAAATAAAAAATTAAAATAATATTATAAGAAAATATTTTTTACAAAAAAAAAAAAAAAACTTCTTTTTCTTTTTTTCCAACACCCCCCCCCCACCAAACAAAAAATGTTATGTATTTATATCAATCCATTCCAACTTAGTTAGTTGGCTGAACTATATCAAAATGTTTTTACATAACTTTTGATGAACAGACTGTCGTTACAGGGGAACAAAAAAGTTGTGGTTAAGTTTTTGTGGGTAATACTGGAGTTAAAGGTCATATCATTGCATGGTTGAGTCAGCTCACGTCTAGAAGACTAAACTTGTGGCTTAAGCTGATGGCTGTATGATCATGTATATTTTCTTGAAATTCCATGACCGTGACTGATGAGCAGTTAGAAAGTGATACGCACATGAGCCTGCACAGTATGCAGAAGAAAAAAAAAAGTGCAGATGTAAGAGTTTCTAGCTGCGGCATAAAGCAGGAATCATCAGTGGCTCAGTGGCTGAGGGCTGTTTAGCAGCAACAGAGCTCCTGAGTGTGCATCATTGACTCACAAATAAATATCTGAGAACAGAGTGTACTGTCAGACGTTTCCACATCAATCAAATATAATACCTCCATAAAGAACTGCTTACATCAAAGAACACCCTGACACTACTGAGGCAGGCAGTCCTGGGCAGACTGTGAATCTTTCACTATGGTGCTTAACTGACAAACAGAGGATGGAAGAGGAGGAAATAGCCTGAGGAAGAAAGCGAGGAAAGAGAAAGGGGCATTGTTATAGGCTGATGGGAATGAAGGAGGGATGGGAGAGGGTAAGCAAGCAAAGAGATGAAAGGTGCAAGTCAGTGTAAGTCACAGTGCTCATGATGATTACTCCTGCATTGCAAATACAAAAATTTGTATTCTTGCTGTTTTATATTTGTCATTTGTTTTAAGCAAAGGAACAATGAACTATCAAATATAATCTACTATTAAAGCTGCAAGCAGCGTTGAGCGGGACCTCACACTCCACGCAACTCGGGGCGTGCTGTGGCCGCATCACGTGCCGTCGTTACCAAAACATGAAATTTCACGTAAATCAGCTCAAAATTGCCACGCAGCGCTTACTTCCTGTTGCCAGTAGGTGGCGCAATCACTATGTCTTAATATTGTCATGTACACAAGTTCAGGGCGGGACTGTTATAACACACGTGAAGTTTCATTGAGATTGGACCACGTACGCTGAAGTTATGAGGACGTGTTCAGGGCAAAACTGTTTCAGAATATATGAAGTTTATTGGAGATTGGACATTGCACACTGAAGTTATGAGTACTATTTTATGGCGAATCTGCTGAAATCGACAAGTTGTCACTGCACGCGGTTTGATGTACAGTCACAAATAGCTCAACTTCTCAATCAGTTTGTATGACCACAGAATTCAAAGTGGCCAACTTTGACCTCACACCACAGACACGCCGTTCAATGTACAGTCTCAAATAGCACAACTTTTAATCAGCACCATTTTTTGACTGTACTGACCAATTTTAAAGTAGATCCGATAAATTCCCTAGGAGGAGTTCGCTCAAATACAACACGAAAAATCACAGAAAATAAAAAAAAAATCAAAATGGCTGACTTTGATGCCACGCCACGGACACGCCCTTTAATGTACATGCACAAATAGCACAACTTTTAATCAGCACCATTTTTTGACTGTATTGACCAATTTTGAAGTAGATCCGATAAATTCCCTAGGAGGAGTTCGTTCAAATAGAATGCGAAAAGTTTGCCGAAAGTGAAAATGAAAATCAAAATGGCCGACTTCCTGTGGGGTTTCGGGTATTGGTCCAA